ATTTTGCTTTTCAGTTCAAAACTCTTCTTTTAATTTCGATTGCGATGATATTAAATTATTTAGTTTTATCGTAACTAGTTTTAAAAGCATATCGATAAATCAAATAAACACGAAGTTTAAAATAACGTCAAGAATAACAGTCTAGACGTAGTCCGTTCACGATCATTTAGTTAACCTGGCACAACGAATAAAAAAAAAATTAAGTGTTACAGAACGCGTATTAAGCAACTTTTTTGATAAGAGCTATAAGCCAGCAAACATCACCGATATTATCTTAAAAATATTTGAAAAAACTAAATCTTCTCTGGCTTATAACAATGGCTTCCGCTAAACCAATGAGAAAATTCCATTTCATAAATACTCCGAATTGTTGTTGCTATCGTCGGCCATTAAAGTGTGATTGTTCTTGTTTTTCAGTGGCACCATCCATGGCCAAGAATTCGACTTCTGTCTCACCCATACGTCACATCCGTTTATAGGGTGGACGCTTTGATTCATCCATTCATTCACAGATCGTAATTTTGACCTGAACCAGAGAACGATCCATCTCCAATTCAGTACCCTCAGAGGTATAATTTATTATGGGAAGATAGAGGACTTTGAGACCCGACAGATAAAACGAGTACCGGTCACCATTTACTGCAAGGGGGAGTGTTCGGTCAGCTGGATTTGAACTCCCGTTCTCACAAAAGTAAATCCAGCACCCTGCCATCTAGGCTATCCCGGTGCCAATGCCTCAAAATTTAAAAATCTAATTGAAAATCGAAAATTGGGCTTCGTTTGTTTACAATTGTAGTCCATTTAATGTTCAATTTCGTATTCTTAGAGTCTTACAGTTTACCCACCATCCGGTATACAGACACACAATCACAAAGTCTTTATTTTTATTATAGATTTTATTTATCCTTCTAATATTTACGTTATTTCTCACGAATCGAGGCAATATTTTTTTCTGAAATGATTTAGCGTTTAACGTCAAAAATCGGTTTTAGAAACTGCTTTTGGACTTGTGAACTCTAAGAAATAAACTTCTTAAATCGAATCATCTATAGCAGTGGTCTGTATATCACGGAGCCCTTCTTCAAAAATATTTTATTTTCTGTGAACCCCACAGAGACACTTTAGGGCATCCTTGAGTAACTCAATGATACGTCATAAAAAATATAGGTTTAAAATTAATCAATGGTTTTAAGCATTTATCGAAACGAATGTGTAACTCAATAATCTCATACGTCATAATAATCTTAATGTGATATTCAATGATCTCATACGTCATAATAATCTTAATGTGGATAATTCAATGATCTCATGCGTCATAATAAATATCGGTTTAAAATGAATCAATGGTTGTAAGCATTTATTGAAACGAACATTTGTGGAACATACAATGAATAAAAATAATAGTAACATAAATTTTACGTGTTTTACAATAGATTTCATTTTGTTATCTGTAAATAATTATCATTACAGAAAACATCTGAATTCTCTGCTGAATTCACTGTGAAATTCTAATGTCTAGGTATGGTACTCGGTAGAAATAAGCTGAATCTGATTTAAGCGTGGAATTTCTCAATCTGATTTTTTATTAATTTATTTTAATAAGTATGAGAAAGCCAAGATGGATTAAGAGAAAGAGCGATGGCCTTCCAATGAGATAACCCAGGCTCAAATCTCAGTAATGACTGATCCAACGAATTCGGCTTACACCGACCACAAGTGGTGACATAAAATATTTTAAATTGATAGTTCGTGGGTTAGAATCCCCTTGCCGTTCGGCTAACCATGAGAGGTTTTTGTGTTTTTTCTCTCAACGTAACGCAAATGAGAGTTAGTTCCATCATAACGTCTTCCACGAAGGCTGGTCTGTTCCAATGCTTGAACAAGGAATTCCGGTGCCTTATGGGTTGGGTTCAAAATTACAAGGTTACGGAGTTACACACTGATTGTCGTGAACTCAAAATTGGGTCGACTGTTCGACGTCGGTTGTAAAACAATCAATACTTATAACCTAAAATACATGTAAATAATGCGACAAACATGTTTTTTGTATAAAAAATGGAAGGAAAAAAAAAGCAATGAATAATTTGTAAAAGAGAGAAAAATTGAAAATGAAGAAAAAAATTTTTTTTGAGAATAGTATCAGGTTATAAGAGTGAAATATGCATACATTTCAAGGCTATGTAAATATAATATAAAAAAACAACAATATTGTTTAAATAGTCAACTGACAAAGTGATGAGAAATATTTTAAAAATGGACAAAAACTCGTCTGATTTTTTTATTGGTGGCATATGAATAGTAACAATGCAGTTTTTAAAATATATTCTAGATTAATAATACATTTTTAATTATTCAGAAATAATTATATAAATGACATTTAATTTAGACCAATGCAAAACTTAATGTTTTTATTAATTATTTTATTTTTCATTTGAGCAAAATCAAATTTTTCGTTTGAAAAACATTCAATCAATTATAGAAAATTCGACTTTTATGATAAGAGAGTTATAAAAATTTAGATAAAGGACTTTTAAAAAAATATTTAGTAGAGCATTTTGCTTTTCTGAAATTCAGAAATAGAAATAATTCCATAACTTACTTATAAATCATGTCATGTTTAACAGATTTTTAATGTGTGATGAGCCTAGTAATATATGAGCTTATAATAGCATTTACTTCGAGAGCAAATTTAAAACTTTTCAGTTATATGATTTTACTGAAGATTTTTAAAATTAAAATAAATTAAAGAAGTTGAACATTTTTAGTCAAAAATAAACTTACATTTTAAAACCCGACAAACATTTCAGAATTTTCAAACAATTAGCTTAACAGCATTTTCAAACAATATGCTTTCAAACGAAATTATTTATATTTATTTTATTTTATTCATGAAATATAGCCAACATCGTCTAATTTTTTTTAAATCTTAAAATTAGAATTTAACTACTCATCCTGACACAGCAGATTAGCTATTGAAGGACAACGGTAAATATTTACTTATTGTTTAGAAAGATTTGTTACATTAGGAAAAGAGCCTACTGAAATTTCTTTTGTATATTTTCTTGCTTCACAGTCATTCGTAAATTTCGTGTTACAAGGATTAATTATTTTAGATCTCTAAAAAAGAGGGCTTGTGCTAGAATACATAAAACAAAATACGTACAAACATAGGGAAACGTACAGAAAAAAAAAAAGGAAAACCAGAATAACTTTTGAACTAATGATCCGATTTTTACGAACTTTGTCTCTAACTTAATGGTTCGAAAGGGGGACCTCAAATATGCTAACGAATTATTCTGCAGATGATATTTTAAGTTACGAAATCCGACAAAAAATATCGGGGGTAGCTGCAATCTGGGAAATACCATCCCATTAGTTTGGTCGGGAGAGCGGTCGAAAGTTTGGATCACGCAATTTTATTTTTACTTATTGCATATTTCGCCATATCGCGAGAACTTTTTAAGCGAATATTATATTAAAAGCTTTATACGTGTTGTAATGAAAGAGCAAAATCATGAGAATGTCAACTTTCACCGGCGAATGTCAACAATAACATAATAGCTTTGGAGAATGCTCGAAATAATTATTGCGTCCAATTTTATCTTAATTTATTCACAAATATTTAAGCGATATTTTAACATCTAGTTAGGATAAACTAGGAAGAACATCAGTGTCGAAAATACCGGAGAAATATATTCCAAGCAAAGATTTTTAATATACATTAGGGTATAGAATACCAGGTATTTCCAACACTGATGTTTTTCCTTATCTATCCCAATCAAATATTAAAATATCGAATAAATGTTTAAATGTGGATGAATAAATGAACGTCAAATCTGATCTATCATTCATTTCGGACTTTTACCATAACGACTATGTGATTGTTGACATTCACCGGTAAATGTCGCCAGTCATTATTTTTTCATAGTGACGTACATAATAGTCGGGGAAAAAATTAATCTGATTCTTTAAACTCGTGTTTATTTTCATACTTTGATTTCATACAAAACAATAACGAAAAAAACTGTTTTCATAAATGTGTTGTATACGTTAAAAACAATGCGATGTGCCTTATTTTTAGTTAACTTCAAAGTTGCTTCGAGGATTCCTAGCGAATTTTGCATCTTAAAAGCAAAATAAAAAGTTTTATTCGATGGTAAATACATTTCTTTTATTTTCGAGTCTTTCAAAAGATGCCGTCCCTTCCCCTCTTTCAAAAAATATCTATTAAATAAAATATTTCCATGCACATGAAGTTTATTTCATCGTAAGTATACTCCAATTTACCATTATTTCAAAACTCCATTTTTGCTTGTCCCACATCGTTAGACACGGTTTCCAGTTGATCCAGCATCACTGACTGCTGTTAGTAGATGACCAATTTGATCAACATGTGAAGGGATCGAGGATACGTGATATCGGTCCCTTTATAGGCTGATCAAAGTATCTAAGAACCCTCCCCCCTACAAAGAATCAAAATTATGATGACACGCCTTTGGGTTCAGTCTCAGGGATGTTTCCCAGACCGTCGCCAATAGCCCAGTGGTGACCGCTCCAGTGCGACGTAAATAAAGTACTACTACTACAACCACTTTTGTATTGCTCTGCGAAAACCTTGATATTAATATTAATTATTCTGATATTAATTATTCAGATGAAACTTCCGGTTTTGTTCACGATTTGAATACAATTACTAGCTCAAAATAGATAAATACCAAAAACAAATTATTTATTGTCGTTTATTTATTTTTTCAAATTAACCGCCACCTCAAAACAAGAATTTAGGATCAATTCTTATTCGTATTTATATTATAAAATTATGTTCTATTCCAAATGAATATCGCATAACTCATAGATAAACGCAGATAATAATACACCAAAATTGTAGATAAGTAAAGATATTTTTCTCTACCGTATTTGTCACGGAAAGATGAACAGAAAAAAGGGGAAATATAATTGTTATCAACAAAAAACATAATTACGCTTGTTTCATCCTCCCGTAAATAATTTTCTCCTTCCGCCAAAGCAAGGATACGCCAAAAGAGCGATAACTGTTTGACCTTGGCATACCTAACAAATAACCCTCGATTAGGGAACAGAATAAAAGGTATATATATACCTGTGGGAAAGACAATATTGACCTCCATCTACAAAAGATACACCTTCTAATTACATTTGTGTCAAGTAGTTCGAACAGGTGAGTGCTTTTAAATTAATTAATATAAATTAATAGTTTATAAAATCAAAATAAATTAAATAAATCGCATTTAATTAAGTGAGATTCAAAGAATTATTCTACATTTATAATGAATTCCTACATTTGTATTTTCTAAAAAAATACTTTGAATAAAAAAAAATTTATTAATTGATACTGAAACAAATGTAATACTTTTTGCTGAGAAATACGAGAAAAAAGTATTCTTGAATTCATTAAGTACTTTTGCATGAAAATAAAGTAGTTTGTAAAAAATTAAACTAAGTAGAAAAATCCGCAATGTTTTGAGTTTTGTTGGAAAAAAAGGGGGGTGGAAAATCAAAATCTAAAATTCTGTGACATTTTACGAAAACTTTATTTCTTCAGTTGCATTTATTGTATAAATCAGATTTAAAAAAAATTAGATTAAAAAAGCATTTTTAAAATAACACTTTATGCTGTATTAATATTACTTACATTATAAAATTTAATTATAAAATTTAATTATAAATAAAGTATGTTTTATTTTTGAATCGTTCGTAAACGCTTAATTTTACTTATTTACTTAAAACATTCCAATACAAACAGAAACAATGCGGAGAAAATGTTTGTTTATTTTTGGAATAGAAATGTTTTCAGACTGGTCTATGAATAAACCGAAAATAAATACGATTAACTGAATTATGATATCTATTAAATAAAATATTTCCATGCACATGAAGTTTATTTCATCGTAAGTATACTCCAATTTACCATTNCATTTATAATAAATTCCTACAATTGTATTTTTTAGAAAAATGCTTTGAATAAAAAAAAATTAATTTATGAAACAAATGTAATACTTTTTCTGGGAAATGCGAAAAAAAAAAGTATTCTTGTATTCATTGAAGTATTTTTTGCATGAAAATAAAGTAGTTTGTAAAAAATTAAACTAAGTAGAAAAATCCGCAAAATTTTGGGTTGTGTTGGAGAAAAAAAAAGGGGGGGGGGTGGATAATCAAAATCTAACATTCTGTGACATTTTAAGAGAACTTTATTTCTTCAGTTGTATTTACTCTAAATTGTATAAATCAGATAAAAAAAAAGTATATTAAAAAAGCATTTTTTAATAAGATTTCATGCTGTTAATTATAACTGTTAATTATGCTGTTAATTAATATTATTTATATTATGAAATTTAATTATAAATAAAGTATGTTTCATTTTTGAATCGTTCGTAAACGCTTAATTTTACTTATTTGTTAAAAACATTCCAATACAAACAGAAACAATGCGGAAAAAAATGCTTGTATATTTTGGGAGAGAAATGTTTTCAGAGTGGTCTATGAATAAACCAAAAATGAATAAGATTAACTGAATTATGGTTTTCGTTGAAATGAAAAAGAACTGATATAAAAATTGAGAACAGGTATCAGAGAAATGTATTTTTTTTATTTTTGAATAAAATTTTAAATTCGTAGCCTACAGAGTAATACATAACATCTTCGAATATTAAATAAATAAGTTAGCGGGTGTATAAGAAAACTCTGTATATCTACAATAAAGAAATAAAAAATACAATTTTTAAGATTTTTTTTTTAAAAATTGAAGTACGTTTTAGCGTCTTGAATTTCTAAAGTGAGTATGTTACAGCATTTAAGTTATAAACAAAACAAGATTTACTAAAAATAAAAATAAAGCGTGTACAGCTCAGAGATTTTAAAAAGAGAAAAAAAGCTTAATTTAACTTATAAAATTTTCTTTAACTTATGTAATTTCCTATCTTCGTGAAGGTATTTTTAACTCGCGTAAAATTATTTTTAACAACATGTAAAATTTTAATATCGTTAATAAATATTATTAAAATATTAATCTAAGTACCATTTCGATGTAGTAAGTTCTGGGCTTTTTATGTCTGTATTTAATTTTACAACTGATATTTACTCATTTGGGGGTTTATGGTTATCCATGTTCAACTCCGTAGCCTTTTAACTTTGAATCCAATCCATAACACAAGGGAACTCCAGAATAACTTTTTGATGATGCTAATCCTCATTTGAGGTACATGGAGAGGAAAACCACGAAAATTTCCCATTGTTAGCCTGGTAGCAAAAAGATTCTAATCCCATGATCCATCTGACACTGAGGATATTTCATGTCAGCATCGTAACCACCAGCCATCACTCGAATTAGAACTTGGATCTCGTCTTTGAGAGGCAAGCGTTCTATTTTCTGAGCCACCGTGGCTCCTTTCAAGTTTTTTAATCGATTGCACACTTTTTTAGAAAATGAACTAAAAGTGTTTCCTCTTCTAGAGATATTAACACTTTTGAGCATCGGTTATTATTGACCATGACCGGACATGCTCCGTTTGTTACGGTTTCGAACCTCGGGTAGAGATATCTGCTGTCGCTTTTGCACTGTCCGGACATTTTTCGTTTGTACCTCTATGTCGGTAAAAAGATGGCTCAAAAATAAAGATCACAACAAAATCCCAGCTTTCCAAAGTTGTAGAGTCGATGTTGAAGAAAATTATTCAGGAATCGGAAAAATTTGTTCCATCTCGATTAATTAATAGTTATGTCCTGCTGGTTAAAAGAAAAGCAAATTTGAAAACTAGCTAGGAAATATTTATAATTATGTGAATAAAAATATTTCTCCAAAGAAAATTATTAATCATTATTTAATTTATCACATTTGAACGTTTTTAAACTTATGCTTTATGAAATTAAAAAAAAAAAAAAAAAAAAAAAAAAAAAAAAAAAAAAAAAAAAAACGCAGAAAAATAATGAAATTTTTGAAAATGTTTTATCAATAAAAGAATAATTTATATGTTATTTTTAGATGCATAAATAACAAAACTAAACTTATTTTACTAAGTTAAAAACTTATGAATCATTTGTAATGTTTTCTAATTCATTAATACTCAACAAAATAAAATAAAAATTGTAATGAAATGCTTATATATATGGGAGTGCGCGTATAAACTATTTATACCTAATTCTTTCCTTATAATTATTTCACACAATTTCAGTATTCTGCACAAATATAATTTTTTTCTTAAATTTATTTCTTCAAATATTTAGTTTTAATATGAAGTGAAATTTTAATTAAAATACTTTTAAAAAACAGAAGTATGCAATTTGTAATTAACATTTACTTATTGCACTATATTAGTTTCCCAAGATTCGTCGGAAGTTTGTATTGAATGTAAGTACGGATTTGGAGTCAAATATTTCAACTACCGTCTCCATAACTCTACAATTTTCTACACACCAAAGTATAAAATTGTGATTAGTATTTTAAGGATTAGACCGTTTATCTTCCTCGCTTGAATGCAATCTATCATAATTACGTTTTCTTTTCAACCGAATAGGTTTATAAAATCAGTACTCGAACCTTACATACTCTATTTGTTTTGTTATTTTTGTCCATTTCACCGATTTCGATAATTACTTGAAAGTCTCTACCTTACACTTGAGCTTCGTAATACTTTATGATAAGATTTAGATATAATTGAGAAAAGGAAAATTGTATTGAACTTGACATCATATCTGCCATATATATTTATTTATTCATGATGTAACAGAGAGAGGGACACAGTGGTATAATTTTGAATCTATGAAATGTTTTCTAAAAAACTTTAATACTAAACATACACAAAAACCTTCCTTTATATACTTTAAACTTCTAAGCTGAGTCGTGATTGTTTTCAAAGCATTAATTTTTATTTTTTCATCAAGGAAATATTTGTTCAAATACCCATTAAAATTATGCATAAAAATTAACTTCTTTTCATAGAATTGTATAATTTTTTTTAATATATTTATTTTTTATTTATTTATTTACTTATAAAGGCTATATCTTTTTTATTTATTTATTTACTTTATTTATTTACTCACGACTGCCTTAAATTGTTAATGAATCTCTGCTAAAAATCTAATGTCATAATTTGTTCCATTTCAGATTGCGTATAACTTCGAAATAATGGCATCACTAACAGCTCTACTCATTTTCAGTACAATCAGTGTTGTATTTGCAAGTAAGTTTAATCTGCATGATTTAGTTTTCATTAAAACGGATACAATGGTGATACAATCAAAACCATTTTATTTCTTATTCACATTGACTAAAATTGTATGACTTTCATATAGTTTTGGATTACTATTTAGTAAAAAAAATTGAAGACTTCTGCAAACATATTTTTTTAAGTATGGAATTTTAAAGTTTAATTTGTAACATTATTTGCATTTAATTTGTAATACATTTTAATATTTTTTTTGTAGCATAATCAAAATAACACACAACTTCCGGGTTCTGCAAACCTTTAAAATAGTCATATTATTCCATATTTTATTGCATCATACAAATATTTTGTTACGCTATTCCATATTGTGTTTCTTAATTTCTATGACAAACAATCATTAAATTTATCAAACTAAAATCAAGTTTAAAAATATTGTCACTCAAAAAGATTTTCAATTAATAGTTTTTAAAATAGTTGTAACATATACAAATTGCTCTCTTAAATGCATAATATAATTGAAGAACTCGGGATAAGCCTTTTATTTTATAAAATTTTTGAGTAGAGGGTCTTTGATAATTTCGGAGCAAACAGTAAGATATACAGCTGTATATGGTACTGAAATCTGTTAGAAACTTCGGAAATTTGTGAAGTTCCTATATGGAAGGAATAAAAAGGAACTGCTTAGCTACAAAAATTACCCTTGGAAAAGGTTTAACTTATCATTATATCGTCCGAAGCTCTCCAAAAATTTTATCAGTCTTCCAAAATGTCTAAACAATTTCGAAACATAAAATATTTTTGTGAAATTAAAAAGAGATCAAAATTTTATTCTAGTCGAAGTAAAATGTAGGTTCATATTAACTTGAACCTTCCATTTGTAACTCATAGCTGTAGTCTTAGAATAAATTCTAAACAAGTTCGAGATTCGAAGCGGAATCTTTTGCTTAATTATGGAAAAGAGTCAGGTTCATCTTTATTATATATTACTATAATAAAGATATAATATATTATATCTTTATTATATATTACTGTGCATAGATTCCATTACTATACCACCAGCATTTACTTCTTAAGAAGATGAAGCTGGTAGTATAGTAAAAGAAAAGTTCTTATTTTCCGTAAATATTAACTGTTGAGTTACTTTCAAAGAATGTCTTCTTTTTCAATAAAGAATTTAATTTAATGTATTGAATTTTAATACAGGTACTAATTTTCCACGAGATTCGCCAAACCAGGATCAAGCACCGCCATGCCTCCAGAAAGTGACACAGGGTCTCTGTTTGGCTTACTTCGAAAGGTTCTTTTACAACGCTACAGCCAAGACTTGCCAAGAGTTTGTGTATGGGGGATGCCAAGGAAATCAAAACAATTTCCCAACCTTCGATGCCTGCATGACAACTTGTAAAGACACTAAAAACGAAGGTAAATAATTGTTTTTTTTTTTTTTTTACTTAAATGACAAAGAAAACAAAAGTTGATTGTTATCTTGGTAAATTATTGAAATAGGTTATAAATTGAAATAGGTTAAATGATTAATTGAATTGATAATTGTAAAACTAAAAATAAAAAAAAAGAGTAAATAAGTGTGTTTTTTTACTTAAATAAAGAGGTAAACGAAAGTAAATAATTGTTAACCCCTTGGGGACGTGTGATTCATAAAAGCATTCGTACAAAATCAGAATCAGGATATAAATAAATAAAAAACGGTTGCTTAAATGTAGGCGTTGCTAATTTAACAGGCTTACTTTGCTTTTACCTTAATTATTGTTAGTTTAATCATATATATAATCAATGTCAGATTAAAGTATAACTAAATAGTTTTATTTTGAGCAAAGTAATGGTGAATTAAATAAATCAAACAATTATAACTCCGCCCACAAATAAACTGCTAAAGAATTACTTTGATTACTAGTTTTATCTTTTTACTCTGATTGATACGGCTTTATGCTGTCACGCATTTGTGACAGTCGGCGCGAAAGGGTTAATAGGATAAATTATTAAAATAGGGTTGCAAATTCATTGAAAGTAACAATTGTAATTCCTCCAATAGTTGTTAATTCTCCCGGAATTTCAGGAAGATCATATTTGTATATTTAGAGAGATAAGGAAATTTATGAATCTTCCTTTTAATTATCAGATTTATAAATTTAATTTAGAATGATTTTGATTGCAAATATATAAAAATAAATTAAAAATGAGCATAAATGCATGATACTTATAGATGGTGTGTTTAAACACTGGCAAAAATTTTAAAATATTTCTGTCTATATTTTTAATTCAATTCTCATGTCATAACATTCATGTCATTTCATTTCATGTCAAAATTCATTCTTGCAAAGAGCGAAAATGAACAGGTCTGCAATTACATCGGAATTAGATAAAGAATATATATATATATATATATATATATATATATGCTACTCCAANTAAGTATCTTACTCTATATAATATATATATTCGATTTCGGACGAAAAATACAAAAATCTCATAAGCCATGATGTTTTGCACTAAAGTATTTGACCGGGCATACTGTAACTCTGTATCGGTTAATGCTCACTAGACTTCATACAGTTCTAATAGACAATGAGGATATAGAACCTGTATTTAATAAATTACAAACAAATAAAGATTTTAGAACATCGTTGTTTGATCCCCCTTCATCCCAACAATTATAATAAGCAATGAAATAGATAAAAAATTATGAAAAATCATTGAAGTAAATATTGTCTTGTGAAAAACGCAATTGCCTCAAAAAGTTTGCCAATGAGTCTTTCCTAAGAAACTGAAAGTTCCTTTGTATAACAATGCCTCGATTTCTACCAAGTGTTGCCACCGTCTCATCAGTATGTCAATAGGGCAAACGATACGAATGACGCAAAAGACAGAATTGCAATAGAACTCGTTCACCTTCCCGCTTTTTGCCTTTTGACGAGGAAATTCTTTTCTGTCAGAGAGCAGGTCAAGCACCCCTGAGAAGTCAATGGTGAAATAATTGATGGTTTTGCCTGGTTTCATTACACACAAAAAAAAAAAAAAATATATAGAAAACCAAATAAAAGTTCTTTTTTTTCCATAAATTAAATAGTTTTCAGGGACTTATTTTTTTAAAAAATTTTTCTTTAAAATAATGTATCGATTTGTATTTTTTGTGTTACTGTGCAATTTAGTAAATATGCAAAATTTATTAATAAATTGCTGTGATAATGTTTCTAAAAATTTAAATTTTAATTATGATTTTACGTTTTTTAATGTCACAAAAAAGATGTTTTAGTATTTTTAAATTTTGATTTATATTTAACAAAACTAACCATACTTTAATTTTTCATCATAAATTTTTTGTGTTTAACAATAAAAAAATTACATTTTTTTCATTTTTTATAAATTTATAATTATAAATCTTCGAAAAAAAATTCTCAAAAGTAAATTAATCTATATAGTAGACCAATTCCAAATTTCATACGATTATGAGCTCTGATTCATTTATTTTTAATTTTTTAACACGGGTAATAATTTATATTTTTAGTGCTGATATAGCATTTAATATGCACGCAAGCGAAGGTCATTTAAAAGTATATGAGAAATTTTTTTAAAAAAATAATACTTAAACATTTTAAAAATATTTGTTTTTTTTTATTTTTTTGCTATTACAAAAAAGTATGCCTTACCATTCATACATTTTTTTTTATTTTTGCAAAAAATAACCGTACTTTTGTCTTAAACATTTTTTTTCGTCATAATTTTTTAATTTTAAAACTTTATTTTTTTCTATAAATTTATAATTCAACATCTTTTTTTAAAATAAGCATTCGAATCCTCTGACCTAATGAGACAAACGTATGTTTTTTTACCATTTGAGAGAGAATTTAAAAGTTTTATTCAACTGAGCGACTTTAAAATCGATGACCAGACGTCACCAATTTTAACTCTTTATAAAGCCTTTTTTTTTTCTAGTTTGGTAATAAACTATTTTTAGGATTTTGACTAATTTATAAAAGGCTTGATATTAAATTTATAAAAGATTAATTTACATTAAGCTTCTTTTCGAGAACTTTTTTCTTCTTCTTTTTTTTTGTGGAAAGGTGAGTGGGATTTTCGAAAAGTGTTAAAGTAAAGAATAACTGTAAAGAATTTACCACTATATGATGATCTATGCTTAGATATAAATGAAATTATAAATTCTTCGTTTAAACTCGACGAGAAATGATTGAATAAACCAACACATAACGCACAAGAAAAGATAGGCCCCGGTGTTGGTCTCATGCAAACCTTTACTGTTACCCACATTTATGTAAACAAAGCCGTGTTTATTTATTTTGAATTTATCAGCAGATGACTACACAAATCATAAATGGGAAATAGCTAACCATAAACATTTGAAAATTAATGAAGTTGATGGAAAGTATACTTATCAAAGTCTTAGGGTTAAATTATGGTAAGAGAAAACACCATCCAAGAAAGTGATAAAATTTTATTCGTGAAAATCCAAAAAACTGTTGAATTTTCAGAAGAAAATTTTGAATCGTTCCTATTAATCGATTTTTACTGTTAAGAACAGAGGTGGCAAACGTTTTTGAGAAAGTCAGTGGCATGCAAGGAAGAAACAAACATACAGCCAAAGGTGGCATACTTTCTACCCCTAAAGTATTAATTTATTAGTATTAATTATTTTATTTTATAACTGTCGTTGAACAGCCGACCCAATTTTTTGGATTTAAGACTACTAATGTTCAGTTCCATATCCTTGAAATTTTGAACCCAAATACAGAAGACAAGGGAACTTCTGGATCAAGTATTGTTAGAAATTTGCCTTCGTGGGGGACTTTTTGATGGAACTAACCCGCATAGAGGACTCTAACCCATAGTCCGTCTACCACTGAGGATAGTTCACGTCAGCACTGTGGTGGGTGCAAGCCGGATGCGGAATTCCTATCGACCAGCCCTGCTGGGATTCGAACCCGGTTCACATCTTCGGAAGGCGAACGCGTTCTATCCCCTGAGCCATCACGGCTGAATCTACGGTGATAGAAATGGAAAAAAAATGTATTTAAGGGCAAAATTAATGGAAAAGTGGTGCTAATTCGGTTAGAAGAAACGTAAAAAATCGTCATACCATTGACGCCAATGATTCTTAATTAATTTAGGTAATACATACATATAGAAATGAGCTACCTTCTAAAAGGCAAAATTAATGGAGTAAAGGTGTTTTTGCGTTTAGAGGAACCGTAAAAAAATCACCATACTATAATTGGCGACAATAAGGCTAACGTCGATAAATCGAAATAAAAAAAAACGTATCTACTGAAAAGCAAAATGGGACTATTCGTTTTGAGGATATTAGTTATACGCCATATTATTGATACCAATAGCTTAATTATTATCGGTAACATGTATTAATTGGATAAGCATTAATTGAAATAAAAATAATAATAAGTGTGTTAAAAAGCAAGGTTTATGGTGAAAAAGTTAATTAGAAATCCGCAAGGGGAATCGTAGAAAATTGCCATACGCAGGTGACGCTTCATAAATTTCGTCACTATGTACTACTGGTATTATGGTAATCAGCGCAGTTTTAATAAGAATTCAACAAAGGGTTTTCGGTAGTTTCAGAATATATTTTTTTCAGTGGTAACAAAGATAGTGTATTAATATTTTAATGAATTAGAATAAAAAAGGAGGGACTTTTTCCACCACTACTCATAAATATTTTAAACCGAGAATGGTTAGGCTCCAAAGTCTTATGAGAATTCTATTTGTTTTTAAAATGTCGGCATCTGTTTGCTGCCATTGATAAATAAATGTATTTAGCTTAAAACTCAAAGAGTTAAGCAATATGTGCCAAATATACTGATGTATACATAAAGTATTTTATTGATGAATTTGGTAATTATTAAAACTGCACCCATACTAAGCAATTTAAATACCGATACTGTGAAATAAGTATCTTACTCTCCGTTGAAATGAATATGTACCGGAGAAAATGACTTGTTAGTGGTACATTTTGACTATCATGAGTTGGCCGCGAGCAATATCACCACGCCAAGTGATGTTAAATACAGTTAATCACTATTCTAACGAGATGAACTACACAAAAAAAAGTAATTTTCTTAATTGTATAACGTAAATCCACCAGGAAGATAACAAATAAATAAATGAAATTATTTTAGCTTTATTAATTTAAGGGCTTATGGGAAAAACCAGGAAAGTGACAGAGAGATTATAATCGGGGAAAGCAAAAAAGTACGCTCCGAACCTATTCAATTCAACCATCCATTCTGATAAGATGAACTACGAAAAACGTGGTTTGTTTAATATAATCACATAAAGTCACTGGGAAGGGCAACAAATAATAATAAATAAAAATGACTGAAATTCTACTATTTTTTATTGAAAAGGTTAGTAAATAAACCAAGTACCACATTTTCAGACAGACTATAAACAGGATAAGAAGGTGAAAAAAAAATTGATCGCCAAACTATTTTATTTCAGATTTATTAGAAGGTGGGACTAATAATTATTTACCTTATTTTATTTACCACTGAATTTGAAAATAAAAATCTTGCAAGCATACTAAAAACTAATGTGGATAAGTTGTGTCAAGATTAAAGTGAAAGCAAAAACAATTCTTTCACATTAAACACACCCAAATTGATGCAACTATTTTGTTACTTTCACTGACTCATAAATACCCCTAAAAATGTCACTTACCTGGTTCTTCCACTTCGCACTTCAATTGTGTTGGTATTCAGTTTTATGCGTGATTTCGTAGTGCTGTTCAGTACTGATAAATTGACTTTTTTTTTATTCACGCCATACAAAGGATGGGTATTCAGCTAGTATATAAAATAACAATTTTAATATTTAATAAGATAAGCTTGAAAAACGGAATCGAATGCTATGCCCATTTTCTTAAATACACATTTCGAGCTCTGTCATATTTTGTTAAGCACGCATTTTAAGATGTGTCCCGAATGAAAAGCTCATCAATGACCTAGTTCTTGTAAAATGATCGAGGACAACAATGTATGTGCCTCAAATTAACATTTTAAAAAATACAAACAGCTTTCAGGGTAAATTTCAATTGAAGAAAAATGAATAAGGACGATTTTTTCCCTATATTTTTCAGCAACAAGGGCATTAATTATTTGATCATTCAAATTTTAAAAAACGTGAAAATTCTCATTTATTTATTTTTGTTCTCAGGAGAGGAGGCAGAAGCAGCTGAAAGCGCAGCAGTTGAGAATACATGCAGTCTTCCAAAGCAACCTGGCATCTGCTACGCTCATTTCGAACGTTTTTATTTCAATGGAAAAAAATGCGAATCTTTCATCTATGGAGGGTGCATGGGGAATAAGAACAATTTCGAAACCATAGAAGAGTGTAAGAAGGCTTGCATCAAAGAAAATAACCAAGTTCAGGTGGCGGCATCTTCGGTTCAGAGTAAGTTAAAATGTCAAGAGAGTTTTTTTCATCTCTGCCTGTTTTATTCTAATTAAAGCAGCGATGCCAAAACGGTTAAGCACTGGACTGCTTGATCTATCATTTTTAAAGAATCATGGTTTTGTTTTCAGTATCAGCTCGAAGCTCCCTCTGCTTCGGATCGATGGGCACCAGCTTGACTGGAAGGTAACGTAGGATAGTGGGCAATTCTCACCGGTCTCGAAAATTAAACCTAAGTATCCACCACTCTTTTGTTGCCTGATAACTTGCTGATGAAGGATTCCTTCATTCTCTTTTGCCTGATAACTTGCTGTAGGAATATTTCTTTACTTCCTTTTGCCGGATAACTGGCTGTTGAAGAATTTCTTCATTTCATTTTGCCGGATAACTGGCTTCTGAAAGATTTCTTTATTTCCCTTTACATGATAATTGGCCTTTGAAAGATTTCCTTTTGCCTGATAATTGGCTGTCGAAAGATTTTTTTTCACTTCCCTTTGCTTGATAACTGGCGGATGAAGCGTATTTTTTACTTTCCTTTGCCTCATAATTGGCTGTTGAAGAATTTCTTTACTTCGAGGTGCATGTGCGATGGCAAAGTGGTTAAGGCAATCGTTGTGAAGAACTAGAATTCCATTAGGTTATAAACTCATGTAACCCTGTTATATTGGTTTTTAACTCTTTTATTTACATGGTGCTAGGGTGTTTCATATAGATCATCTATATTTTTAGAATCTTGTAAAACATAAATGAAATTTCATAAAAAACGCACATATAAAAAAATTCAAATTGATATTTAAGTGATGAAAAAAAAACTGAAACGGTTCAAAAATATGACCAAAAATGATTGAGATCCCTGTAAAAGATGGATTAAAATCAAATTACTTGCCCAGTATTTTATCTAGCATTTTCTGCTAAGGACCACCTTTTATTATTTAATAATAGTTGGAAAAAACTGTTGAATTGTAAGGCATAGGTATACAATTCTTTACTTCATTTTAACGAATGTAATTTTACATGGCAAAATACATAATTTGAGTGAAATTCGTCAAATAGTTCCTGAGAAATTAAATTTTAAAAAAGTCATACTTTTAACCTATCAAACCATTAAGTCCTAGAACGTGAAGATCCGATCATTAAATCAAAAATTATTTAGGGTGGTTCGTTTATTTATTTATTTTTTGCGAGCTGTACTAGAAACTTCGTGAGAGTGTATAGTCTTATCTCGAGCCAACTGAAAGCAACGTCACTGAAAGATCATCTCTTGACTGCCAGACAGTATGTATCTTTCCATGTAGAGTATCATCCGTCTTACTATGGATGGTTGGCCGTGTAAAGCTAAGTGCAGATGGCTAAGGGTTAAAATTCGTCGTTCGCCTACGCTTGAAAAAAATGCACCATCCAATACTATTATACTTGTAGTGTTTTCAATATAACACATTCTTTCAATATAGCAGACAACGAAATAAACCACAAATGAATTCGGAAGACGACGTGAGCTGGCTATAATGGCTACCCAAAAAAATAACAAACATTGCTATTTTACACAAATATAGCCAAATAAGGGATAACACTAAAAACATGGTTACATCTTTATTTATGCTGTGATATTAATTTTAAATTTGTTTCACGATCTGTTAAAATTTATAAATTACAGAAAACTCTTATGAATGGTAAAATTACGAGCAAATATCACACAAATAAAACTTCCTAAATATTAAACCTGTTCACACATCGCCTCATAAGCATAACATAAGCAGAGGGATACAACGGAAGTTTTCTAATTTTTTCCGATTTTAGGAAGTTTGTTATTGTTTACATTCAGTCAACCATCCATACTTGTAAATAAACACTTATTTGAAACAGAATGAATTATTTAAGAATTACTTATTTTGTCGCAATAGTTATTGAAATGCATGTGTATCATTTTTCACAATATATCATAATTTTATTTTTAAAAGATCTTTTGTCTCCTTTTACAGGTGATGAAAAACAAAATCAAGCATAGTATACCACCTTGCTGCAATTTTACAACATTAAGATCAAGAAATCACTGATTTCAATTTTTAACGAATTATTTATTTCTTCATTTTATCTACTAAGTTATTATGTGTGCTTTTTGTTCATATTCATAATAAAAATTGTTTTTATTTTAAGTTCAATGATTCTTCGCCTCCATATTTTTACAGACATGCAAGACCTTAATGACACCGACTTTGACTTAAGCATTTCAGAATTATTTGCCATTTATCGCTTATTTGAGGAAATCAGTACTGATCAACACTACGAACTCATGCACAATCCCCACTTTTTTGAACCATCCAAAGATACCACCAAAAGTTTTCTAATTTGTTGATTGCAATTCACTTTTCTTTTAATAAAAAAAGATTCGTTGGCCTTTCAGCAGAAGGGTCTCTCAGTGGATCGCGGTGTAGTGATTTTTTTCTTTCTTCGGTTTCTGTCGCGCCTGCAGTATGCTTGATGAAGATGAACATGAAGCTTCGTACATGAAGATCTATATTGCTTGGCACCCATGCTGACAGAGTGGCTTCATGCGACGAGACGATGCATCTGGGTGTCCTCTTCACCCGAGTCACTGTAATTCATTTCACAGCAAACATTTTATTCCACAGCAAAAGTTAACATATGCTGTAATGAGGTGGGAAATCGTAGCTTCCAGCTTTGAGTATAGAATAAACCAGCCCTTCTCTATTGCATTGGCTGAGGGCTTAAATATAATTTCTTACAAAAAATGTATATTTTTTAAACTAGTTTTAAAAAAGAGAAATGATAAAAAAAATTTATGACTACAAAAAAAGTACAATTTTAAATTATAATTCTACAAAATATGAAAATAAGACTTTGTGTGGTGAGGAAAACCACTCGCTACAAGCCAGATGCAGAATTCGTATCAACTAGCCATACCTGGGATTCAAACACGGTTCAGCTTATTGGAAGGTGAATGCTCTATTCCCTGAGCCACCAGGGCTCGAAGTTTAAAACTTGAACAATATATTCCTTATAAGATTACAAGGATATATTTTTTAAAAAAAGTTTCATTTCGTATTGGACAGTTATAGCAGTAATTAGCCCAATAAACAAAAATGCTAAATAACTTGTTTTCTCCTATTGCTACTGACTAACTGATGTAGCATACCTGTCTCTGGCACTTGTGCTATTGAATCGGGAAGAGGAGGCAGACTATGGGAAATAATGAAGCTGTATTTATGTAGGCGGAACGCCCATCCGCCGATTTGTTCCATCGCACTAAAATTCCAATGTCGAGGAATCAGAGCATTGGCACGTTTAATTCATGCAAATGAAGGCCAATGCAGTTTTGTGATTAAATTGAAGCACTAGAGAAAACTTTCAAGCTTTGTAAAAAAAAAAATAATAATATATAAAATTAGAGCGGAAACGCTAAGGAAATAACTAAGGTAACTCATTTTTTAAAACTTTTTATTTTCGGATAGAAAAGAATATTATTAAAAGTTCAACAAAAACGACAAATTATTTTAAAACTTAGCAACACGCCAACCATGTTCACGAATATGGTCACTTAATTTACTTTTGTAGGAAAAACAAATATTACATTCAAAACAAGAATAAAACTTGTATGCTCAATTAAAAGAGTTTTTTTTAAAACTTGCCTTACATACACTACAAGAATTAGACTTTTCAACAGAATGGACAAAATTATGTTTACTCAAATCACTTCTATGGGAAAAACACAAATACAAGAATATTACAGACATACAAGAAACACATATACAAGAAACAAGATATTAAAAAGTTAAACAAAAATGACAAATTATTTTAAGACTTTCTAATACGCCAACCATGTTCACGAATATGGTCACTTAATTTACTTTTATGTGAAAAACATATATTACATTCAAAACAAGAATAAAACTTATTATGCTCAATTAAAAGAGTTTTTTTTTTAAAACTCGCTTTACATACACTACAAGAATTAGGCCTTTCAACAGAATGGGCACAAGTATGTTTACTCAAATCACTTCTATGGGAAAAACACATATTGCATTCACTGCAAGAATTAAGCCTTTTATGTTGAAAAAGAAGAATTTTTCTAGAAAAACGTGCTTTACATATATGACAAGAATAGGGCTTTTCCTTTTCAACCATATGAACACGGCTGTGAATTCTTAAACTATACTTTTGATAAAATGATGCATTACATATACTACAAATATAAGGATTTTTATCGACGTGAACACGGCTATGCCTCTCTAAAGCACTTTCCTGAAAAAAAGTCTTTTTACATTTGCCGCATGGATAAGGATTTTCAGCAGAATGAACCGGATAGTGCGCATTTAAATGGCTTTTTTTAGAAAATTCTTTATCGCATACGCTACAAGAATAAGACTTTTCCCCATTGTGAACACGCTTATGCTTGTAGAACTCATTTTTGTGAGAAAAATGCAAATCACATTCATCGCAAGAATAAGGCTTTTCAACATGATGTATAATATTGTGTTCATGTAAATGACGTTTGTAAGAAAAACACATATTACATTCACTACACGAATTAAACTTACTATGTTCAATCAAAAGAGTTTTTTTTTTAAAACTTGCCTGACATATACTACAAGAATAAGGCTTTTCAAGAGAATGGGTACGAACATGAACTTGCAAATCTTTTTTTTTAAAAAAACATTCATTACATATACTACAAGTATAAGGAGTTTTACAGGAACGAGCGAGGATGTGCTTATTTAGAGCACTTTTCCGAGAAAAATTCTGTTTACATAGGGTACATAAATAAGGTTTTTCACCAGAATGAGTCCGAAAGTGAGAATTTAAATTACCTTTTTGAGTAAAAGTCTCATGACATATACTGCAAGAAAAAGGTTTCTCTCCAGTATGAGTACGATAATGTATATTTAAAAAACATTTTTCAGAAAAATGCTTATTACATATATTACAAGAATAAGGTTCTGCACCACTATGTAGCAGATAATGTCTACGTAAAGTACTTTTCAGGGCAAAACACATATTACATATGCTGCAAAAGTGAGGCTTTTTAATCTTCTCAGAATGAATAAGTTTGTGTCTACTAAGAGAACTTTTTTGAGAAAATCGCACATTACATACATTGCAAGGATAAGGCTTTTCGTCACTATGAACATTAACATGTTCGTCTAAATTACCTTTTCTAGCAAAGCATGCATTGCACGTACTACAGATATAAGGCTTTTCACCAGAATGAACAGAATAATGTGCTTTTAAACTACCTCTTCGAGGAAAACGCATGTGACATATATTACAAGAAAAAGGTTTATCGTTGGTATCGACAGAGCTGTTGCTCGCGGGAAGTGTAAGCAGAAAAACTTCACCAGACATGACGAATAAACGTAGATATCTTTTAACAACACACAAAATTTAACAAATTGAGTTTAATGAAATTAAAAAAAAATTTTAGAGAGAAAGCAGATAACAAGAATGCGAACTTTTAACTTTACTCCTTTTTTCTATGTTTCATTATTTATTTGAAAACAAATATTAACAATTGAGAACAAAATGTTATAAATATATTTCTAATAAAATAATTAAAAAAAAGTTTTATACAGACTTTTCACCTAAGTTTTACAATCAAAATATAAAATGATTAGTTTAGTTAAATTATATTAAACATAAAGGCTTGACACATTAATTGTCAAAACATGTGAAATATACTTTACAAAATATTTAAGATACACATTCTATTCTATACCTTTAACTTGAAATCAAGAAATAAGAAACATAAATGTAAATTTATACAATAAGAAAATTAACAGGAATTTTCCATGCAATATCTATATTAGAATTTTATGTAAACCACAAATTAACCTTGTGATTATCCAACATCATTTTAAAATTTTGTGTAGATCATAAATGATAATTTTTTCTTTGTTATATTAATAAAAAATAATTCAAAATGTACAATTAAATGAATGAAGCTTGAAAAAAAAAATTGTATTTTTTAAGAAAAAATAGCATTAACAAGACTTAGTGACAAGAAAAACAGTTTATCAGTCAGATGCTATCTTCACTATGTTATTTAAAAAACACAGAGAATGAATGAGGTATTATTTGGCACAATAAAACAAAAAATTATATTCTTCAGATAAGTCAAGGGTGAAAAAATTGCACTAACTTTAAAAATGCAGTCTAATTTTGCTTATTTTAATTTTCAAATTGAGACTAAAGTTGATCCTTATCCAATTATTAGTACATCATTCCTTAATGTTTTCACAGAGTACGAAAAATTTTGTTGATATCCTAAAAAAAAAAGAAAAAAAAAGGTTATATTTATATATAATTTATATATATTTAGCAAGTTTTTGACACACATCAATTTTTTACAGTTACACCATTGATAAAAACATCAAAAACTTTTACATCTGCTTTCGCTTATGGGTATAAACATTATTACTTTAAAAATAGTTATCCCATAATATACCTGAGATAAAAAGTTAACACTTGGTTTTGAAAATGTTAGCAGTCCTTCGTGAACTTCTATTTAATTAACGTTATTTTATAAACTTATAGTTTATTATATGTTATTTTATACAACTAAAAAATTGGTAATTTGTTTATAATAAACTCTTAATGTCATTTCCTCAGTCTTTTTTTCTTCTTCTTCCATTTCTCGAAGTTTAAATTTGTCAGTTGCGATTGTGAATGACCCAATTGCTCTTGCATGTTTTTTCCCCTTTTAAACTCCAGGGTCTGTCAAGGGTTTTTTGAGAGGTACCAATTAGGTGAAAATTTAGACATATTTTGTGAAAATTAAAAAAATTATAATTAAAAAATCAACACACAAATATGGTAAAGTAAGAAAATATTTTCAAAAATTGTTACTACAAATAAAAATCAATCCTCTTCTTCACTGACTGTAATTGCAGTTGCTAATGTGTTTACCTGACTAAAATTTGCAGCAGGTATTTGTTGTTTTACAGCCATTTAACCAGGGTTGGGTTTTTGCCGTAAAAAACTGGTTTTTGACATGACAGTGATAAAAACCGTGTTTTTACCAGTAAAAACCTACTGTTTTCTTTAATTTATGGCATATAGCGGACAATATATTATTTTCAAATAATTGCCTTTATAAATAAACGTTGTAAATGATTGCTATTGATTTTGCAACTATATACATGTATTCTTATAAAAGGATATACATTCATATAGAAATATTGTAATATACTTATTGAAAATAGTGATACTTACTTTTATCATTATAGCTTGATTTGCAAAGGATTCAAAATTTTGCACTTCTTAATTGTTAGAAATAAACAAACAAACAAAAAAGCTTGGAACTATTAATAAATTCAAGAACTAAAAAGAAGAATTTAAAATTTGGCATTTCTTAAATATTAGAAAGAAGCTAAACAAAACTTGTAGCTACTAACAAACTCTAAGTCAGGAATGACTTGACATTTTTCAGTAATGTAATATGCCAAACAAAATGATGCTCGGAAATGTTGAAAATTTTGTTTATTATCCTAATATTTTACTTCAAATAGTATGTTTTAATATAATCATGTTGGGAAAATTTGTTCTTTATCTTTTAACAACTTTTTTTCTAATTTTATTGTCTAAAATGAATTAATTTTAAATTACAAGCAGCTAAACTCAAATAAAAATACAGTTTTACCAAAACTATGGGTTTTTGACATGACGGTAAAAACCGTCATGTGTCAAAAACTTGCCAACCCTGCATTTAACACAATTCGGCTTTTGAAGATCATATGTTTCAACAATGTTCTTTTTTTCTTGGTGGATTATTTAGAATTTTTCTTTTATGAGTTTTGAAAGATCTGTAAGTAATATATAGTTAACAAATTTCAGTTTGAAACCCACAAACAAAAGAAATAACGCTACTTGTGTGGATTACACTTGTTGATGAAATTGAAGCGTTGTAGTTAAAAAAGAATAAAATGAAATAGAGAAGGGTTGCATTTTTGGGCTGTGTGTACAGTTTTAAATACATAATGCAAAAGCTTGAAAGTCAAAAAGAGAAATGCAAAATAGATAATAACATAAGGATTTACCTGTAACACAGAAAAAAATATGTGCATGCACATAAGTTTTGATCTAAAGAATTTTTTTAAATCATCAAACATAATTACTTAAATATTCAGCATTGAGGTGTTTTCCATAATACTAAGTAATTTTATTTTTCAGAATTATTTAATTTATCATACTATCTGGAAAAAAAGACTCACCTAATGAATGATTTGAAACATCATTGTCTAACCTCCAGTTGAGTATGTGTGGCACCAAAAATTATGAGAAACAGCCATAGCACCATCTATTGTGGAGTATTAAATAGTTTCTTCATCAGCAGAAATTTTATCACTGAAAAAAGTTTAATAATTACTATATTTTTTTTAAACTTCTTCAAAAATAAGAAGGAATTTTACAATATATGGTTAAGCAGGGATGGTTGTAAAATACGAAAATCTCCATTAAAAAACAGAATGTGAATAAAAATTTCAAAAAAATCCTCTTTTTTCATTGATACTTTCTTAAACGTCATCTTTCAAACACGTTATTACATTACATTCATTGGTTCTTATTTTTCAACAAAAGTCCATTCCACCTTAAGTTGGCACTGCAGGGAAGGGTAGGAAATGTAATATTCCTCCTTTGAAAAGTAGTTCCTCGCTATTTTGGAATTAATTGCAGTTTAAATGTGCGTACAAATATAAATAAATGTTGTATAATAAGAAAAGTTTATCTTGAAACATGCATTAGAAGTTTTTTATGTTTAAATGTATTTAACTTATAAACACCTTCATAGTAAAGCGAATGTACAAAGAAGAAGGAGGGGTTTTAGTTTGGCGCTGGATTAGTTTTCAAGGCCAAGAAATTGGCGCGTTGGCTATGTTTATACACTGGTCAGCCAGCTCTTTCCATTCTCCTTGCCTTTGCTTAAGAGTCCTATCTCTTGTGCAGTTCTTATTTCGCTTTCTTTTTGTATTTGATTATTTAATTTTCTAAATATTAACCTCATATGTACAATATTTAATTGAAATTTTTTTTCCTTCAGAATGAATGAAAAAAAAAACCCACCCAAATAGACAGGTGAATCTTATTAAACTGATGACAGCTGAGTATATTTGCTGTGTAGCTAATTCAATATGTGATTCTATTATTATTTTTTTACGACAAAAGAAAAAATATTTTCGCTTTATTCAATCTCTGTAAAGATTAAAATTTTGTGTCGTTTGCGCCATGTGTAACTCTAAAGTACAATTCGCTTTTTATAGGAACTTTAAAAATGTGATGGAAGAAATTCAAGATTTTTAGTTCGTTTAATTAAAGGGACTTTTAAATATTATCTGAAATACAAATTCCATAATATAAGTGCGCAAATCCGTTAGTTATAAACTAATAAAATGTATAGGAATTGAAATAATTTAAAAAAAGACACAACATTTGAATCATTAATTTTTTTTAAAACATCGAAATGTTAATTTAAACCAATCAATATTTTAATTATTATTTTTAAAATACGAAGCCAAAAAAAACTGAGAAATTATTTTTCTTACGCAGAAAATGTAAGATACTTCAGTATCTGACAAAAAATTTCGAAACTAACTAATTCTACTGTACTTAAATAACTAATTATACGGATTTTTCTCTTAAGCCTCCTTTTACCCGAAAAGATCCTGAAAAGTAAAGGAAGGTTCTGATATTTTAAAATATGTATTTTCTTTTGAAGAAATGCGTCCAACCACCTAAGTAGAATTTCTTCTGATGAGAAATTGTGGATTGAATTCAATTCAGTGCGACTCCACAAAGAGTTTGCAGAAGGAACTGTCAACTGTTAAAATATTAAATGAATAACATGATAACCACCAGGATAGGTGGTTATCATGTTATTCAAAGAGTTCCTGTTGAGTCTAAGAGGGTGGAATATGGCAGCTGAAAACATGGGGGGGGGGCGTACAAGTAGTACGCCCTCCATGTGGATAATACTAAAAATCCAAATTTATACCATTTTTGAGAATTTTTTTTTTCGATAAGTTCTTTTGTCTCTTAGAAGCAAATATATATGAAAAAAAATTTTAATTTTTTATTTATAAAAAAAAAGAACAGTAAATACTAAAAAAACTTAGGTATGATATTTTTCATGATCAATGATTTCCTGCCTATGTTGACTTTTTCTTCCCCCACAAAACACCAATGAAGGATAAATTAATGTACAAAAAAAAGCAAATAAAGATAAACATTTAAAACAACGTATTTATGCGCATCTATGCATTTGTTTTTTTACTTAGATTTTCAGCAAAAAAGAATCTTTTTAAATATTTTTTTTTCTTAAATTAGTTTTGTTTACTTAAAAAATCATAATAAGAGAAGAACAGTAAATATTATAAAACACAAGTATGATCTTTTTCATGATCAATAATTTTCTGTCTATGCTGACTTCTCCTTCCCCAACAAAACACCAATGAGGAATAAATTAATGTACATTAATCTACAAAAAATAAGAATATAAAAATAAATGTTTAAGACAAAAATTTATGCGCATCTATGCACTTCTTTTTTTTTACTTAGATTTCAGCGAAAAAGAATCTTTTTGAATATATAATTTTTTTTTTCTGCTGTTTAAAATTAGTTTCGTTTAGTCTAAAAATCATATTAAGAAAATCTGCCTTTTAAGTACTAATTAAGAAATCAGCTTACAACTAGTATCTCAAAATTTTAGTACGATTCTTGGTTTAAAAAAAAATCGGCGTTTTGCTTTCTTAAACGCCAATACTGGCCACTTTCTCTCTCTTTTTTGCAACCTCATCCCCAAACTGACTTAAAGAGTAATCCAGTTTCCATGACAATGGCTGTAATCCGGCCTACCTACCTTTCTCTCCAGTGCCAACTTAAGGTGGAATGGACTATAACCTGGATGGACGTAGGGGCCCCCGTCTAATTCATATGGATCCCAAATGATTTTGTCATTAGAATTTTTAATTCTTCAATTGACCATGAAAGTTCCTTCTTTTCAGTTATCTATTTTTACATGCCCATCAGGTGTTTATACCAGGTGTTTTAAAGGGTCATTAATTCTTCTATATCTAAGAAGTTGTTAAGTTTTGGGTGTGACTGGACTATAGATGTAAAATACTGGGGGTTTTATAACTTGGGGTAAATATCCAAAATTCATAAATACTTGCGTAGTTATCAATTTTAAGGAAAATTCAAAGGAATTCAATTTAGTTCTTTATACAAAATTATATATATTTTAGACTTAAGTTTCGTTTATATTGTCAATACTTAATTTGTCACTTACTATCAAGAAAAATTCATTCAATTGAAGATATAAATTATTGAAATCATTATTTTTCAATTTCTTTTTTTTTTAGAACAATTATGGTTCAATTCTCTTTAAATTCACATTTCTAATCATAATTCTCAGTCTTTGTGGTTTTAAAAGTAACATCTAAACAAGGACAGTTTTGTTAGAATTATATTTTAGAAATGCAAAAGTTAACTCAAATTTTATGTAATTACTTTAAAAAGTTTGTCATACATAACTTTTCCTGCATCTGAATAGTACATAATTCCTTATTTGATTCATATTTAATTGTGCTGCATTGATATCTTTCTGAATAATAATAATGTCCAATGTGCTAAATTGACTGTAAAGATTTTTGAGTTTTTATTTCATTATTATTAATGAATTAAGAAATATAGCTCACACTAATTTGGTCTTCAAAGCGGAACATAAAATATATACTAATTTGAATATTTCCATATTTTTGTATGCTAATTTTAAATGAGATCAGGAAGCTTTTTTCCGCATGAGAAAAAACTGCTCTAAGAAAAAAATATATATATATTATTTCCCCATTTAATGCATGCTCATGGAGTACACTCACTCTTTATTTGAATAAAGACACTTTTAAAGTAACTAACATAATTTATTACACATCTACTGTTAAACAGTAACAAAACAGATCTGTATCTGTTGTATACAAGTATTTATACTTTTTTTTACCTTCTTGCTATCAAGGCATTGTGTTTAACAAATAGTGCACAGAGCATTTCAATTGCTAATAAAAACTGTGGACTCATTTAATAGAAATTTATAGTTTATTACATTATGCAAATATTTTATCAATAACTTTTTTGGAGAATGCATCAAAGATAAACATAGTGAAAATTAGCAGTAAATCCTCTCTTTTTAAAAATAAATGTCTTCTTTTTTTCAAAATTAATGCAGGCCAAGAATTTAAACTAGTCGTTTTTTGATTTAACAATAATCAGTCAACTATGACATGAACCTTATGAAAAGGTGAGTTCCCCCAAATATTTTTTTCCAACTACATACAGCACTGAGTAAGGTACGTATAATAAATACACTACATTTTTAATTTTGGTCGGCATTTCATTATTTGGTGAGAAAATAATTTTTAAAAAGCTTACGTTTTTTTATTATAATCATGTTGAGTTAAAATATTACGGTAAAAAGAGTTTTAACTGTAATTCAGGCTTGTTTGTCTAGTAAACACCCACGCGCGCTTTCATGTTTGTACATGAAGTGAGCTTCCTGCCGGCGGGGTTAAGAGTATAGATGTAACAATATATTACAGAAAACGTAAACGCTTTCTTTGGAATCGAAGGTGCACAGTACTTAGATGATGCACAGTTATACTAACTCAGCGGTAGTTATAACTATATGTATTTTTCCCACATACTACAACATTACTTTATACAGCACGGTACTTGTAGCTTCTCAAACAAAAGAGCGGGAGATCCAGCGGCTTTGTTTATTTTTGTTGACTCGTGTCGGCTGCGTAAAATGCGCATGCGCTAGCAACAAAATATTGGCACCACTGTCAAATGTAAATAGCGATAAAAAGCCAAATGATGCCATGTTTATTAATTATATTTGGTTATGATTGCGGCATTGGGACCTTTTTTAAGAATTAGGTAAAACTTAATAACTGCATTAATTGTACACAAACTTTACATAAATTCATTATGATGAAAAATTTTACTCTTATAAAAAAATAAAACTTCGTTAAGAATGAAAGATAATGTAATCAATATTCACTAAAAATGGAATTTCATTTTGAGAGACAAGCTTTTTATAAAACTTCTTAGGAATCATAATTTTTTAAAAATTAGCTTTTCCCCTTTTTTTTTAAGATAAGAAAAAATTACAAACCTTTGTACAGATTAACTAAGTTATTTTAACCAGAATTTTTTTTAAAAGTTCATAACATAATCACATATCTTTATAACCATGCTCACTCATTATACTTTTCCATTTCAAAGATATTTTTTTATAAACATTAATTAATTTTAATCTTAAATCTGATTCGCTGCTTTAAATATTAACAGAATTATGTACCTATTTTTAAATTTATTTTTTATAGAAATTGTGGAGATTTAACTTTAAAGTAAATTAAATTGAATACTGTTAAGAATGTTAACATTAAACAAAGAATGTTCAAATCTCATTTTTGAAAATTTATATTTAGAGAAAAGTTATTATTTCACACACAAATGTAATTCGTAAAAAAAAAAATGCTTTTCTTCTTTATTTACTTTGTTATTAATTAATTATAACTAATATGTATTTACAGTTAAGTCACCATCAAAACTAATATGTCCTATTTTACTTTGAATGTATATCAGTTATGACTTTATTAATAGCAACAAAAAGCAGTTATGGCTGAGATAATTGTAAATCCCAATTGTTGAATTTAATATGCAATGCCAATTAACTCACTGTCATTACTAATTAAGAATAATATTTGTGAAACTATTATGGTGATGCATTTTATTTTAAAAAAAAGCTTTCTTTTTAGTAATTTCATAAAAATATATAATTATTAGAATTAATTATAGAAAAAGGGATGAGCNAATAAAATCAATTGTTACGTTCAATTTTGTTTACTCATAGTTTATAAACTGAAAGCATAAAAAAAATGATAACGAGATTGTTTAGTTCCAACACTTAAGTTTTTTTTAAACTAAAAATAAAATTAAATGTTGGGCCCCCTCCAAAATTTTAACTTATATTCGCCACTGATGCCAATTAACTCACTGTCATTACTAATTAAGAATAATATTTGTAAAACTATTATGGTGATGCATTTTATTTAAAATAAGCTTTCTTTTTAGTAATTTCATAAAAATATATAATTATTAGAATTAATTATAGAAAAAGGGATGAGCCTCTGAAAGTATACACAAATATATTTATATACCTTTTATCTCAAAGATATTTTTCTGATATAACATTTTTTAAACTTAAATCTCCTTACTTTACTGAGAATGTATTTGTTTCAATTATTATAAATTTCCAATACCTGCAATGTAAATTATTGGACAGTTTATATTTCAAGTATTGCTAAAATTATGCTTCATCTAGTGTTATAGATTAAATAATTTTAAATGCATGAAATCTGGTCTAAAATATTAACAGTTACAATTATGTGGCAGGATTAAAAGTTGTGTTCATGTATGCATTATTGAAACTAAAACTCATAATGTAATAAAACTTAAATTAACTTAGTACCTATAATATATTGAATTGTTACATTAAGAATATAATTTTATAAAAATATTTCTATAAGAATAAATTAATGTTAATAATTAATGATTTAATAAAACTGGATTAATGTTTTATAAGCAGTTGTGCTCGTTTAAAATAAACTCGACACAACCTAATTAAAGAAATACTTCAGTCAATTCAAGTTTTATTTTTAGTGCTTTGAAACTATTTGGTACAGTATTAAATATGGTTCTAAAGCTTCTTATTTTAAGTTTTGCATTAAAAATTTCTTTATATTTCAGATAGGGGAAAAATTTCTCAAAAGTTACATCAATTCCAAAATAAATGAATAAAATACATGTTGTAATTTATGATAAAAAGTATTAGGGAGACACGCTAATGTTTAATATCTTTTAATCAAATATTATTGAATCAAATGGTAATTTATGCAGAAATCTTAATTCTGTAAAAAGTAGAAACAATCTTTTGAAACAGAAACTAATAACCAGTCCTTAGCTTTTTTTTCTTCTGATTTTAACTGTCTTTAAACTTAAATTCAATGTTGCTATTGCATCAAATTGCTTTTCTTTCTATACAAATTAGCTCCTGAATATAAACTATCCACTTTAGCTCCTGAATATGAACTATTTAGCAATAAAAATATTGACGAGAAACCCTGTTTGGAACGCTGGTAGGGGGAGAATTATTGTCGACATCATGATCAACGTCATTTTTAACCTTATCTATTGCATTGAAGTTCAATCCAATAAGCAAATTGCATGCAGTGGAAATAGTCCATTAGATAATAGTATTACATTATATCAAGCCTTCGTCTTAAAGCACACAAAAAAAGTAGCTGTAATCGTCCTAAAAAAATTATTAGTATATTTATTTTCAAAAAACTTCAAAATTCTGTCTTGATTTTCTTTACTGTTTTCTTGTTGAAGAAACAGTTAATTCTATGCTTGAAAAAATAAATTAGTTTCGTGTCGTGTGATAAAAATGTAAGTAAGTTATTACAGTTATACTTTAGAAAAAGTGGAATTTTTTTAAAAATGTTTAAATTTTGCAAAACACTTAGTATGCCAGTTATGTTTCTTGCGATACAAATTGTATTACATCTACTCATTAAGCTTAAAAATAAAAACCAATGAATTTAAGGGGGAATTTAAACTTTTGGAATCATTTTTAAATAAAATTTAAAAGTATTTCTCAACTTTGCCTTTTTCGTATTTTGTTGTTGAAATCATTGAACTTAGCGGAAGTAAATTATTTTTTAAAATACAATTCAATCTTTTTAGTACGACTTCTAATTCCTTATACATTAATCGTTTGGTGATTGTAGTTGACACAACAAATCACAAATTACGGAAATATCCCAGAGTTGTTATTCAATGTTTTTTTATTTTTTTGCTACTCCTTCCTTGGAAAGTGGTTGCGCACACGCCTAAGCTTGGCTATTATTTTGGAGGAGATACCAGTTATGGAAAGCTTCTTAATCTTACTGCACATTAAATGTAAAACAGTTTAAATTTTCTTTAAATGAAGGATGTATAATTACACAAAACCCTAAACCAGCTCTCATTTTTATCGTTTATGTCACTATTATTAAATTATTTCCCCTCCTTAATATTATAATCTCTCTAAAAGTTCAAATTTTGATTTTTTTTAATCTGAAATTTAAGGCTCACATGTTAGTGTTGTTCACTTATCATATTATAAAGTAAGTGTATGATCTTAGTAAAATATTTCATGAGAAAGGTATTTAGTTACTCTTTTACAACTATAATATTTATTTAGATACACTTTTAAAATAAAATTTTACAAAAAAGATATCTTTTGTCAATGTATGTAATAAAAGTAATTAATACAAAATTAATTAATGCTTATTATATAAAATTAATTAATGCTGGTAATTAATGCTTAGCTAAAAAAGAATTGGTAAAATTTTTATCGTAATTAAAAATTGAATAAAAATTTTACGGACGAGTTTGGGAGAGAAATTACAATATTATCATAGAAAAGTGTTTGATTAAAATTTTATTATTTTAGAACTGGTAACGAAATCTGAGGAACCGATTGTTAATGCAATAAAAATTTTGAAATTTTTTATTGTATAGTATTGTAAGTCTTTTAAGGCAATGGCTTAGGTCTTCTTTCTTTGTTATCCTACTTACATTTGCATTCATTATTTATTTCATCTTACTATTCGTACCTTTTTGCCTTGCCATTGGAAATAAAATTTTAAAAAAAGTATTGTAAGTGAGCAAGAGATGGAGTTCCTATTTAAGTAATAATGTTTATGCACTATATATTAAATTAAAACAATGGTTTATGCCTATATACAAAATGAAAAAAAAAATTTTGACGATTTTATCAGTGGTTGAAACCATTGAAAATTTATGTATGACAGAAACTTGCTACTCTTGATTGTGTCTCACTATATGATTAACTTTTTTTTTCTTTTTTAGGATGTCATCAAAGGTTTTTGTACACTATATAAATAATGAAAAAGGATATACAAATATTCATTGCATAGGGATCAACTTTAGTCTCAGGGGAAAAGCGAAATAGATGAATAAACAAAATTCTATTGCTTTTTTAATAGTGTACATTATTTCCCATCTTTGACTTTTATAACAAATATAATTTTTGTTGATGTCTGCATTTTAAAGTTTCATGTAAGAAAGTTTTGAGCAATTTATTATTTTTTCTTTTTAGGCACTGTTGCTTTAATAATAAGTTGATGATAATAACTAAAACTGTGATTGATCAACTGTATTCTCTATCATAATGTCTTATTATACCTTCTATTTCATGAAAATTAATATTCATTCTCTCAGTTTTTTAATGTAGACAATGATTTGAAAATTATTAAAAGCTATTATTTTTGATATATTAAATTAATATTTAATTTTGACTTCCCATTGAAGAATTCATTGACTACTGTACATTAAAGTGTTTTTTTAAGTGCTGAATCTTTGTTTTTTTCCCCATTTTTAAAAGATGTTTTAGATTCTTATTATTTAAATTAAAAACCATTGTGGGTTGAAATTATTTCGAACAAATTCAAGTGTTGATTAGCCAAATAATGCCTCATTCCTCTTTCTTAAAATAAGGCACTAAAAATGACGTGTCACTGATCATCCGCATTTCTTCTCACAAAGTTTTGAAAATATTATTTTTTTGTATATGATTTTTTTAGACAATACAAATTCTTTAAAACTCATTCATGTGATTATTCATTTGGAATTAATTTTTATTAAAGATATAAAAAAAAGCTAATCATTTGTGGTCTTTGTAAAAATATAAATATTCCATGGAAAATTCCTGCTAATTTTATTACATATTTACAATTATGTTTCTTATATCTCGATTTCAAGTGAAGTTATAATAGACATTCTATCTTAAATACTTTGTGTAATATATTTCACTATTATGACAAGTCCTTATGTTTGATGCCATTTAACTGAATTACTATTTTATGTATTTATATTGTGAAATCTAAATAAATAGCACATATAAAAACTTCGTTTGATTTTTTTTAATAATTTTAATAGAGAATATAATATATAACATTTGGTTCACAATACATAATAGTTGTATTCAAATAACTAAGGAAATTTCAAAAAAGTATTAAAATTTTTCATCCTTATTATCTCCTTTTCAACTAAAAAAAAACGATTGTAATTTATGTATATATGTATCTCAAGTAAGTTCTATGTTTTGTTAATAAATATATCTTCGTTTGCTCGGCATGGCTAGTGAAATTAGTGTGCATACACTTTCCAAGAGCAAAAGCTCTGTTGATACCAAAGAAAAGCCTTATTCTTGTAGTATATGCAATGCATGTTTTGCTAGAAAAGGCAATTTAAATCAACATAATATTGTTCATAGTGGTGAAAAACCTTTTTCTTGCAGTATATGTAATGTGCGGTATTCTCACCAAAGTTCTTTAATTAGACATAATCTTGTTCATTCTGGTGAAAAACCTTACTCTTGTAGCATATGTAATATGTGTTTTTCCCTAAAAAATACTTTAAAAAGTCATTATCTTGTACATAGTGGAGAAAAACCTTATTCTTGTAATCTATGTAATATGCAATTTTCTCAAAAAGGTGATTTAAATAGACATAATCGTGTTCATACTAGAGAAAAGCCTTATTCTTGTAGTATATGTGATGAGGATTTTTCTCAAAAAGGTCATTTAAGTGCTCACTATCGAGTTCATTCTGGTGAAAAGCCTTATTCATGTAGTATATGTAACAAGCATTTTTCTCAAAAAGGTGCTTTATATAAGCACAACTTTGTTCATTCTGATAAAAAGCCTTATAAGTGTAATATATGCAATGAATATTTTGCGCAAAAAAAGAGTTTAATAAATCATAATCGTGTTCATTCTGGTAAAAAGCCTTATTCTTGTAATATATGTAAAATATGTTTTGCTAGAAGAACTCTTTTAATTGAACATAGTAAGTTCTATTCTTGTAGTGAGTGTAATGTGTGTTTTTCCCATAGAAGTAATTTAAGTAAGCATAATCTTGTACATTGTGGTAAATAGCTTCATTCTTGTACAGTACAGAACCCGTTATCCGGAAATCAAAAAACCGGAACGAAATTCGATAAATTTTCCCGCCATTTTTTAAACAAAATTTTTTTTTCCTCATAAGATTTTAGGATTTTTCTTTCTTTTTTGAAATATGTTCACCTTACCATCATTTTGGAAATAATCATTAGTGTATTACTTTATCGTTTTTTCTTCTTTTTAAGATTATTTCTCAAAAAAAGAAATTTTTTTTAGTTGGGTTTAACAATAAAAAAACGGCTTTTTGTAGCGATTCAGAAAACTGGAAAAATCAGTTATCCGGAATAGCGATGGTGCCGATCGCACGTTCTGGATAATCGGTTCCCTACTGTATTATGTGTAATATGTTTTTTCTCAAAAAAGAGATTTAAATAGACATAATCATGTTTATACTGGAGAAAAGCCCTATTCTTGTAGTATATATATAATAGGGAGTTTTCTCAAAAAGGTCAATTAAAAGCAAACTATTGTATTTATTCTGGTAAAAAGACTTATTCATATAGCATTTGTAACAAGAGTTATTCTCGAAAAGGTGCTTCAATTAATTGAAACCTAGTTCATTGTGGTTAAAAGCTTCTTCAGTGTAGTACATGTAACATTTTTTACTCAAAAAAGTGATTTAAATTGTTATCTCCTTCTTCATTCTAAAAGTATTATTTATAGAGTGCTGTAAAACTGAAATATGTTTAAGATTATTTGTTAAACTTGTAATGAGAATAAATAAATACTATTTTGTTAAATAAATAATCCCCAGAAACTGAAGCTGTAAGATATTATTTCATTAAAAACTTCATGTGGTTCAAAATAGAACTAACTAGAAATAACAGTCGACATGTTTCAGACACTCAAAAATAAACGCCCATTTTCAAGATTTGCCAGGCGAGAATGAAAAGAAACAAAAGTGATTTGAAATAAAAACGTTAAGTTGCCAACGAAAAATGGAAAAAAAGGTGGGAAACAAAACTAGAATAAACCATAATAAGAGAGAGAGAAAAAACTAATCGAAACACAGCAGTGGCAGAGGGACAAATCAGGGTGAAGTGCATTTCCATGTGCTATGTTAAATATTTTGAGGAACTAATGTCTTTAATAAGGGAATCGACATTCATATGAATAAAACAAGATTCCAGGGCAATCAGATGAGCCTGATGTGACAGGAGTGGAATTTTAGCATTGTCAAATTACAGAATAGGATTTAAATTTTTAGAATTGTTGAATGTCGACAATGCCATAATTATTTCCACAGATTCATTTTTATATTAAAAATAATTGTGTCTCTAATTCATGGAAATTGCAATATGATATATTTAGCTTAATTTAAAAAAAAAAAAAATTATTCAAGTATAAATATTTGTTTTTATTTATTTTTAATAGATCAAAATATTGTAATTTTTTTTATAAAATGAAATGATTTATTTAGTCAATTAGTCACATTTTTTCTTTGTTATAAATAGTTTCGAATTATTACATATGTAAGTAAATATTATTTGATCTACTTTGTTGCTTTCCAGTTAGAATTTCTTCTCGATGAAATGTGACGTCTCCTCATCTGGAATGATCATTCCAGAGAGCTCATAGTACAAATTATGCTCGCTATTCATGTCAACGTGTTTCTCACACAATCTCCCCCTAAGTGATGCATGTCCTTTTGCTGACCCATGAGAAAATACTTTGATTCAAATGTCACTCAATTTTTTCTTTATTGCTTCAGGGTCTTTTATCCGAATTTCAGACGTAAATTTCTTCCAGTGGAAACTTTCTGGGTTCTTTTTCGTAAAAGTTGTTAATGAGAAACCACAAAGAAGTTGAACCTTGGACATCACATAAGCTCACCAGCAGGTGGACGATATTTTTTTCAGTTTGCGAAAACGGAACCATTGATGTTCTGCCCATCTGACCGCCTTGCGTTGAGGGTTAAAACACAAATTTTTTTAAGTAATTGTTATACGAGTCACAAAAAAGTGCAAATGGGTAAAAATTATTTATATTTTATTAATGAAAAAGTGGTATGCCACCTATTAGAAGGTTTAAAATATTTTAAATAGATAAGTATTTTCCTATTTTAATCAAATTCTACATATTTGAATAAAAATCTTTACAAATTAACAACCTTGTAATTAGACAACACAAGTATACTTGTACTTATTCTAATAGTTGACTTCGTGCTTTTGAGCAATTACCCCCAGTTATTTCGAGCGTGTAGCTATTAAAAAAGACGTGATTAATACATTTTTAGTACATTTTATAACTAAAAATTTTTTCATTAAATGGATTAACAAAGTAATTAAGAAAATTAAATATATATCTATATCCATTGGGCGTAAATTTGGTAAGTAAAAGGCGAAAAATTTGAGATAAAGGCGTTTCGAGTTATACAGGTACTTTAAAAAAAATAAATTTTAATTAAGAAATTCTATTAACAGTGCTTTAATTGTTTTCAGTAGAAAAAATTTAGGTATTTCTTTAAATTAATTATACCACATACATCTATTTACATAACATTTGTTTAACATACATTTAACACTGAAAATAATTTTTCAAAGATTTTTGACGTATAACCTTATTTGTTTCGATTATTCTTTTAAGGCTAGAAAGAGTGCAAATTCCTCATAGCCAGTAACTCTATGTTTCTCTGATGCCTTATGATTTGCTGTTATTGACTTCTGCTACGCCCGTAAAAAATAAAGAAAAAAAAATTCACGAAGCCCTAGACCAATAAGCATAGTTGGTTCCTTGTTCAAATTATATAGTTTAGTTTAGTTTGAGACGAAGAACGGACATTGCAGACCTAAACATTTTTTAAGTGTAATGTTACAAAATCTCGTTGTTTTCTATTTGAAGAAGGACTTAATCCATTTATTTAAGTTTGACAAGCAATATTTTTTGTCGACCATGTTGGACACGGGAAGTTTTCCTTAATTTATTTGCCGTTACTAAATCAAGGATTTTTGCGCAGCATTTAAATTTTTTGGCACATGAGCTTTAAATATAAAAATATGCTATTATATTATTGATATATATCGCATGTATAAAAAAAATTCGACTGTTTTATTTAATTATAAATTTTTGCTTGATTTTATTTTATAAAATATTTATATTATGTATAAAATATTTTTTTTCTCGAATCTTACCATCTACATCTTGTTCATCATATCATTAAATTCAACAATAATGAACAACAGCTTTAGAGCTTCTGTGCTCAATTTTCGATTACGAGTGCATTCAGCATGACATATTCATTTCGCAAATTAAGAAATTGTCATTATTTAAAATTCTAAAATAAATTTTTCAACATTTATGAAAACGAAATATAATTTAAAATTTAATGAAATTCGAGGATTTTCTTGTGTATGAATACAAATGTCTATTTACTTACTTATTTCTGTAAACAAAGGTTATAGTGTCTATCGTTGTTCAAAAATTTAATTTATTACTATACTGTTTTGAAAGTATAAACAAAATTTCTAAACATCTGGTAGTTTTAAAATTAACATAATTTAAAACTCCTTTTTATGTGCAAGCGTTGAGTTTTGGTTTGGTAACTGGATATTTTTAACGTTCGCTATTTGAGTGAATTTTGTAACTTTTTCATGCATTTTAAAATTTTCTACATTTAAATTAAAATGTAATGCATTCTACATTAAGTATTTCATGATTTTTCTCACATTTATGTAATGTTGAATTTTCGATTTCCTTGAAATCTACTTTAAAATCTTTACTTTTTTTTGTTCTTGTACTTTTTAATCCTTATTTTTCAAAACCAAAACTTTTTACTTTTTAATCGTTACTTTTGCTTAAAATACAATACTTTTACTCGTTACTTTTTAAAAGTAACGTTCCCATGTATGTCTACTGGTATAAATATAGAAAAAAAATGAATAAGAAGAAGAAGCTACTAGTATTTAATAAGAGGTTAAATATGCATTATGCAAACATTTAAATTTTGCCTAAAAGAATTAGCTAACCTTAAAAAACGATGAAAAATAATTATTTATTGAGAATGCTTTTAATGGTAAAAAAATAAAATAATTATTTGCATAATTGTTCTAAAAAACCATGTTAAAAAACCTTGAGTTATTCTTTTTTATCATATTAGCATAATTATGAAACATAAGTTTTAATTTTTTAATAGTTTATTGCAAAGAAAAAGATTTTGTAAAATATTTTTTATAGTTTTATTAAGTAATTTCAATTAATGATATAAATTATTTTACCGGTTTTTTAAAGGAAGAAGAAACATTTAATCCAAAATAATATTTTTTCTTTTGTTTTCAACCCTGCTTTTTTCAAGAATCATCTGAATGTTATGTCAATTAATTTTTTTAATTAAAATTAAATTTTTAATTAATAATTTAAGATTTTTATTCTATAGTTATGATAATAAACAATTCACATTATTGCAGAGTTAGCAAAAATCATGGTTTTTTTTTTAAAAAAAAAGTCATATTTTTTAATTTATTTAATTCAGATTTTTTGATCTTTTCATATTTACTAACCAAAGCATCTGATAAAATGCATTAATAATACTTATTTTTATGCAAAATAATAGCTACTATAATATAAAATAATTTCGATTTCATTCAGGTCAATGGGTTCATAGATCTGGTCTGACTTCGTCAGGCCAGGTAAGGATAAGCAACAGCAATATAAAATAATAGCTAAATTAGTTAATATTTCTGATTAAAACTTTTAAAATTATTTAATCATTACAAATCACTGAATAGTTAAAATCATAGTTATTTTTGCTCAAAATCAACAGCCTTATTAGTCCAGGAAGACAAATTCTCAAAAATATTCAATGGAAAATATATAATTAAGTTAATATCTAAAGAACATTGAGGGAAAGGGTAGAATAAATGTAGGGTAAAATAAGTGTTTCCTCATAAGTTATATACACTAACTTTATTATTAAGTTTTAAAATCATTTGTATTAAAATAAAAACTAAATGTGTATAATTGAAATATATTTAGTATAACAATCATTATTGGCAATCGAAATGGGCTGCAGGTAGCGTAGAGCAGAACTCTTTATCTATGGCAACACTTCGCATGCTTTTCCCATTAGCGTGTGAAGAGTCATAGAGGTAGGAAGTACGTTAGTTTCTCTCTTGATTTTTGAAATCTTTTAAGTTGGAAAACTATATGGAACTGAAAAAAGAGGAGAGGGAGGGGGGAAGGGCCAATGGCATGAAATCGGTCTCTCCCCAGATGGCGTATTCGAGCGTTGCGATCACCAATTTATTCATATTTTTCATCGTCTAATGAAAATTAGGAATTAAAAACTTTAAATCACTTTTATACAGTTTCTCTTTCATTATTAATATTTTAAAATAAAATAGTNCACTAACTTTATTATTAAGTTTTAAAATCATTTGTATTAAAATAAAAACTAAATGTGTATAATTGAAATATATTTAGTATAACAATCATTATTGGCAATCGAGATGCGCTGCAGGTGGCGTAGAGCAGAACTCTCTACCTATGGCAACACTTCGCATGCTTTTCCCATTAGCGTGTGGAGAGTCATAGAGGTAGGAAGTACGTTAGTTTCTCTCTTGATTTTTGAAATCTTTTAAGTTGGAAAACTATATGGAACTGAAAAAAGAGGAGAGGGAGGGGAGAAGGGCCAATGGCATGAAACCGGTCTCTCCCCATATGGCGTATTCGAGCGTTGCGATCACCAATTCATTCATATTTTTCATCGTCTAATGAAAATTAGGGATTAAAAAGTTTAAATCACTTTTAAACAGTTTCTCTTTCATTATTAATATTTTAAAATAAAATAGTTTACGTACATTCTCCTTTCATTATTTCTTTGGATTATCTTACATTATCAATAAAATGGGATTTTAAAAGAAATTACGTCCTGCAGTGAACTGATCGTTAAGACACGGTGCCCAGTAGATCACCGACGTCAAGCATCACTGGCTGCGCTAAGTGTGCGGGTGGGTGACCACTTGAATCAATCTGCGTAGGGACCAAGGGTGTGCGGCATTGGTCCTTTTTAAACTGTTCTATTGTAAAGTACTCGACTTCTCGTGCAGATCGTTGGGCTACTGAAGCAGGGGTACCATCCCCTCTGCAGAGAATCATAATTGTGATTGCATGTCTTCGGATCATTCTCAGGGATGCTTCCCAGACCGTCGCCAATAGCCTATTGTGCAGTTCTAGTGCGACGTAAATGAACTACAACTACAACAACTTAAAAGAAATTACAAACTAAGGACTAAATGTATAAGTTTTGTTGTTATTCAGTCGTAAAAACTGGTTAATCGGATTATTGGTTATCGCAACACTCGAATACGCCATCTGGGAGAGACCGGTTTCATGCTTTTAGCCCTTCTGCCTTCCCTCTCCTCCTCTTTTCAGTTGTATAGGAACGTACTACGCTATTTTCCCTTTTCTTAATATTTTTCCTTTTTATTTAATAAAAATATTTTTTAAAATTTCAGTGATACTTTTCTTCAGAACTATGTTTAGAGTAGTTTTCAGTTCCATATAGTTTTCCAACTTGAAAGATTTTAATATGCATGAAAATCAAGAGAGAAACTAACGTACTTCCTTCCTTTATGACTTTCCCCACACTAATGGTGAAAGCATGCAAAGTGTTGCCATAGATAGAGAGTTCTGCTTTACGCCACCTATAGCCCATTTCGATCGCTTTTCAATTTGTCTAGTGAGAATAACCCTTCAACTGAGTTGCAAAAACTGAACAAAGCTATAAGCTGAACGAAAGCAAAACTATATGTTTCAAAAATAACAATAGTTGTATAAGCCAGTAAAAATTTCAAAGGAAAAATGAAAGTTTCTTTTCCTTGTCAGCTTTACCTGTTTGCTCTGTAAATTTGTTCCAAAATCTGTTGTTTTGACTACGTAATCGATAAAAGATTTATATTGGCAAGATAACTCTTTAAAAATGAATTATGTCGAATTTATTATTGCTTATAACTTAGAAAATATTACATTCTTTTTATATGAAGATGAATTCCAATAGTAAAAACTTGTGCAAGCTATTTGAAACAGTTTTTCATAATATTCTGTATATTAATCAAGTTTATGTAAAGAGTTCTTTTGAATGTTTTAATTTGCTTAATACTCCGATATGGGTAAGCTCTTTGGTGACAATGACTAAATTATCTTAATTTCTTCACCTGTTGTACAGTAGATTTAGCTATTCCCTCCCTCGTTCTTTTAAATAATGAAGTTCAGTTCATACGATAAGTATATGAGCCCTTAAATAAATAGAAATCTTAAAAATTCCGTCTTAATACTTAATAAACAAACACTGACAAAAATAAATAAATAAATAGCGAAATGAAGAAACATCTCTGATTTAAGCTTGGCTAAGTTAAAAATAAGCTAAATTTCTTTTAAATAAGTTAATTATTTTGTAGATATTTAACTTGTAGATTTTTTTTTTTAAAATTTGGAAATTTGAGAACTTATTGAACAGGGTTTGAAAAATTTTCATATGTCTTGCTGGGCATGTTTATCAACAAGGTTGATGTTCCAGCATCTTTTCTGATTGCATATTAATGAAAACTTATGAATTTACCCATTATTGATTTGCCAAATATATGCACATTTAGCAAGGACAACGCTTTTATTTGAGTATAAATCAGTATTAACTGAGAAGTTTTATTGCATTATGTTTTCTCAAAAACATTATAAGTTTTAATAGCAATTATTTTCATATGCACATTGCTTGTAGTAAAATATTTTTTAAAATAAAATTAAGTATAACAAGAAGAAAAAATAATAAACTGTTTAATAAAATCTTATTTATCGAATTAAAAAATATCTGTCTTATCATATATAATCAATAATCTTTTTTTTTTACTCTTTTGGTGCCATTTATTTTGCCTAATCAGGTGATTTTCATCAAAATTTAAGGGGTGCTTGTTTGATTTTATACGATATTTTTTAATGAATATTTACTTGTTTGGTCATGAACACGCCCGGTGGCTGAGTGGTAGCGCTTAGCACTCCCAGGCCACAGGTCCTGGGTTCGATCCTCAGGCCGGACAAGGTTGACTCAGCCTTTCATCCCTTCAGTGGGTCGACAAGAACTAAACGCTGTAAACTAAAACTGTCGGCCAAACACGGAACCCCCGCATTTGGTTTCTTAAAATTGTAGCAATTATACGTCTTTCTGCTTGTGTTTTAAGAAACTGATGAAAGAATAATAAATATTATTTCTTGCAGACTGTTTTCTTCTACAGCGAAGTAAAAGTAAAAACTCTTTATTTCGCATTTGATTTGTTACGAGTATGTCAGTTTAAGACGCCATTTTAAGTGATGTAATCAAATCGAATGCTCTTGCAATGTCATATAGGTGTTTATTTTTCAAGAAATAGTGTTATTTTTTTGTATTGAAATATGTGGCTAAATCTAGCAAAACTATAACCTTTTTTTAATAATTCTATAATATGTATCATAAAAGATAGCACAAATTAAATTTCTGCTTGATGTGTTTTAACTTTTAAAAGCTTTTATATTGTTTTAAAATCATATTTGTATAATTTGTGATAACAAAATAAAACTGAACTCTATGCAGTCAACAGATGATTATTTAAATCCTATACCCACAGCTCATTCTAGGCAGAAAAAAGGCCAGGGTGCAAAAGTTTAAAAAAGGGGCATTATTATTCTAATAAGGCAATAATTTCTTTCTATGGGCTTTACACATTCTATTAAAAAACATTGTCAATTAATAAAAAAAATTTTTTTTTACTTTACTATAAGTAGCAAAGCAATCTTATTAATTACTAATTTTTATTAATAAATTAACATATATGTAGAGTTAATGAGCTAATTAGCTTAGTAATTTATTTAAAATGCATGCATATTTTAATAAAATAATAAATTTATGTTTTTAAGTGTCTGTAGTTATGATTTAATTATTAAAATGATTGATAATAATTATGATTTAATGATAGTGAAAACTTTCTGGAAAAAAACTGCAAACTTTCAAAGACAAGTGCAACAAGGGGGTGTGATGGCTATTTTTCCTTTCCCATATAAATCTATGTATTGACAGCAATGACAAATTAAATAAAGAGAGTTGAAAATAACAAAAGTTTAAGAAATCCATTGTAGAGTTTTGAGGGAAAGTAAAGAAGGGTTGAGGAAAGAAAGGGCAAAAAGGGTATGGAGTCTATATATCAGGGCACTAATTTACTTCAGGGTGGATTCTTTTGATTAAAAGGGCAGCAGGATGCTGCGCCCTGTTTACCCTGCCTAGAATAAGCCCTGCTATACTGCAATGGTCTTCTTTTTTTTTTTTTAAACTGGCAATGGAGTATAGTAAATTTACTTCACTCTTAAAATTGTGTCAGAAACTGTTAATGTTAAAAAATGTGTATAGTAAGCTGAAAATTTAAAATAAGTAATACATTGATATTTCTGAAAAAAATGCTATTTTATTCTAGCAATGTATTCATCCTGGTGTTTGTAAATATTTTTACAACTTTCTTTCTACTGCAGAGGAGCATCTTAGTAAAGGAACACCTCTAAAAATAGTTTTTGAGCTTAAAAAATGTCCGGACATAATTCTGGACGAATATGTGTTTCATGTACATCCTAAGCAAATTGAAATGGACAGGTAATATTAATGTTATTCAAAATTGTTGGTTGTCTTTAAAGTGCTATTTATGTTATTGTATTTTTTAACTATAAACCTCAAAGTTGATTCAATTAGGGTCCTAGTAATCTATCAGCATAACAAGTTTTTCTCCATGTTATTCATCACAAAAATTTTCGCGCAAATTTCTTCAAGTAGTAAACATTTAAAAGATTAAATGACAATTTTTAAAAATTGCGATTTGTAACTGAATTCTCTGATGAAAATTCTAGATATTTTTTTTGTAATCTGAAGATAGAAAAATAAGAAAATTTCTAAAATTAAAAAACATAAAAAAATTATTAATTTAGCAAAATTTTTTCAAATCAAACATTTCACATTGTTCTCTCTGCATATGATTCTTTTGCTGTTAAACAAAGGTACATAACATTGTTGAATCTGCCACAGATGATTTCAGAATCTTTAAATTTGTAACTGATATGTTTTAAAAGTTTTCATCTATTCTTTTTTTTTTTGTTTTTGTTTTGAGCAGAATTTAGAGTATTGGTTTAAAAAAAATCTTTTATATGTAAAGAAAATATGATAAAAGAAAATACAAACTAACTTCCATCTCACATATTAAGAATAGTTTTTGAAACAGATAAATTACTAGTTAATTATATCTATCTTATTGTTTATAATGCATCAATATTTTGGGGGCTTAGAAAGTCTCTATATATATACCTGGGATACACAGTATAATATTTTCAAATTGCTGAAACACTAAAAATGAATAAATATTTAATTTATAACTATTAATTAAATATTTTAATTTTTACTTTACAGTGTGATTTCTCCTTACATGATGCAAATTAGCATTTTTAGTATAATATGTAAAATAATTATTTTATTTTAATTTAGTTTTGAGCTTGAGAGAAATATTGTGGACATAGTACAATCATTAGAAGCAGTTACTTTGGAAGAAGGAGTACAAACTCTTAAATCAAATGAAGGTGAATATTTATACATTTCATTTTTTTAAAAATCTTTTTTGAATTTGAATGGCTTTAACTTATTTATTTCTTTATACTAACAGATATGACTAGAATTTTCATTTAGATATACTGTTTGTTATTTCAAGTGCAGTTTTAATCAAAAGTTAAAGTTTTTTTTTTTTAAATTTATTTTCCATTAATAAAGTAGCAGTTAATGACTCAAAAGAATAAATTCTTATATTCCTCAAAAGTGCGGTATCATGCCTGATGTGGGATCATATCTGCTTTCTTTGAAGAAATAGAAGCAGAACATTGTTTATTAATATAAGCATATAATTATTTATTACTAAAAGTAGAAAATTTATAATTCCATAGGGATTTGAGTTTTTTTATTTTTTGCTTCTCACAGTAAATCTTATACTCAATAAATTAGTCCTTCTCAAAAAAAAAAAAAAAAAAAAAAAAAAAAAAAAAAAAAAANTCCAGTATTTCTCATTATATCCTGCTTTGTCTTGGGTTTTAACATTTATGTTATTGCTTTTTTGGTAGTTTTTCATTTAATTTGTTAAATAAGTTTCCCTATATTTTATTATTTTTTTTCCTTATAATTATGTTTAAAATATATTACTTTTTTGATCAGTAATTTTTTTTTTATATTAGTTAATTTTATGATTTTAAACTTTAGTTAATTATAATTTAGTTTTATGTAGTTTATTATAATTTTTTCTTAATTTTAATTAAATGAATAACTTTAATTAATTTATATTTGTTAATATTTGTGTGTGTTGTTTTGGTATTTATCATTAAAAATATGTTTTTTTTAATCTCTTAGTTTTATCTTCTTAATTTATATTTTTTCTATTTATTTATCCATCTTATATTTGTGATTATTTTTTTAAATAGAAATTCCTAATGCTAGTATATTCTTAAAACAATGAGCTTCTATTCTTAAAACAATGAGCAATGAGTTTGGCAAATGATTAAATACGATTTAATTTCTATTAAATGCAGATTATTTGTATAATATTTCATTAATTTAATGTTTCTCATTATTTTTTTTAAGATGGCCGAATTGTTGAAAAGTTGTTCATTTATCCCCTATATTTTTTCTCTTTTTTAGAATTTACATATTCGTTGAAAATTTGTGAAGAAGATTCAAATATTCAATTACCCATTATAGACCCAGTAAGTTTCCTAAAATTATTGTTGTATAATTATCCAGTGTGATAAATCATTTTTAATAATATTATGCCGGGTATATTAGTCTTTCTTGTAAATTATACANTTTAAATAAATACTTGCTATATATATATGTATGTATATATTATGGGTTGAGAAAATAACCCTTATGTATAATTGTCCCAAGTTGAACTTAATCCTCTCATGCATAATTTTTCATTTGAGTTATAAAAAATATTTAGATATGATACAACCCATTTAGTATCTCAGGAATGGGGTGTAATAAATTATTTTTCGAAACTTTTGTCCTATATAGTCAAAAATTGGTTTTCACATATGAGGACATTATGTGTATAATTGTGGTATATTTTACTAAAAAAATTTTAATCATGGAAAAACTGAGTACTCAAACTTCATTTAATAGGTATAAGAAGATATTAAATAATATCAACCATGGCTCCCAAAAGCAATGAACACTTCTTTCTGGAATTCTCCATTGATTTCCAAATAGATCATATTCTTTTAACTATCTTGAATGGCCTGCCATTTGATGTGGTTTCCAAGAATATCTTTATGCGAGGACTGCATGCAAATTACATCACAAATGCGAATCTATTATGAAGCAAAAATATATGTATGTCCTCATATGAGGCTCATGTGTATTAAAGGGTTAATTGCTTTCCTACATAAAAAAAAAGATATTTTTGAGAGAAGAAAACAATGTTTGTTTGAAATTTTCCCCATGCATTGATATTAAAAGTTAGAAAAGGAGTTAAGTCAAGCAAAAAAACTTAAAATAGAACATAATTTTTTAATTATTGCAATTTAATTAGTTATTTAATTCTTCTTTCTTTATTTATTTTTAACTGATTCCCATATTCACAATTTTTATAATTGGTAGCATAAATTTTATTACTGAATTTTCAATTATGTTTTATTCTTATACATAAAATACATTAAAAAATACTGGTATTATTTTGGAATTTAACATGAATATTTTTTTTTATAAATTATAACAAAACCGATTTGTTTGGCAAAAATATTGGACTTAAAGGAACCTCAAGTTCAGATTTCAGATGGGCATTTTAATTAAATTTCCAGATTGATAAAATTCACCGTCTTTGTCCACCTTGCTTATTAGTTCTCAAAAAAAACTTTAAACTAAGTTTTCTTTTTAAAGTAAACTTGTTGTATCTAATTAAAAATTTAACAATTGTATTGAATTAATTTTTCTTTAAAATATATGAGTTAGGAATGCAACTAACAGTGATTTGGCCAAATAACTGAATATTCTCCAACCAAATAGTAATACTTTTTGAAAAAAAATTCATCTTTACCACATCAAAATAAAACTTTAATGTTAGAAATAATATTTTCCGGGGGAAAAGTATCCATAAAGCAATGTTAAGACAAATATAGTCTATCAGAAATGAATTTAAAAATGCTGCACTATCATAAAAAGAAAAGATTTTATACTAAGACGAAGCAGAAAAGATAAAAATTTATCATTATTCTCAAAACAAAATTTTAAAGTCAAACATCTGTTTTCCAATTACCATATTTTTTAAGAAAAGCGAAGTAAAAAGAATTAAGTGTAATAGAAACGCTTTTAAAAATTGCTGTGTCATAATGAAAAAAAGTTTTTTTAAAAATAATTAGCGCTGAAAATAGCAATTTAATTTTTTTACATTGCCAAATGTTTATTAAAAAGTAGATGATTAAAGAATTAAGTTAATTAGAAATGCTCTTCAAAAATATTATGTCATAATAAAAACACCCATAAAAGAAAAATTTATTAAAAAAAACAAAAGCATTAATTTAAAAAATAAAAGATAAACAGGAAAAATACTCCAATTATTCTTAGTCCTTAAAACAAAACTTTAATTTTAAAAACCACAGTTTGTTATCTATCATCTATATTACCATACAGGAAAAAAGCAACAATAAAAGAATGAAGTCTATCAGAAACACTCGGTTAAAATGCTGCGCTATAGTAACAGAGAAACTGAAAAAAACTTTTAAAAAAATTATTTTTCCCCTTCCTATTCTTAAAACAAAAAGTGTCAAAATTCATTTGTCTGAATGTAATTTTTTAAAAAAAGCAGCAGTATAAAAACTCATAGTTCAGTACAAAATAATTTAGTTTAAATTCTACAATTATTTTTCTGTTGTCTCCCATAATGTATATTTGTAAGCTGTGTACTAGCATATAAATTTTAGAACTTAACAAATGTGTGACACTATTTCTAATTATGTTGAGTTAAAGATATTAAATCTATTCAAATTAAAAAAAAAGTACTTAATCAAAAAATACTTTTCCAAACACCTTTAGCCAACCGAATAGTGGTAGAATATTTGTTTCATCCCCAACATGAATTTAGTTCTTAATTTTTTATGTATTTTAGTAAATTTTTTTAGTGAATTTATTTATTATTTATTATTATTTTTTGCTTTTAGAACTCATCAGTTGTTTTTGTAAACTCACATGAAGAAGAGGGCCCAAGAATATTTGCAATAAAGAGAAACATTAAAGATAAAGAGAATGAAACATGACAGAATTTGTATTCATTTGTGTTGGTATTTAGTAATATTTATACTCATTTGGACACATTATATCATGTCTCAAATCAAGATTTCTATGAGTGGACGAAATTAGATTAATCCAATTTGTAATCTTATTTTTAAATCGCATACACACACTGCATTTTAATGTTTTTGGAATTTTAAAACAAAGTATGTAAAATTGGACAAATATTTTAATAAATAAATCATATTTTAATCGAAAAATAGCTCAAATTTAATCTGTTATTGTTTTAAATTATTATTTTAATAAGTATATATATAAATTAAAAGAACTTCTGTATATATTAATGAATAATATATTTTAAAAGTAGTGTCAAATTAAAGCCAAGTAAATAACTAAAATTAATTTTGAGTAATAATGTCTTCTTGTAATAATCTCATTTTGAAATAGAATTGTGTTGAAAATTCATTTTGTTGCTTTCCTGCTAGTTTACAGCACTTTTAAAATTTAAGTAAATTGTGTTGGGGGGGAGGGCAGATAGCAAGACGCAATATTACAATAGCAAATATTTATAACAGAATACAATACTACAATAGCAAATATTTATAACAGAAATTTGAAAGCAAAGTAGCTTTAAGAAGTTAAAAGCATATTTTTGGTATAATTTGAATTAGTTGGTTTTCATACATAATTATCATTAAAACTTAGATAAAGACTATTGTTCAAATCAGTGGTTACCGACTGGCGGCCCGCGAACTGAAATATATTAGTTCTGATTTTTTTTGCGGACAATTTTCGTAAAAAATCTATATTTCGTAAAAATACTTTTCTTATGTTAAAAAAAACTAATTTCTTCGTTTCTGTGAAATTTAACATACTAACAGTGCAAGAAAATTTATTTCTCAGGTTTTGCATCAAGAAAATATTTATTATTATTTGTAATTCAATAGTTTTGTTTTGAACAACTTGATAAAAATCTTGCAGCAATATCTAAGGTTCCTTCAAACATAAAAAGAGTCCTATATGAAATTTTGACAAAGTTGCGACCCACCATTTAACTGGTGTTTTTAATTGTGGCCCCCGGCCTCATGTAAGTTGGAAACCCTTGGTTTAAATAAACAACCCAGAGACACGAATGTAATTTTCTATCCCATGTAATTATAATTAGAGAAAAAAAACTGAATTTTAAATAATCTTGTTCTGTGGTTGCAAGATAATTATGATTTTTTTTAGTATTTTCACCTTATTCAATCAAGATTATGTAAATAATAAAAATTTAAAAAAAGAGAAAAAAAAGACATCCAGTTAAAAACATTATATTGAAAAAAAAAACATTTACTAAAAAACAAACTGAATGTTAAAATTTCTCTCATTTTCTTTTTACTTAAAAAGTTCTTTATTCTTTAATGCCCTAAAAATGTTGATAAATGCTCTAAAAATGTTGTCTTTTTACAAACTAATTTTTTGCTATATATCACCTAACACCTATTTTTTTTTAATCTTTTAAAAACAAAAATATGTATAAATTAAATTTTTTTTTTAGATTTTAAATTTTTTTTTAAAAAAATAGCAATTTAAACAAATAAAGTAGATACAATCACTTTTTTTTCTCTCTTTAAAATTAAATAATAGTTTTATTTTAAAACCACCTCAAATCAAAAAGTTTTAAATTACTTCAAAATTAAAAGGCATTGTTCCAATTCTTACTTCTTTCTAATATGACTGCTTTAATCCTAAAACAATCAGATTCTTTTTTTAATAAAAAAGTGACAAAGAGACTTTTTTTCATCTGAATATTTTAAGAAAGGAGTTAATGCCTTAGTTGTTATTAGTAATGTTCTAATAAAATTTTTTTTCCTCTTATAAAAAAAGTTTAAATAAACAATTAAAATAGACTGCTGCAAAACATTTTGTAATTACCTTTTGCTTGTTTAAACCTGTTGCATTAATCTGTCCCAAAACATTTAATACTTCATTTAATCTTTTTTTGGTTTGTAATTTTTATGAAAATTTTCAAAAATAATGAAATTTCTTTTAATGGTTACATATTTTCATTTTATATTTATAAAGAAATATTTTGAATTTTAAAACAAAACATTTCAATTGAAATGAGTTTATTTTCACAAATGTACTATTTCAGTGTAACTGGGTAGATATTTAAATTTTTTTTGTTAGTTGTACCAAGAAAGAAACTTATGAATTGAAAATTTAAAACAATCTAAAAAAAAAAAACAAGAGAGGAATTTGGGCTTGTTCTTAAATTTTAGAATATTTACTTCATTCAATATTTACAGAATTCAATTGGAAGCAAGCCCTGTGACATAGCAGCTTTCACAACTTTCTTTTCATAATTTCTTCTATTCACCTCATATTTTAAATTTGTAAATTTCATATTATTACCACTTGGATTAATATAGCAGTAATGTACTATACTTTTATTTATGAACTATTAGAATAAATCTGCAATTAGGCTACTTATGAAAACCTTATTAATTAAAAAAATGAAAATCTTTATTACATAATTTACAAGTTTCATAGTTATTTACATTGTTAAAACTTTAAGCTAAATCCACCTCCTTGAGCAGATTGATCATCATTAGTTCCAATTGAGTTGTAACGGGCAACAGCTTCAGCCATTGTATTTTTTTCACTCACTTCACTCTGTAATTGATAAAAACAGAATTAAACCTTTTGACATTACAATTACTTTACTATCCAGAGACAGTTATCACGTAAAAAATAATTTTTATTGAATATTTTATTTTTATTATTCTTAATTATTATTTAAGAAGTATAAGGTATAAATTTTTTTTACATAAACTGTGTAATTTTAAATAAATCTAAATTAATTTTGTCCAATAGTTCTTTAGAAATTTTATTGGATGTGGCATAAGTCACTTAAAAAAATATAAACACTCGTGTACATTTCCAGAAATGACAGAAATTTTCTGAAAACTGACAATAAAATTACAGAACACTTTTAAAAACTTCTAAGAGATCCAATTTTTATCAAATTTTTGATTTATTAATCCATTTTCATTATATGTATAACAAATAAGTCGCAATTTAAAAAGGAATACTATATAAAAAATAGCCAAAATAATATTTTTCTGTCTAATTTACAAAGAACAAAAGGGGCATTTTTAAATAAATACTTGCTTACAATTTAACGTATTACTAAATTTACAGTTATAGTATAGTATATTTACCTCATGATTTTTTTCAATAAAATCATGCATTATGGCTTTTTCTGCAGTTAATCTCTTATCTGGACTATATGTCAATAATCTGAAAATAAAATAAATAAATAAAGCTACAATCGCAATATCCTTACACCATAAAATGTTATCATGCATTAATCAATGAAGTAAAATAATTCTTTCTTGTATATTAAATACCTTATTCCATAAATATGTTTTTTTTTAAAACTCTCAATAGATATGAATTATTGCAATTACTTTCACACAATTTGTTTTAGGCATGTTTCTATGCAATAACTGTAACAAATAACTATTTTTTATTAACCAATATTTTTCTTGTTTAACTTTTTGGTAATAAATAATTATAGTTAAAACAGAATGTTTACTGAGAGTCGGTAACACATAGAAAATAATATTTCCTCCTTTTATGTTTTATGAGAATTCTTGCACATTGCAAACATGCAAGCAGATATTTCACTACTATTGTTGAATTTTTGTAATCAGACAACAAAAAAATCACCTCAAAAAGTAGAAAATTATTATGGATAATGATTAAATTTGAGTAATTTTTTTTTTAAACACTGAAATTCTCTCTTTAAAAAATCGGAAGATGCAGGAATTGTTGCCCATTTAACCTTACCTGGTAAGCCCTTTGAACCTAAGTTACAGAGATGAGCAACCACATCACAGATACTCTTCCATAGGGTGGGCCACATTCACACAACAGACAGATTAGCAGAATTTGAACATACAACCATTAGTTTCGCAGTCAGGCACATCGACCGCTCGGCCACCTGGCCAGTATATAAAGCCTAGCCGGTCACAAAAAAGAATGCCAGAATATACATACTAGTTACATGCGTAAGTTTTTGTTCTTAAAGTGAGAAGTTTATGTGGTGCCTTGATATCACTATCAAGCAGAAGCTTGGAGTGAAAAGAAGCTATTCTCAGTCCTGGATATCATAGTTTTACCCAGTATTCATCCAGTGAGTTTTCTAAAATTATTGTTGTATCATTTTATATTATTTTCCAGTGCTAAAATTTTTTTTTCTAGTAATTTGTTGGATATCTTAGCCTTGCTAATTATTGATTCAGTAAGTTTCCTAAAATTATTATTGTATCAATTTATATTACACTCCTCCACAGGGTTTATATACACCAAATTGCCTAGAAAACTGTGAATCGTTAGGTAAAACGAGCTTCAGGAAAAATGTAATTTTACCTTAAAACCCAGAATTGTTGGGTACTTTGACACCCTATCAAATTGCGGGATTCATTCCTCCCGTTTTCAATACCGAAAGTTTTTTTAAAACCACTTTTATCTCAATTTTACTAATCTTTGATTTATTTTGACAAATGACTTAATAGTTTTGGATAATACATTATTACAAATAAAACTTTTTTTTTTATCATCAACTAAAACTGAATGGTCAACTGAAAGTTTGCCTGATGTAGGGTTCCCATGGGTCAGGGAGAACAGGAAAAACCTGGAATTGTCAGGGAATTTTATTTTAACTCCAAAAATCAGGGAATAGTCAGGGGTTGATGCAATTTTTTTGCAAAAACCTGGAAAATAACCAGTTTTAAAATTATCAGTAACAGTAATCAGTTTGAACTTAAATAATTCTAACATTTATTGCAATTATTTATTGTTAAAATGTCACGTTTAAGTCAAACTGAAATGTTTCCATCCTCATTTAATGATATTTGTTTTATACAGAAAATCCAATACTTAGCATTACAAATAAGAAAATCAAAGTTTTGTGATGAAAAATTTCGTGGTATAGATAAGCATGATATGGATTTTTATTGAAATTTACCTGATATACCTAGAAAAGTCAGGGAATTTTTTTTTTCTGAAATTGAGTGGGAACCCTGCTAATGTGGTCACATCTGCTTTCTCTGAAAATTATTTGCTTTTATAAAAAAAAATGAAAGAAGATAGTTTATTAATAGTATATGCCTACAATTTTTATTACTAAACGTAGATTATTTTATAAAGCAGATTGCAGCTTTCTCTTTTTACATTTCTGATTCCACTTCGTTTTGATTTTTTTTTCCTTGTACACGATAAAGTTCGTCTCATTCATGAATTTTCAGAAATTTTTTTTTTTTTTAAATTCAGTAGATCTCATTATCCTGACCAAGGTTTTAATATTTATGTTAGCATTTCTTTTAACTATCATTTCCGTAAAGTAGTTTTCAAGTGTTGTTTTTATTTAATTTAAATTTCTGAAATGCAGCCAGAATCACACACTGGCTGCTTTTACTCGCCAAACAAGCAGCTACTTATAAATTTGAAGCTGAGTAGGCTTGTAGAATTAACCCATATGCATATATTTTAATAAGAAAATATGCTCTAAAAAAGTAAGTTTTGTTATCATTAACCATTTTTAACAACTGACATATTTTATGTTATATTTCACATGCAAAAATTTGAACCATAGATCAAAAGTTAATAAAAGTGATTTGTTCTTTGTATAATTCATAATACAAAAGAAATTATATAAAAAAAGAAATGAAAAAAAAGTATAGTTTCTTGTGATGAACACCGTGTTTAGTTTTTTCTTTAAAACTTATTACATAATTATAAAAAAATTTAAACCTACTTATTAATAAGATCAAATCCAGCATTGCTCAGAGTGGAGGGAAGACTGTGTTTTAGCCTGTTGTATGGATAGTTAGCAAAAGCCAATTTCTTCACCAAAGGAAGTTCATTAAAACCGGGCCATATTTTTTCACTTGGAGTACCAAGCTCCTATAATGAACAATAGACAAATTATACAAATTTTTAACTAGAAAATAAATTAAATTAAAAGTAGGTAGTGATTAACTGTTAACAAACACATGGATTGCAAAATAATATGAATAAATATTCTTAAATATTAAATATTATTTAATATTATTAAATATTCTTATTTCTAATCATTGAAAAAACACTTACTTTAAATACTCGTTTGAGTTGGTCCATCTCAGATTCACCGGGAAAAAGTGGTTTCAGTGTAAGTAGTTCTGCAAAAATGCACCCAACTGACCACATATCAATAGCTGTGGAATATTTCTAAAAGATAACATTTTAATGAAATTGAGATGCGTATCTGTTGCTACATACACAGAGGTCTGTGGCAAATATATAACATTTAACTTTTGGTTATGAGTGTGAAACAAATACTTTTTATATTATTTATCATTATAACCTAATTCAAAATAATATCACATTCTTACTTATTGATTATAATTTGTAAAAAAGATCTAAAAACACAAAAACTAAAATGAACTATACTTTTGTATTCAAAAGCCACCGGCTAGACTGTAATTTTAACTTAATTCAAATTATTTTTAGTAAATACAAGTTGAAATCTTAAAGACATTCAAAACCCTAACACTGCCTTTACCATGCTTGTCACTCAGAATTTAATAATACATTTTTTCTTCCTAGACTTAGAACATACTTTTTGGTATCCCTCTTAAATGAATTGATTTTGTATTTATCAGAAAACATATTTTTTTTAGTTCTAGTCCATTTCAAGTGGTCTAAGAAGATAAACTGTAACCTAGCCACTTTTTTTCTGTACCAATTAATGCCTTTATTAAGGGTATTAGGTATTAAGGGTATTATAACAATACTGTGACTTATATTTACAATTCTTTCTTTGCATAACTCCACTGCAAAATGAGCTGCAGTTTTCTTAGAGCCTTCTGTTAATCTTATTATTATATTGCTTTTTTTTTTCTTTCCTTTTTGTAGGGTCAACCACTTTTAAACCAGACTCACTTCTATTGTTAAGAACTAGGTCATTTGCAGATATATTTTCCAAATGACAATAAAGACAAAATTCCATTCAGAGAAACAGCCTACTTCCTATAATTTTATTATGTTTTAAGATCTCCTAACATTCGTATCGACCTATAACGAACATTTTGTTAATGCAATTGAACGTTTATTAATTATAAATTTTTTTAACTATATCTATTAAAAATTATTTTAATCAAAATAAAATCATCTAGCCGGAGAATTTTGAACATGAAAATATTATAGTTTATTTTAGTTTTTATATTTATACATGCAATTCTAACAGAGCTCCCAGAGTTCAGGTAGAACAGAGAAAACCTGGAATTGTCAGGGAAAGTTTTACAAAAAAACATGGAATATTCCTATATTAAACCTGGAAAAAACCCAGTCTTAGAATTGTTAGTTACAGCAATCAGTTATTGAGATTCAGGTTAATTAATTCTAATAAGTATTACAACTATATTATAAAATTCAGCTTTTAGAGAAACTTTTTCATGTTCTCATTCTATTGTATGTTTTTATTCACGAAAATCTAATATCTCACATTCTAATAAAAAGAAAATAAAAGTTTTCTGGTGAAAAATTGCATGGTATAGATAAAATATGGTATGGACTTCCATTGAAATTCACCTGATATACCTGAAAAAGTCCAATATTTTTCTTCCTGAAATGAATAGCTGCCAACTCTACTGGATTTGCCAGTTTCTTCTAGCCTACTGGTTTAATAGAAATTCTCCTGGATTTAGTACATTTTAGATAATTCCCAAAAATTAAGTAAGTTTCATAAAAAATAATAATCCTGAAATTGAATTTTTTCATAATTTGCTTGTTTGAATATTTAAATAAATATTACTAATACATAGTGAAGCAAGTTCAATAATATTAATCAGTTTAATGCTTTTTTTCTGAAATGTTTAATTTATTTTTGTTTAAAACTCCCTTTTTAAATATCAATAATAGTAGACTATGAAATTATCAATAATAAATTATTTGTTTTACCATTCAAAATTTTTTGTTAATATAATAACAATTTTGAGTAAAAATAAAATTTTGAGTTTACATAATAAAAAACTTATCAAATTTTAGTTCATTTAATGTCAATCATAAATGGAAAATATTACCCATTTATAATTATTAGCGTAATAAAGTTTTTGTATTTTGATGACAATAAAAATCACTCAAAATCCCAAATTGTAAATTATTTAGTATATTATACAACAGTTATCAAAAATGTTATATTATTTCATAGTCTACTGGATTTTTTCTTTTCCATGTTGAGAGTAATGTGATATTACTTTAATATATTTATAATAATAAATGAAATAAAAATGATTCATTTTTCACTCACTTAAACAGTCAAAGGAGGAAAAGAGATAGAAAAAATTTAATGGCCCAAGTCTCTTTGCAGACTATTACATTTATGTTTACAAGAAGACAACTGACTGTTAAAAATAATACACATAATTTTATAATCTTGAGAATGCTAGTAAAAGGCCTTTAATCATTTTTTATTTACAGGATGTTCAAATGCGTACTTTTGAATTTGAAAATTAGAAAAAAAAAAGTAAATTTTTGTTTGAAATTTAGAAATAATGAAATCCACCATGTGCAGAAAATATACCGATAAAAGTAGAAAGAGAAAATTACCCTGAATACAGATAATTAAGATAATTCTAAAAAAGATAAGTACAGTATACTCTCGATGTCTCGAAAACTTTGTTATATTAAAAAACTATTTTTCCTCTTGGCATTAAATATCCACATAACGTTAATTTGAATTCCTATGTAGAAGAGTTTCTTCTAAAAACCTTGTTACCTTGAATATTTTACGAAATTGAAAATGAATTAAAAAAAAAAAAAATCCCAATGTAAGTTTATTGTAAACCAATTATTTTCTATATAATGCGTAATTATTTTTGTCTCACTTTTAAAAATAAAATCATCATTATTGTATTTAGACTTGTAGTCAACTATCGTTACACTTATATTTATTAGCAGTTATTTTTATGTTTCATAACTCTACTTTTTAGAGTACTATCTTAGAATACATTTTTCTACTTTTTACAGCATATTTCGTTATGAACTTATCTTGAAATTCTTTTAGCATTCCTTCAACTTTGGGATAATTCTGGCACTACAGAGAAAAGTAATTAATAACTATTATGACAATCAATAATTAATACAATACACAGAAGGCTGAAAATTAACAGCTAAAAGAGCCAATATTTAAGATAATGAACATAAAGGTAACATATAATAACTATGAGAACTGAAATGTATGTGGGGTTTAATGATCCAAGGTTTATAAAAGAGCATTCAGCACCAAGCAAAAATTCTAAAAACATTTTTGAATGCTAAAGAACTATATAAAACGTGCGTTCTGAACTACTTTCAATATCATAAGCATAAGATAAATAACTGAGATAAAAAAGATAATAGATATAGTTACCATGTTATTAAATAAGTAAATTAGAACTTACTTTTGCCCCCAGAAGTAACTCAGGTGCCCTGTACCATAGAGTGACAACTACGGGTGTGTATGATTTCAAAGGAGATCCATACTCCCTTGCAAGACCAAAGTCACCAACCTAAATGAGATTAAAGTCTTCTTTAAATTAATGTTTATACAAATGTATTTGTTTTTAAAACATGAATATCAATTGAATGAAATTTTCAACAAAAGAAAAATATAAATAAATAGAAAGAAAAGTAAGAAACTATTGAATAGCAATCAAAGCTAATAAAATCGATGAATTGTCAAAAATGACTGATTCCGGTAAATAAAATTCAATTGTGCTTAAACTTTTTTTTTAATATATACAAGAATACATATTTAGTACTTTCATGACAATGTAGAATTTTCACAAAGAGCAACATTGTAATTGCTAAAACTATTTAACTTCAATCTCAATGGTTGCTAGAAGATCGATCATTTTCTAGATTGTAATTACATTTTTCTAGGATTTTGCTTGCTAAATCCTAGAAAATAAAGATAAAGATTTTTGAAAATGTTAGTTTTTTTAAAATCCAGACCCATATTCATTCATTATGATGAAATACTTTACAAATGTTTTGGGTGAAGTAAAAAAATGATTACTTTATAAATATTTAAATTATACAGGGTTGTCACTCATATCTGGAAAAAAATTTCAATATTATATATATACATATAATACTTAATATATTAAGAGGAAACACAATTACTGTGCCCTTGTGTGAGCTATATTGGGCTAACTATACTAGTTTTAATTGCTGGAAAAAAAAGAACAGCTGAACATACTTAAATAATGCCATAGTAAATTAAATAGTTTATTATAGCTGAAATATCTTTAAACATCCTGCTTTGCGTAATCACCATTTTTTAAAAGATGAAAATATGAAACAAAATTTCCCGGATTTTCCCCGTTATTTTAGGTGATTTTTTAATTCCCTGTATTTTCCAGGTTTTCCCTATGAAGTGGCAACCCTGTTTTATAGCACAACTACAATACATTGGTTACGTAGCACAACTACAGAAGGGGGAAAATTACCTTCAGAGTTCCTTTATGACTCAACAACAAATTAGAAGGTTTCAGATCTCGATGGAGTATCCAGTTGTCATGGAGATGGGCAACTGCTCTCAAAAGCTGAAGTATCAAAGATTTTACTTCGTCTACACATTTTGGTGTAAGGAAATAAGTAGATACATACATTAAAAATAACATAATTGAAAAGAAAAACATTTTTTCAAAATACACATAAAAATATAATTAAAATTTATGGATTTCTTTCAAAATATTAAATCCTCAATGAATGAAATAATTCTGTTTAAATAATTTTAATTTCAGGAAGAATCTTTGAACTCAGTACTGCGTTACCTACACTTAAACAAGATTTCCAGCCATTGCAACAGTCCTGAAATTTTTTTTATGATCTTAACTTCTAAAAAAAAGACAAAATTTGTAGGACCTTTAGCAAGCAGAAGAAGCTTAAATTTCAGTTTATTTCTGATCACAGCAATTTGGAAAATATTTGATTTTCACCTAAACTATGCTTTAAATTTTAAATCACATTTTTATGTGTGTGCACAGATTAGTTATATTGTTTAAGCTCTTAGAAAAATATGCTAATTGAGCTATTGGGGTCAAACTTAAAACATTTTACAAATAATTTCTCATCAGAAATATACCAAATTATAAATTTTTCTCAGTTCGCCACAGTTGGGAAAAATTTCATACCAATATAAATAATACCTGATGATTCTACTCACACACTATAGCCTGTCAAATGTGTCAAAAATCATAGGAGGGACACAAAAAAAGTTATGAACCCTCCTGGGGCACATGATTCTTTATTGTGAAAAAAATTACTTTAAAACAAATAAAAAATAAATGTGATACAGGGCGTAGTATAAATGTTGCAAAAAAATTTCTGAGGAGTCGGGGCACATCATCAGGATTAAAATTGCATAGAAACACTCATATATGGAAATGTTGAACACTGAATGGTTATTGCATGCTTTGATTTTAAAATATAGTTATTTTATAGCTGGCTGTCACAGTATCAATAAAAAACAACTAACAATATTTCTAATACCTATACAAGAGCAAATTTATGACCACTTCTTTGAAAACAATGGAAATAACATAAATTTTTTTTAAAAATTTATTATTCAAAAAATAGTTTTAGATGATAATATATTTTTGCAATCGAAAATATAATTATAAATAATGGCAGAAAAAATGGAATAAAAACAGTGGAAATTTATGCTTCAAAATTTTAAATTTTTGGCGAAATAAAACCGTATAGATTTTTATATTGCTTATCACAATAAAATTTTTTTTATAACATTGTGTCAATGTAAAAATATAATCACTAAAAAAACAAGGAAATAAAGGTAGTACTTTTAAAATATTGTAAACTAGAGTCTATGATAGGTAAAATATCATGAAACAGAATTTTATTTCTACAAAAATATTGTGATAAATTATCATAAGGTCATATGATGGCAAAATATCGCAAGATCATATCATGGCAAAATATCGTGACAATGTTGGTAATTCTAATAAAATTTAAAAATTGTCCTACAAGCAAACAGAAAAAAAATGTTAAAGATTCAAGTATAAACTGTTCAATCTGGAAATCGCAACGTAATTCTTTTAAATTATTTAATGATCAACATTGTTGATAAAATTTTATTAAACAAATTAATTAAATTTAGACGATTAACAAATTTTCCAATCTTCGAAGATTTTCTTGAAAAAATAATGATTTAATCAAGTCAAATTTGCTGCTAAAATTGATTCGAATATATTTCTAGTTGTTTATAACATTCTTAAAGAATTGATAATTAAATATATCAGGAGCTGAGTGAAATGCGATAAATAAATAAATCACATTGATACTTTAATGTATAGATGTTACCGTTAAAGTGTGAAATCCTTTATTTCATAGAAGAACTAGGTATTTCTTGAATTAATTAGACAAGTTAGTTGAAGTATATAAAATTATTGAATTCTACCGATTTAACTAGGTATTCAATAGAATAACGATTACTTGATCATTTAAGTATGAAATATGGCACTTGATAGTTCTTTGAACCAGTTCAAGCTGCTTTTAGTCAGTTTTGAACTGCTTATAGAAATTGCTTTTCAATGATGTGTGTGTGTGTACACTTCATTCTTAAGCTTTTAGAAGTAGATATTAATATGAGCAATAATAATAAATTATATCATCTGCTTTTCCTTATTATATATCAATTAATCATCCGCAATAGGAGTGAAATGTATTTTTGAGAGATTTTAGCTATTCATGATCAATTGATTTATAAAATAACTTAGACATTGTTTTTTTCATTTTAACAGTCTATCATTAGTTATTTCAATTGCTTTTTTCACTTTAACAGTATCTCATTAGTTATTTCATTGAAAAACTAGGTTAAGTATGACATTTTTCATCTATAATTGTCTTGTCTAATTATTTCATGAAATATCTAAGTTATTCTATGAAATAACTGAACTATATTTCCGGTTTTATAGATAAAGAATTAAAATATATTTTAATATAGAATTAATATATTAATTCTTTATAGTTGTATTGACTATATTACGATTTTTTGGCTTAACTAAAAAAATATTTACACATGTTATTGTTTTGACCTTGTCAAGATGTTTTTTAATTCTTTTGCAGTGACATTGTTTTTCAATCCTTTAATTGTATTTCTACTTGAAAAATTTGTATTAATGAAATTTTCTCAAACTGTACTTCTCTATTGAGTAATGTCAGAAACAACCAGTTTGTCTTGCATAAAGCAACCAAGTTTTAGAGGGAACTAAGTTATTAAGTAAAACATATACACAATATATTAAGAAGAAATACATATTCACTGTGCTCTTGTGAGCTATATTAGGATAACAATGCAAGTTTTAACTGCTAGAAAAATTTAGAGAAATAACAGCTTAACATAAAACATATAATACTATAATAAATGAAATAATATAACAGAATTATCATCTTTAAATATCTCATAGATTGCACTTTGAGAAGTCTGCTTTTTTTAAAAGGCAAAAATAGGAAATAAAATTTCCTGTTTTTTCCTATCAAAATTTCATGTTATTTTAGATGATTTTTTAATATTCTTGTATTTTCCAGTTCTCCTTGTGGAATGGCCTGAAAGCTTTACAATAGAAAACATTAAAAAAGCAATTTACCAATTTTGAAAGGTTCCTTCATAGTTCTCATTAAGCTTTTCAGGTCATGTTCAACATAATCCATGACTATGTATATTCTGTCAATGTTGCTACCAACAACTATTTCCTGGAGGGATAAAAAAACTGAACATCAAATAGTTGTTAAAGTTAAATTAAAAAATATATAAAAAGAGGAAAGTCTATTAAAAATCAATTCAATTCTTTTATTTTGAAAGGAATTTAATTTCCATATATATTTTAAAATGGAGTAAAGCAGTCACACAGCTGCTTGTTGAGGACCAGATAGGTCATGGAGGTTAAGGATCCACAATTTCGTGACCAGCAGTCATGGTGGTGGCAATGTGGTCAGTTTGCACAGTGACCACCTTTATTTTCGAGAACAATTGGCCTGAAGCCTGAATGGGCTTTACACTATCACTGGGGATCAAATTTCTGTCCTGAGAGCAACAGCTCAGTAGCTTTGGGTTAAAAAAGTACAGGTATTTAGCTAGAAAATTAGTAAAAGATTTTTAAAAAAATTCAAAGACTGAAATTCTGCAACGTGAAAAATAAATAAAATTATATAAAAATTAAATTGAAATCCGGTAAAACTTTTAAAGTTTATTATTAATATCAGAGGCTCATGAAAGAAAATTTAAAATGATAGTAGTAAATATTTTTTATTTAGAAACAGAGAAATAGGTCATGAAATAATAAGAGGTTAAAATGCTTGCGATGGCTGAAATGTAGGTCTCCAACCTTCAATCTGTGAATCACATGGTACTGGGAAACTCAAGGGACATTATTATTTACTGTGTATTTACTTTCTATGAACGAGAGGTTAACTGAGAGACATCACCTAAAGCCACACGAATACTATGCATGTAACTGTATTTTATTTTGAAGGAATGTTTAAACGCAATTATATTAAAAATATTAAATCAAAATAATTTAAAACATTAAAAAGTCAACGTTCCTCTCCCCTCAGAGGGTAAAATTATCAAATGTTGATCGATCTGTAGCAATAAAAAGAGTACTGGTCTAAGTTACAAGTCACGAAGAAAGGAACTATGTATTTAAATTTGCTTCCTCAAAAAACGCCAAGGAAGGGTAACAATATTGAAAAATATTTATGAATTTTGTGTTGTCATAGATTAAGATAAATATTTATCTATTATTTTGAGCTAAATGAAAAGTTAAAAAAAAACAAGGATTAGGAGTTTGTTTTAAAACTTTTCTTATCAATATTTTCATGTCTATACATGATTTAAGACAGACAGAAAGAATTTAGATCTGATTAAATATAAAAACTTACACGGACAGATACAATATTTTGATGCTGTGCTTTTAGCAAGGTGTTTATTTCTCTCAGTGAAGTGATAGGAAATCCTTCTTTTTCCTTTTCCATTTTTAACCGTTTTAAGGCTACAACTTCACCTAAAAAAAGAAAATGTTTAGAAAAAATTAAGCTAAGAAGAGAGCACAAATAATACCACATAAACTGACATTCTTTACTTTTCTAGAACAAGTAATTAAAATGTCATTCAATGTTAAAATCTGTGATACAATATGCCATGGACAAGCAAAAGCTTCAAAAAAGTAATACAGCCAAATCTCAATATCATAAACTTTCTTGAAAACACGAAAGAAGAATTCCCAGGGCGTTAGATATGTTGCCAATAGAAGAAAAAAAACCTCTTAGCTAGATACATTTCATGGTGATCCTCAATTTCATGAAATACTTAAATCACCAATGCTTTTCTTCCCTGATTTTTTGAAAAATTTACAATGCTTTTTTAAATTTCAATACTTCTAAAAACTTTTCTTGTACTATTTTGTGAAACACTTCTCAAACCCTAATAGACAAAAAAAAAATTTTGCTGAAATTATACATTCCTAAAGAAGTAGATATGCAAGATGTGAAAATAGATAAAAATATAAGAAAGAAAATAGGAATTATAAAATAGGTAAAAACTTACTAATCTAATGAATAATAATAAGAAAAAAGAAACTGATATTCATGAGGAAGTAGTTACTGTGGAAAATGTTTCAGTATAAAGTAATTGGACAGAATTAGAAATATTGAAAAAGGTTAAGGCATCTTGAGATTTATCAGAAAAAGGAAGATGATAAACTTATGAAAAAGCAAAGGTATTGACAGTGTTTGAAATCAAATTTTTTTAAAAAATTAAATATGTGTACAATTATTATTTTGAAAAGTTTTGATATTCTCTTAAAATGTCTGATTTTCGGCCTCTCAAAAATTTTACCACCTCCCTTCGAGTTTGTAATGTTGAGGTTCGATTGTATATGTATATTTACTGTTGAGTGACCTGTTGTTAATGAGACTAACCTGTTGCCTTTTCTGTTGCACGATACACAACGCCATATGTTCCTTCTTCAATGCGAGTTAAACTATTAAATTCATCAACACTCCTACAACCTTGAATGGCAGGCAGATAAGTAGAAAATATTTCTTTCATTTTTATGACTGGTTCCACTTTTGCAGGAACATCATTTTTACTTGATTTGTTATCTTCATTTACCTTTGCCTTTTCTTCTGCATCAGAAGACGAAGAATCTAGAAAATAGAAATTTTACTTTTAAATCCCTATTTTTGATAAGTGAAGTTTTTGACATTCCATAATAGTTTTCAGAACACAGTATAGGCTTAAGATAAATTTATTAAAAAATATATTGCATAATTTTTATGAACAAAAGATCGTTTAAAATATTTTTATCAAGGCACAATGTTATTTTAAGCTTAGTAAAACAGTTGTGTTTTTTTTACTAACACGGTAATAGAGCTAGAAGTACTAGAAGTAATAAATACTAGAAGTTAAGAATAGTAGTCACTGGTTATCAGAGCCATAAGAGATGGTATTGTATTTTAGATTATAATAAGCATAGCAATGATTTGATATTTGAGTGTCACAATACTGTAACATTGAAATTTTTAAAAATAAGTAAAAATTCATTAACTGTTGTAAAAGTGATAGAATTCTCACAAATTGAGAATCGAACAGTAATTACTCAAAGGTGTTATTCCATAACTGTAAGTCATGGTATGCAGAAATCCGAAGAAAATTTTTTTCCACAAAAATGATTGACTTGGATTTAAGATGGAATTTTATTCTTTTATGTTTGGCTTGTAACAATTTTAGAGACATAGGTTTGAGGTTACAGCATTTATTTTTTATGTAATTATCACACATTCGCAACAGCTAATCAAGAGCTCTATACAGTTAATATAACATAAAAATTCAAGAATTCTTAAATCAATAATAAGATAGATAAAATATAGAATTTGACAGCAAAGAAACCAAAATGGGCAACTAAAGTTAAACAATTTACATGCTTAAGTTATTAAAAGCAAACAGCATGATATATACTAAGTTTAGTGAAGAAAAAAAACAAAAACAGGAAAGATTAGGAGCACCTTTAAAGAAGACACCCTAGTTTTGTTGAGGGAGAAAGTAAGAATCGATTACCATAAGAAACATTAAAAGATATAGTAAAATATTGATTTTTTACAAACAAACACATTTTACATTTAGTAAAAAAAAAAAGGGAAGAGCTAAAAAAAAAGAAATAAAAGACACATAAAATTATTAATCAGTACTTCCCCATAATCAATATATAAGATTAATGTGTAAAAAAAATGTTTTAATATTTATTTTGGGGGATGGTAGAATCCATATCTTGTGTTAGCCTGCAGTTAGCAAGGACAAAAGAAAACTGCTTAAATTTAAATCTACAATTTGTAATTAAACGCAAATTTAATAAATAATTGTAGTGAAAAATAATGAAAAAAAAAAAGAATTTACAAAAGTTCATTATAAATATATATTTGAAATGCTTTTAAAACTAAACCGTAAGCTGATTTAGTAAATCTGAACATACTCACACTAATAATGATGTTAAAATCAAAAAGTAAAGTATATTGTAAAGTATCAGCAGTAAAAGTAAATTATATTGTAAAGTATTAGCAGTAAAAGTAAGGTATATGCAGTAAAAATCTGCTTAGTTTCATATTTAGTTCAATTCGTATTTACCAGATGATTCATCAGCTGATCCATCATCTCCTGATTCTTCATTTTCTTCCTCTGAACTCTGACTAGAAGCTTAAAAATAAAATTAATTATAAGGAATAACACAAACTTTTTATTTTTAGAGTTGAAAATTATTAACCATTTTTACATTTAAACAGTTTTAATGTAAAGACAACTGTAATTCAAATGTGAAAACAAACAAAGTATGAGAGTTTTTTTAAGAATTAATTGATGGTTATTTTAAAGTTCCCCTATCTTTAGTTAAAATGTTAAATAGAGAATGAGATGATGTTTTAATTGTGAAGACAAATTTAATTGAAATGTTCGAATTATAAAAGAGCAATTTGTAACAACTCTCACAAAAAATTGCATGTTCTTTTCATTAAATTTTTTTTCGGTACTTTTCAGTTCAAATACCCATGAGTGACTGTGACTTTCTCAGCCTTTCATCCCTTCAGTGGGTTGATAAATGAGTACCAAGCATGCTTGGGAACTAAACACTGGGGGTTCCGCGGTCGGCTGACCACCTGACCGGAACTTCTGCTCCTGCACCCTAGAGCCCAAGAAAACTGTGGTGGGCACGGCCCTCTATGGGCTACACGCCACTGAGTTTAGTTTAGTTTTTAGACTGTGACTTTACATTGCATGCATTTATCTATGACAATGCTTTCGTTTATCAGTTTAGTTGTAACTATGCAATTCTAAAATATGCTTCCTTTTAAAATATTAAAAGACGAAGTGATATTCCTTAAATTATTATTTTCAAACAATATAATACATTTCTAAATATTTAAGTGCATTAAGATTAAAAACCTAAGTTTATAAAAATGTAGAAATTACTGTTAATCAGAAAAATAGTATTTGTTTTCAAAATGAAAATAAGAATGTTACTATATATTGCTAAATTAATTAACCCAATATTTTTTAAAATTTTATTTTCAAAGTACTCGTAATCGTATATGTTCAAAACAAAATATTTTCAATATATTATTTTTGTTTCAGAAATATTTATTTATTCGGATTATTATTAATTTTTATTCTATTTGGTTAATCAAGTAAACAAAAGTGGCATTTATTTGTTATTGAAATTAAGAGATTTAAATTTGAAAAAATAAAGGGAAAGTTAAAAGTTGTTCATTTGGACATTATGGATCACTATATAAATTCAAATATCCCACCTACAAAAATTAGATAAATACATTAAATTCCAGGGACTTTAGGCAACATATAAATTAGAAACTGTGGAAAAAATCCATAATGCTCGTGGAGAAAAATATTGAAGTAGGTGACAACGGGAAGAATTAGTAGATTATTAATTTTGTAGATGTTGATTATGATATGATTAAAAATAATTCATTGCAAGCAATCACTGAAGAGAATTGTTATTCAATCGCCTCTTCAGACAATAATGAAGACAAAAAATAAATAAAAAAACTATTCTTATGAAGACATAGATTGGATTTAATAATAAAAGAAAATAGTTTATTTTTGCTAATAAAGAGCTGCAATCGTAATGACATAACGCTTCAGAAAATAAATTTTTTAACAATAAAATAATTAAATTTAGAAAATGGCCCCACAGAAAATCTCTTACCATCATGGAATCAAAAATGCAAGTGACATGTAGACATTAGAATAATTTTCTCTAAGGAAAGGCGAGAAATCCATGTAATGGACAATAAGCATTTTTAAATTATTACCAAGGCTCCTTCTTCTTAAATGTGCTTATGGAAAAGAAAGTATAAAAAATAATAACACATTTTAATGAAAAAAAAAAACATTTAGCAACCATGTTACAGTTTTAGATCTTTATGCTAATGTGTTAGGCAGGCGTAGAAGGAATCTTTTAAAATAGATTTCATCCTTAACTCTAGTCTAGGTTTAGGAATAAAAAGATCAACAATTATAATAATGATTTTTATTTATAGAAAAAAGATTAAATGAAATAATAATTTAGTTTTTAAATGATAAGAAATATGTCATGCATATTTTTGCAATAATTGTATTTATCAATGTAATAATTGTCCTTCTTATCAATACATAATATTATGTAACACGATATAAAAATAATGCCCACTGCTAACAAAACCCCTGCATTACAAAAAAGGCAAATTTTTAAAAACAAATATGAAAAATAAGAATCATCTTTTATAAAACCTCATTTTTAATGCAGTGATAATATAAAAACTAATTATAAGATTAGCTAAGAGGTTGAGAGTTTGATCAATCACCTCATGAATAAAATTATAAAACGTAAAATAAAAATCCTTATATGTACTCGATATCATTATTATTTTTAATTTTCAAAGAGAATATTTTATTATCATGTGAATCACATACCTTCACTTTTACTATCTGTGTTGCTTTCAGATTCGCTATCTGTAGAACTTTCAGACTTACTGTCAGTTTCACTTTCAGTTTTGTCTTTAGCATTTCGCTTATCATCAGTATTTTCCTCTTCATAGTCCATTGGTTCTTCATTTATGACTGGTCCTGTTAAACAGACAGGAAAAAAATTAAGGATAAACATTTAACAGTCAGTGAAGAATATAAAGCATTTATTTAAAAAGCATGAAAATATAAAAGAAAAGCAAATTATTAATTTTTTTAATTAGGCACGACTAGATATAAGTTTTGTGGGCCTGGAATGAATTTTATAATGAATCCTTTCCCAAAACACAAAAAATCTTATTTTCATATTTTGCAAGCTTTTCACCTTTAGACTTTGAATATCAAAATACTAGTTTTTACAAATATATCAAACTATTCATTTCTACAAATCACTAACACATTGTTAAAATTGACAAATTTATAAAAAAATATTGATGTATTTTTTTAACACTCTATAAGAAGGTTCGTTTTACTATTATGGATCAGAGATAATACCTAAAACTAAATTTTATTATAACAATACCTACTGCAGAATTTCTTCCGAATCTAAAATGCATGCAGATGATTATCATTTCTATAAAAACTATAAGCAGGTTTTATAAGTACACAGTTGCCAGCAAAAAAAGAAATTTAAAAAATCTGTAGATTTTATAATACAGCAGATTTTTATAAAAACTATGTGGAGCTTATATAAGTACACAGTTGCCAGCAGCAAATAAATAAATTAAAAAAATCTGTAGATTTTATAACACGACAAGAATTTTAAACAAAAAAAAATTTGACATTGACATAATTTTTTTTCTTAAAATTTTAATGATGCACAAGAGATTTTATTTTACCTAGAACTTTTTCGTTCTCTTTTTCTCTATTGTTTACAACAATTGATGAAGGAATGTGCTTTATATTTTTGGATGGACTTTGAAATCTTTCTAGACGTCTTTCTTTTTCTTTTTGTTGTCGTTCTCTGTCTCTCAGTTTATCTCTTAAATCTTTGCCATTAGATACAAATTCTAAATAAAAGACAAAACTTTTGAGCATTATTTAAGAATATTTATCAAAGTAAATAAAAGAAATATATAGAGATTACAGTTGTCATAGTTTGTGCTGAAGATAATATTTATTTATACAGACAAATCTTGATATTACAAACTCAAAGGGAGCACTAAAAATCTGTTTATGAAAAATTCAAAATTTTGAAAATCAAATATTTAAAAAATAGAGTCAAAATAATAATTGCACCAACATTTTAAAAGCTGCATGAGATATATTTCTTTTAAAAAATATATTGTATATGTCAGTATCTTTGCTTCATTTTGTTTCAATTTTTTCAAAGCTCTTCTGATTCATCTTTTTTTTTCTTTCATCAATTTACTTAAATATTAATGAAGACAGTATCTACTTCTTCATAAATATCAGTTTCTTTTGGATTCAGTAGATTAACCAGTTCTTTGCTATTTTATGAGCAGATACTCTTATTTCTACTCATATTTACTTATCTTTTCAAACACGGTTATCTCTTTCTTATTAAGGTTGTAAGGAATGATTAATAAAATTGATCAAAAAACTTTTCAAAGAAATGAAATTTAAAAATTTTTTATTTTTCAGATATCAGTAAAAAAATATTTGGTTATCAATAATACTTCGTTTTGTATTACCTTTTGCTGACCTTGAACTATCAGGTTGATTTCTGTTTTGTTCTCGCTTCTTCTCCATGAAATTCAAACGTTTTTCCCTCCATTCCTTTTTTTTAACATCAAAATTATCTCTAAATAAACAGAAAAAACTTTGAATCAGCTCATATGCATGCAAAATAAATAAAGAAATCACAACTCAATACTCGATTGAAACAGGGAAATTTCCCTTATTAATTTAGGTCGCAGGTTAATATCAGTAAAAAACATTTAAAAAAAATAATGTGTATAAATGATCTAAAAAGAATTTAGAAATTAGTTTCCTTTTCCTTTTTTTAAATTTAAACTGAATTTTGTTCATTATTTAAATTTGAGCGTATCTTTAACATTTGTTAGACACATAATTTCCTTCTAATCAATAATATGTGAATGCAACAATAAATAAATTAAGAACTGATGGAATATATTTTAAGAAACAGCATCAGTGTGTTTAGGAGAGATGTTTTAAAAAATAAATTTTCATATTGGTTTAGTTTTTAACCATTGTCATAAATTAAATCACAGACAATTCCATTTAGGAGTTTATTGCATAATGTTTAAATATTCTTTACAAACTCATAAGATTAATATGGAGAGAGTGGCCACATTACCAAATTTGCATTCCTTAAATTATCTGAAACTACATGTTTATTTTTGTTTGTAGTCATAGTTTTCAAGCGTGTTTTTATAAAATGAAACGATTTAAAATCAACAGTAATTGGAAGAGCGAAAACGTTATGTACTAAAAAGCAAAGTTAATGGAGATAAGGTACTGGTTCATTTAGAAAAAATTTAAAAAAAAAACACCACACTATTACTGATGCCAATGATGCTTAATTAATTTTGAATGTTAGTATTTTTGGTGCCATTGTGGCGCCAGCGTAGTCGCTAACGGAATCAGCTGGATGACGTACACGGGATCAGCAACCTTTTACCTTTCTTCAGTATTTAAGAAGCTTTGAACATTGCTCTGCGCACACTCACACTTAACTTTTACTTTTCTGTTTTTATCTTATTGTTATGTTTCAGTTGGTAACAAATGTTTGTTTGATTTTGTCATAGTTGTCCTCAACTTAATATGAGAGGGTTTCTCCTCCTCACCACATATTAGAATAACTGGCGTTCTTTTAATAACTACCAAATATTCTAATATAAGTACTATTGCAGACACTGTGGAATTTTTAATTGAGAACCAAAAGGGATAAGTGCTTGATTTTAGAAAATTTTAGCTTGAATGAGTTGGCAACAGCATCATGCCAAATAATTCCGATAACACTTAATCTTTATTTTGATGAGCTTCTAAAAAAATGTTTTTTTAAAGGCAGAAAAGGCAATAAGTAAAAATAAAGATAATAATTTTGTCGCCTTGTGTAGAATTTTATATTGTTGATCAGAGCTATAGAGTTGGTAGTTGAAATCTTCAACTCCAACTGATACTGAATAAAAATTTCCACTGAATTCGATGAAAGTATTAATTTCTACAATATCATATTTTATAATTTTTTTTTGTAATGTAGCTTACTTAGTATTATTTTAATTTAATTGGCAATATAATAATAGAAATCTGTATGTTTAGTTATCTGCTCTATCTATTCAACCAATAGTAGACCAGATAACTAGATTTATATAAGTTTTTCTGTTTTGTTATTTGCAAACCAAATACATATGACCTTAATATATACAAGACTACAACAAGAATTGAGTTGACACAGTCTCCAGTAGTGTAGTTTCAATGTATGTTTGAGGAAGGAGGGGGGGTTGTGGGTCCTTCTAATATATATCTCAGAAGGAAAAAAAGAGGAAAATGAAAAAAATTAAGAATATTTACTGTGTTAGTTTTATTTACTGAGCAAAAGCTGCAAGTATATAGAACTCTTAAAATAAGTTAAAAATATAGAGAAAACATGAAAATTAATTCCACATTTTCTCTCTCTCTCTATATATATATATAGCCCAAATCAGTGGTTACCAACTGGTGGCCTGCGGGTCGTATCTGGATTCCAAAGCCTTTTTTGAGGCCGGCGAACTAAAATATATTAGTTGTGGTTTTTTTTGTGGACAATTTTCGTACAAAATCTATATGGGTTTTAAATAATTTTCTTTCGTTAAAAAAACCCCTAATTTCTTCGTTTCTGTGAAAGTTAACATAACAACGGTGCAAAAAAATTTATTTCTCAGGTTTGCATCCAAGAAAATATTCAAATACAAAAATTATAGTGCATGTTGCTCTTTTTTATTTTGTATTTTGTAAATAAAATTTAGCATGTGCATATCAGAAACTTCCCCGAAGAAGTTCTCCCATTTAACTTTTTGAAACCACTCATTTTGGACGAAATTATTTACATTTGTAAATTTTAAAATGCATAAAAGAGGGAATGAATATCATGTTTAATATAAATTCTTTGAATTGAATATCGCATAAGCGGAAAAGAAAAAAAAATAATTTTAGATGCTCGAAAATTTTTTTCTTCTATGCTATAACTCTTAATAAGTCGGAAAAAATGTTAATTTATCTCAGAATTAAACTTAAAAGGAAAAAATTTTTGTTTCACTAAGTTTCTGATTGAGAGAAGATTCAAAATGATACATAACAAGCAATATTTGTAATGCTTGTTATTTTGCTTTTTAATATTAAAATAACAAAAATAATCGTGTATGTTGCTCTTTTTAATTTCATTTTTTGTATCTTGTGAATACAATTTAGCATTTAACTTTTTGAAACCACTCATTTTGGGCAAAAATATTTACACACACATTTGCAAATTTTAAATATCTATTCTCTGTTGGTTGCAGCAGAGAAACCTCAATTTTGTCACTGAACATTTTGAGTGCTACTATGTAAGTTTTAATACAAACCTTTTTAAAGTTTTATATCTTAACAATTAGATATCTGTTGCACATTAATTATCTAATACAAGGGTGCACATTAAAGTTATTGTAGCCCGAATTTTTTAATATGCAATTAAATATTTTTAAAAATCTACTTCTTATTTTAATTTGTAATTCAATACTTTTGTTTTGTACAACTTGGTAAAAATCTAAAAGTAATATTTAATGTTTCTTCAAACATAAAAGAGTCCTATATAAAATTTTGATACAGTTGCGGCCCGCCATTTGACTGGTGTTTTTAATTGCAGTCACCGGCTACATGTAAGTAGGAAACCCCTGATCTAAATATTTAAATTTCAAAAAATGAATAATGAAAACTTTTTTTACATTTACATCCTACTTATCATATAATAGTTCATTATTTAAGTTATGTTTAATTTCGGAGGGGGTTTTGACCCCCAAATCCTTCCCTATAAATATGCCATTGATAGTCTCAGTGAATTATCCAGGTATTATGTTTATTTTATATAAAGTTCATCTTAAAATGTGTTGCAAGAATTTCATGTGAAAAATGTAAAGAAAGTAGATAAAAATTCGGAGGCTTTAAAACAACAATATTAGATAAACCACTAAACTATCGTATATTTCTAATCATCGTGTGCACAAAGGAATTTTTTCCCCTTAAATTTATGCAAAATCACATGAAGTGTGTATATTTCGATAATATCAATTACAAGTTACATTTTTAGATAAAATTGCATTTCAGGTATGAATTTTTTAAATCAGAAAAAGCATTCCAAATATAACAAAAGTGTTTCTCTTACACAAGTTTTTCATCCTTGACTTTAGTATCACTAAATTCTCCCCTGGATTCTCGAATATCTTTACTCGGCCTCACTTCTCGAATATCTTTACTCAGTCTCACTTCTCGAATATCTTTATTCAGTCTCACTTCTCGTACATCTTTACTTAGTCTCACCTCTCTAACATCTTTTACAACTCGAATATCCTCTTTATGTCTATCTCTTTCTCTGTGGTTATGGCTGTCTATTTCAATTTTTTTCTTTGTACTCGATTCTCTATCCCGTGATGAGCTTTCTGCATGAGAACTTCTTTGTCGTTTGTGATGATGTTTCCGCTTGTGAGCTACAATCAAAGGTAAGATTTTGAGTATCATTCTAAGAATAGATAAGTAATGTTTATTATGACAAATGAGTTTAAACATTAAACAGGTAATTTGGAGCCGCTCTATGCTAAATAATTAAACCAAAATAAATAAAAATTCTGAGTAATTTGTTTACGGAGTTGATGAAAAATTAATGGCTTTAATGCATTTTTTACAAATGTAATTTTTTACAGGGTTTACATTCTTTCTTCACTAGTTTTGTATCTGCTCATATCTTTTGTACACTTAAAAGTAGCACACAAATGTAATGCAAAAGTAGCACACAAATGTAATGCTTTTGTCTTGATGTTTGACAGCTAGTTATTTTTTTCCTACTCTTAAGTCTGTATATGTATATGCTACTAATTTCCCCCCTATTTTTAAGTCTTAATAACTGAAGTTAAGATACATAGAATTCTACTACAGATTTTTAACTTTTACACAATTAGTAGTAAGTAATTTAAGAACAATCGAAATATTCGAAACACTTATTTAAATTTAAAGAGTCAAGATTTTTTCTATAAGAAACCTATTTGTTCCAGGAAACGAAAAAGAAAAGAAAATAGGCAACATGGAAGAAACTAAAATTACAAATACAATTGTTTAGATGAGTAATATAGAATAGTTTAAATTTAAACAAATAAAATTCAATGATGAACAAAATAAAAATTCATTATATTAATGAGAAAAAAATACTCTTTTTTTATACAAAATTTTAAAATCATTTAACCAATAACCCCAAGAACAATAAGTAATTTTTATAGGGGATTATGCATTCTTATTTTTTAAATAAAATAAGTACAAGTTAATAATTAAGGAAGAACTTAATTATTGCCTATTTAGATAAATTATGTATACTAATTTTATTCTTAGTTCACTGCATATTAAAAAAAAAAAAAAAACAATTTAATGTATGGTAGATAATTGCACACCAGAGAAAACAAGAGAGAATTATTTGTGTTCACAGGTTTAATTTTGATCACTATTGCAAATATTCTATTAAAATATTGCTTTAAAATTTTTTAAACTGGTTTATTTTTCTTTACAATCTGTTTTGCCTTTTAATATCACTGTATTTAGAAATTTTAGATAGTAATTTTATTTTTATACCATGTATAATGAAATAAACAACACAAAATTCAATGCTTAGCCAAACAATATTAAGTTCCAATTATAAACTGTTTTAAAAAAATGGTTTTAAGATTTAATATTTCGTTTTTTAAAAGCGTACCTTTCATTTTTTCTACTTGGATTTGAAAGATTGGGTGGGGATTAAAGATAATAAAAGAAATACAATGTATGTTGTTTAATACAATGTATGTTTGATACTTTCAAAAACTTATTTTAACACCAAGTGATAAACATTACTATAATAAAAATACAGAATTAAGGAAACATTGGAAATACAAAATATTTATCTATGCGAGGAAAATAAATATTTTAAAAGAGAATTTTGTTAATTTTAAAAAAAAAATTAAATAAGGATTCTAAGGATTTATCATTGTTAAACATTAGTCTTACAGTCATGTTTCCTGTGTCTACTTTTCTTTTTATCATCTTTTTTAGAAATTTCAGATTTCCGTATAGCTGGAGGAGGTTTTATATCCAGTACTTCATCTTCTTCATCTTCAGAATTTACACTAGAGCTAGTAATGAAAATTATTTAATAAAAACTATGTAATAGAATAGATAAACATTCATTATTAACCATATGAAAAATATTACTAGGAAATATAGATTAATAAACATTTACATAGAGCATAACATTTATTTAATGACTAAAATTAAATATATGAAATTTTATATGCCACTAGTAGATGTTTCAAACCTTATAAGAGCATAGCAAGTGGCGTAGTTTTAATGCATAACAGTGGCATAGTTTTAATGTATGTTTGAGGGAGGTTATTCCCTTTTGATATATATGTTACTGTTAAAGTGTTTAAATCAGTTACTTCACAGAATAACTAGGTATTTCATGAAATAACTATGCAAGTCAGTTAAAGTATGTAACAGATGAAAAATTTCCTATTTTACCCAGTTATTCTATGAAATAACTAGTGACAGAGGATTAAAGTGAAAAATAAACAATTTCAAAGTTATTTTACAAATTAATTGATAAATAATAAGGAAAATCAGATGATATAATTTATTGCTCAGATTAATAACCACATCTAAAAGCAACAGAATGAAGTATAAACACACGTGTCACTGCAAAGCAGCTATAAGCAGTTCAAAACTGACTAAAAGCAGCTAAAACTGGTTAAAAGAACTTTCGAGAGCCGTATTTCATAGGATAATGATCAAGCAATCATTATTCTACAGAATACCTAGTTAAATCGTAGAATTCAATAATTTTATATACTTTTATACATCTCTAGTTATTCTATGAAATAACAGATTTCACACTTAAACGGTAGCACACCCACATACATATGTATTCTAACTGTTTAAATTACAAAAAGTGAATAAAGAAAGCCTTTTTATATCCACATCCTCTTTACTGTACAACACTTTCCAAAACTATGCTACTGAGTGTACATCCATTCCCATGGTGATTAGAGCATCTGGTTATGGAGCTAAAGGTTTTTAGTTCGACCCTCTTCAAGGTCAAACAAACACACAAATATTATACAACAGCATTATACAACTTTGCTCTGTCCCAAGCTTTATCTTGATTCGACAACCAAATTGCATGGCCTAACTACATTGGAATGATGAATTTAGTCACTTCTACATGGTCTCTCAATCTCAAGAAACACTTCCTACTAACGAGTCAGACATTCTCATCCCCTTAAGGGAGAGTATGTGGGACTACTATATAAAGCTCCCTAACTCACTCTAGTTAGGGGTGTACATCTTTTTACAGCTTAGTAATCGCATCCCCAAAGGTCGCAATAGGTCCTCAGTTTGACTCCTACTGATGACCAAATATCTCTCACTCACTTCCTCCTTGTTGTTATTAGTACAGAAAATACTAAACTCAATGGCGCAACAGCTCATAGAGGACTAAGGTTTACTGAGCCCATCCCAGTTTTCTTGACCTTGGGCTTTTGGGTGCAGGAGCAGATGTACCAGTTGTGAGGTTAGCCAAAAGTGTAAGCATTAGCGTTTAGTTCCCAAGTCGGTCCTATTCATAAATTCACAAAAGAGAAAAAACAGCTAGGAGCCCTAAATACAGGAAATAAACTTACAATAGTTCTAAAACGAAAAAAAAAAAACCTTAAAACTTTTTATGGTTGATGAAATAAACAAAAATTGTAATATTGGACTGAATATTATACCTATCATCGTCAGTCTGATTAGGCTCATACTTAGGTGAATCATCATCTATTTCTCCTTCTTCAGATTCTGACGTTCTTCCATTCAAAGAAGTTTTTAAATTGTCACGGTGCGCCATCTAAAAAAATTCAATAATTAAAAAATAATGACAAAATATTTGAATTTTGAAAATTATAATTACTCAAAATTTCCTCAGTGAAAGGAAACACTATATAATTCACTCAAAATTTTTATTTTATAAAAAGGAAACAAAATTTTTGCAAATAATTTTATTAACCAGAAACTTTGTTTAACTATCATTACAATTCAGCAGTGAGCAATACATATTTGCTACTTTTTTAGAAATATTAATTTGGAAAAAAATTTGACCAATAACATACAAAATCAAGATTGATTCTAGACAGGACTTGCGTGGCACAATACCCCACCTGCGCTACTGTACACAAAAAACTTAACCCCACATCCACTTTGAACCAAATTATGTATCACAATACATTAAAAAAAAACTTTATTTGCATTGATTCCAACGTAAATTCATTAGGATTTTAAATTTCGACATTCACATATGGTTTTTGAATCCTAATGGTACAATATTATTCTGACAAACAAATCTTGATTTTTGCTGTCACATGTGGTGGGTCCTCGATTTGCAACACTATTATTGTAATTATTATTTTACAATTTTATTTCAATTTATTGATTTACAATTTTATTTTGCAGGATGTATATCTCCAATCATTCTTTTGGCAATAATTTACTGCTTTACCCACCAATCATAAATGCACTTTTTTTGGTAGATAGCTATCATTTTAAAGAACATTCTGTAGAATTCCAAGCGTAACAGAGGGGAAATCACACAGGTATTTTATCCTAAAAAATGTATTAAATATGTGAACGTATATGTGAATATACGTCCACGTATATGTGAAAACCAAAAACTTCGCAATAATATGCTACTTTAAGGTGCAATGTTTAATCCCACATTTTTTACAGGGACTGTGTTTTCCGCTATATTCTGAAATTTGGAACATCCTAAACATTATTTCTAATTTTTTTTTAATTATCACATTTCAAGGTAAAATAAATGATTATATATAAGACTTTTTAAAATGCTTACACATTTTTATTAACTTCAAAAAATGCAATGTAACAAAGGGGACATTTAACAAATTTGACATATAGTTACAGGGGAAATATCCTGCCATTTAATTAAACATTGCACCAAAAAGTAGCATATTATTGCACATTTTTTTGTTTTCACACATATTTAATAAATTTTTTATGATAAAATACCTGTGTGATTTCCCCTCTGTTACACTTGGAATTCAACTTTTAACATAGGTTTTCAAATTTCAATATTTTTTAATAAGAAGTCATTACTGCATATTTCAGAGTTAATTGTGACACGAAGTGAAAAGCCCAGAAAATTTTCTGTGTGAAAAATCAATATCAAGATATCAATTTATATACTATTCATGTTTCATTGTAACATGATTTTTTTCAACTAATTACTACTAACTAATTCAACTAATTAAATTTTACAGCTAAATTACCTACTAGTGAAGAATATCACACCTTCAAGAAAAAAAATTACTTCTTACTAGAATCGCGTAAACACAAATCAGGATGCATAGTTTTTAGAACGTGCAAATAAGAATCGCAATGTGTAGATTTCAAATCACGTAAAACTACCAAAATCGATGTTTGATATTATAACTGCGTGAATTAAATGGTGATGTTGGATTTAAAACTTGTGTGTATAAGAAATCGTCCCTGGGGCAGAATCGCAACGGCACAGCGACATTGTCGCAGAATGTTAGAGATCTTGAAGAAAGATTTTTTGTTTATAAGGAACTTTTCTTAGTTTTCTCATAAATTTTTCTCAAAGATTCTAGGTAATATTTCAATCATACCTTAAGATAATCCTTTTTTGACGCTCTCAATTAACCCAGATAGTATCGTAAATCGATGTAATGTTTCGATTGAAGTTTCGGCAGTTATTGATATTGATTTTCACGTGGTTTTTAAATATCTCGATATATTTCAAACAATATGAAAAATTCGAATCGTGCATTTGAGCACATACTTTTTAAGGCAGTAATACTATCGAATTTTTAGCAGTTATTGCTGCTGATTTTCTCTGTAGATTTTAAATCCGATGTTTTATAAACGATATTCCTTATTATAACCTAATCTCGAAAGGAAAAACGGATTTGAGGGGGAAGCATAAACAGGTACCAACACTGAAATATTTCGCACCTATAACATAACACAATCATCTGATAGAATCATCACGTAATTAATCAATAACTATTGTAAACTGCTTATATTTTCGAGACAAATTTTCAGAGCTGTCAAGTTACTATTATGGATACATATGAAGTAAAGGATTTAAAGGTAAATCGACTCAAACATACTTCCTTCATGCTCTTACCATTTTTACATTATTTTTCTTTCAAACACAAAAGTAAAGGAACAAATAAAGAGACTCACCTTTCAATGTAACAAACAAGTTTTATAACAAAAGATAATAATCATACAAACAGAAAATTGAATTAAAGTTTTTTTTAACAAGAATATTAACGCTTTTCTTACACGTCAAAAACTTTAGAAATTTGTAAACAAAGAAATGGCTGTACGGTAAGTATGAACAATTCCAAAAGCTAAATACTTGATATACACCTGCTTGTAGCTTTCATAGCAGATATTTGATCCACATTGATGATTGATGTATATTGTATCACAAGAGACAAAAACAAACAAAAGTTGAAGCGACAGTCGAAGTTTATGATTAATCAAAACATCAATGACAGCGGTTTGCCATGTAAACAATCCAATTTTAAATTTTTGTTGTCACGTCATATAACATTTTAAGCTTGTAGTGTTTTTGTATGGAAAATTTTGTGGGAAGAATAATTTTTTCATGATGCGTAGTAGATGTTCAATCGGGGAAATATTTTATCTTTATTTATTTTCAATGTATTGCTTGTTCCTGGAACTTCTTGGAAAGTTTTGGTTTAAATCTGGATTGACCGGAAAAGGTAAATATATCTTCAAATTAAACCCTCTCCCCTATTAATACGATTAACAAATAATGTAATATAGTTAAATTTTATTAGTGTTATATAATTTTACTCTTCCTGATTTTTGTTTGTTTTGACCTTTCATTCATTATACCTCAGTAATTACTTTAAAAATAAGTTTATTAAGGAAGATTTCAGTACCTATGCCCGAAAAATCGCCAAGTCTTGGCAACTTCCAGGCAGCGGCCTGAGAGAAACTAAAAAAACATCACAGAAAGGGACAAGCTCGAAAGGTATAACTCGTAGCCCCCCCCCCCCTGGGCAAACATATTTTTATGAGAAAAATTTTCAATTTATTTGGCACTTAGAAATTTGTGGTTGGAGCGACAGACCAGGATAGGAGAATTTCCCCCGACTTGGGGCCTTGGTGATTGTAGTTGGCATGGCAGATCACGAAATTATGATTACGGGATCTGTCATGTCAACTATAGTTTCCAAAAGTAGTTTAAACTTGCAACTAACAAAATATGTATGCAAAAAAAAAAAAAATACAAGATGAGGTATATCCCATGTGTGGCTACGAGTTGGCTCTTTCTGTAATTATTTTTCGCGGGACCACTGTCCGGAAGTAGCTGAGACTAGGCGATTATTTTTGCTCGGATCATGATATAGAAATCTTTCTTAATTGAATACGGGAATTTTGTCGTGTCTCAGTATTTTTTTCCACCATAATTACTGTGATACAGTTGAAAAAAAATTGTCAAAGCACTTTATAATACTTGCTGTGCCGATTCAGTTTTTTAATGAATCATATCCCTTAATTTTAATTTCTTGGACTTGGCTTTCTTGGAAACTTAGAATATTATTTTGTTTTAAATGTTAGGGAAAACTCAAATCTATTTCATGGTGCATAGCATTTTTAAAAAGTGCTTAAAAGGTGCTTATTTTTGTTTTTCAAAAGCCCTTAAAGGTACTTTTTTGTATCTGATTCTGATGTTTTTAAAAAGTGCTTAATTTTTCCTTTTCGAAAACAATATTTTTTCTTTACAATGTCGATTTTCGCCACCTATTATGCAAAAGTGTGGTTTTCACAATTCATTCAAACGCAATGCATTTCCGTGTACCGTCAGTCCGTAGCGCATGGAAGCTCCAATCATTTTACATGTTTGACGAAATACTTGCGGGTCCGCATGTGCCTATACTGAGATAGGTTCGATGAGATTGTTGCACTCTCATGTGCAACTCTGCTGCATTTTGCACGAAATTCGCAATTTCAGGCTTCACTCCCTCCCCTCTAAAATCGAACCGAAAAATCTCTTGATCTTGTTATGGTGGCTAATATAAACAAGAAAAGAGTTCTTTGTGTGAAACTAGTTATTTTATCCTGATCATGTAAATTCTTTGAAAATTATTTTACATTTTGTTATTGTATATAGTGCTTAAAAATATTTTTTGAGTGCTTAAAAAGTGCTTATTTTTTGTTGAAAAATTTGGCTACTGTATTTAATTCTAGGGGCAAACCTAAAAATTTAAATTTGTTGCACTGTTATGAAAAGTTCAAAGAGATTCAATTAAATGGATTAAATTTAAACGTTGGAAAAAAGGTTCCACATTCCAATGGGTACTTTACAAGCAATTTCTTTATTGCTTTATTAAATGTAGTAAAGCTATTTAATTTTTNAGTGTATCCCGTAATATATACAGGGTGCGTGGCATTTTTAAATAGTGCTTAAAGGTGCTTATTTTCGTTTTTCAAAAGCCCTTAAGGGTACTTTTAGTATCTGATGTTTTTAAAAATTGCTTAATTTTTCCTTTTTGAAATCGTTTTTCAAAAGCCCTTAAGGGTACTTTTAGTATCTGATGTTTTTAAAAATTGCTTAATTTTTCCTTTTCGAAATCGATATTTTTTCTTTACAATGTAGATTTTCGCCACCTATTATGCAAAAGCGTGGTTTTCACAATTCATTCAAACGCAATGCATTTCCGCCTATTGTTAGTCCGTAGTGCATGGAAGCTCCAATCATTTTACATGTTTGACGAAATACTTATGGATCCGCATGTGCCTATACTGAGCTAGGTTCGATGAGATTGTTGCACTCTCATGTGCAACTCTGCTGCATTTTGCACAAAATTCGCAATTTCAGGCTTCATTCCCCCCTCCCCCCTCTAAAATCAAACCGAAAAATCTCTTGATCTTGTTATGGTGGCTAATATAATCAAGAAAAGAGTTCTTTGACTGAAACTAGTTATTTTATCCTGATCATGTAAATTCTTTGAAAATTATTTTACATTTTGTCATTGTATAGTGCTTAAAAATATTTTTTGAGTGCTTAAAAAGTATTTAAAAAGGGCTTATTTTTTGTTGAAAAATTTGGCTACTGTATTCAATTCTAGGGGTAAACTTAAAAATTTAAATTTGTTGCACTGTTATGAAAAGTTCAAAGAGATTCAATTAAATGGATTAAATTTAAACGTTGGAAAAAAGGTTCCACATTCCAATGGGTACTTTACAAGCAATTTCTTTATTGCTTTATTAAATGTAGTAAAGCTATTTAATTTTTAAAGATCAGTGTTTTAAATTGCAGGACATAGATAAAGTTCAATTAAGATTTCTTGTATTTAGAACTAATTTTTATTAAATGTTGATCTTACTGAAAATGTTTTTAGATTAAATAATCCGATCATTATATTATTGGATTTTTTTTCATCCCTAATCATTCATCTCACCCTTTTTAATCATTCATCTTACTTTCCTTTCCAAAATTCAGTAACACTTAATAAACTATAAAAGTGAGAGAGATAGAAAGATAAACGTCCAAGTACCTTTGTAGATGATTAGAGGAATTTATGAATAGTGTATCCTTCATGCATATTTATCAATCTAGGGTTAAATAATTTAAATGAAATAACAACTTTTTTCTAATCAGTTAAGGGAAAAAATACTAAATATTTGATGAAAAATATCTTTTTGTAAACCGAAACTGATTTATATAAAAGGATTAAGGAAAAATCTATTTGGATGATATTGATTATAAAATCATCATTTAACAAATGTTGCAGCAAGAAATATAAGTTTTTCTTTCTGTCCGAGTTACTAAATTTCGTGATCTTAAAAAAAATTAACTTTAGGAAATGTATTTTATTTGTTATAAAAATGTATTTTATTTATTTTAGTGTTTATGAGATGTGAGGGTCGTACTGCTGTTGTAACTGGTGGAACAAATGGAATAGGCTATGAAACTGTTAAAAAATTACTTGGATTTGGCATGAATGTCATTATTGGTCAGTATATTGATTTTTAAAGTTTTTGTATATTTTATATGAATTGTCTATTTCAAACTAATTCAGGATTAATTTCGAACTTATTTAATGATAAGATGTAGACTAACGTTATATAAATGTTAAAGGGACTTGATTTTATGTAAATATTATTTAATAATGTAATAGTACTTCATTACACATTCTTATACTATTTCCTTGATTTTTATTTATTTTAACAATTTAGTCAATATTTCAGTTTTATCATTATTTTTGTCTGTCTATTTTAGCTTCAAATACATCAGCTGCTGACAGTGAATGTTGCTTACAAATATTGAGAAGTCTTTTTCCTAAAAGCAAAGGTAAATCATTTAATAAATATTGTCAAGAAACAGAAGCGGTAAGATATTAACTGATTGAAAATTTCATTCACTTCAAAAATATACAAATATGAAAGAACAGTCAACATGTTTCAAGCACTTCAAAAATGGGTGCCCATTTTCAAGACTTGCCAGGCGTAAATATAAATAATCAAAAAATGATTTATGTTGTCAATCCCAGGAAAGTCTTTTTCTTTTTAATACCGCGAGATGGTGTTCGTTTTAATTTTGTATGCATTTGTCTGCTTAATGCCGATAAACTTTTTCTTTCTGTCTGAATCTCGATCTCCACAGACCACAGTAGGTTTTGAGAATTACGATGCAGTAAAAGTAAAAAGTTTCACTCAATTTCGCCTTGATTTACATTGTTTAGATTCAAAGATGAATAGGAATCTGTCATGTATTTCACTGTTTAACAGCGAGAACTACATACTTGGGACTAAAAATCTAAATAAGAATAGCTGTTAATTTATTAAATTCGTTATATCTATATATGTATCCTGGCTCTCCTGGTCAATTAGTTCTCAAGTTATAGCTATTTAAAAGTTTTTAAAAAAATTTCAAAACTTTCAAATAAATAGCTAAAAATATCTGGAACTTGGTATTTTCTTATAGTCCAAGCAGGTTTAATAAATTGGCCGAAAATAATTGGATTGAGACAGTTTACTTAGTAAGTGAATTTCTTAAGCTTTTTTTTTCTTAGTATTTGTTTATAAAAATACAATATTTTAGACATTTTTTACATTGTTACATGTAAAAAATACCTCCTGAAAAAATAATGTGAACTTATAGAAATTACGTGGGTACCACTTTTCTGTCCTGAGGACTAAAAAGTGGTAAAAAGAAAAGAAAAAAAGACTTAAAAATATTTTCCAAGACTGAAAATTCTTGGGAAAAAAATAAGCTAAGAGTAGACTAAATTTCATCAATTAATATAAAAAAAATTAATTAATGAAATAGGAAAAAAAAACATTTTTTAGAAAAAATAATTAAATCATTGATTTAATATGTGAGTTATTATTTTGCCGAGGTATATTTTGGAGGCCATGAACTATAATTTTTTTATAATTCTGGTAAACAACCCTGGATGTTGTTAATTGGTCAAAAGAATAGTTTCAGTCTCGAAATTGTATTTAGAGTGGAACTCATGAAATTATAAAGGTTAGTTTTGCATTATAACAAACTTTTTTTTTTCCAGTTGAAATTTGGTATGTTGATCTCTCATCAATGAGTTCTGTGAAAGCTTTTGCTGACAAATATTTATTGTCTGGATTGCCTCTCCATATTCTGATTAATAACGGTAATTGTAACCTTCAGGGTTTTGAACCATTTTTTACTTAAGAGAATTTAGAGGGTGCACTTTCAATTTTGTTTAAAATATTATAAAAGGTTTATTTTATGTAATTAAATTTCCAAAATTTTCTTAATTTTTTAATAATTACTTAGTTATGTGCTATATTATTTTGTATATTCTTTTTTTTTTAAAATCAATCATTAAATTTTTATTTTTCTTGGGACTATCCGTGGAATGTCCAAATACTTCTGCAAGAAATTGCTGTTTTTTGTTTAAATTACAAAATGTTGTAAGGTCATCCTGTTTGACTACCTCTTTTAGTGGTTTATGATACATCACAGCTTGTATAATTTTATTTAGTTATTTTTAAGAATTTTTCCTGCCTAAATTTAAAAGTGTCCTATTCTAGAAATTAAAAAAATGTAAGATTTAAATTTATTTTTATTGCTTATATCGTGTAATGTTTTGAGATCATATTGTTTGGCTACCTCTTTTGAGAGCTCGTGGTAATTCACATTTTAGTAATTTTGTTTCAACAAATAATTTTGCTATGAAATATTTTGATTTTCTTCTCACAAAAATGAAACGAAATACGTATCTTGATTAGCTACTTCTTTCATTAGTTTGGGGTAACTAACATTGTAATTTTACTTTTATCACTATCATTTTGTTTACTGTCATAAAAATTTACCTTTTGCAAAAATTATTAGTATTAAATGCTTATTTCAGATTATTATTTTTATTGTCTTTATCTCATAATCCTATAAAATTATCTTGTTTGGCTATGTCTTTTGGTGGCTAGTTTTTCATCCCATTTTTTGATTTTATTTTAAGAATTAAGTTTGTTGTCATATAAATTTTCTTGTGGCAAAAATTACTTGTGGGATTACAATTATATAGGATTTTAATTTTTATTGTCTAAATCTCATAATAATATGAGTTATGTTAATTTCTATTTGCTGTATTTTTTTTTCTATAATAAAATATGGTTATCTTCAAAATGATCTTGCTACAAAAATTAAAAATCACAGTCCAAAAATAAAAAGTTTTAATGTTTAATTTTTAAATTTATTTTTTGATTAAAAATTAATATACAATCAGTTTATATTTTATTATTTTTTGTCATAATATTCATTATTTATTTCATACTCTTTTACCAGAAACTTAATATTGTTTTTAAAATTTTTCTTGCAGCTGGTATTATGTTTGCACCTCGTAAAATTACAGATGAAGGTTTTGAATCTCATTTAGCCATAAACTATTATTCTCATGCTTTGCTTACGAAGCTTCTTCTTCCTCGACTTAAAGAATCTGCCAGCCCAAGTTGTAAAACTAGAGTTATTAATGTTTCCTCTTGCCTTCATTACATATCAGAAATTGATTTCTCTGATATAAACAGTATGTAAGTTAAATAAGCATAATATATCATAATTACCATAATATACCTTAGTAAACTTTATTATACATATATAACTTTCAATGCTTTACTTACAAAACTTCCTTTACCTCAGCTTAAAGAATCTGCCAATCCAAATTTTATTAGTTTTTGAATTTAAAACTCCCTTCTTCTAAATTTTTTTGCTTTGGTGATGCTTTACACTTTTGATTAAAAATCTTTCATCATTTTAATATACTTAAGTATAAAAAAGCCAAGTGTTTTATGAATAATAAATTAACTTTCATTTGTGTAAGACTTACACTATACTTTTTGTAAATAGAATAGGTGTCTCAAGGCACTCTCACTACAATTTTACCCTCTCCCTTACCATAGTTTCGGAAAATGTTGCTTTTTCTCCACACCAGGTGATTGCGTTTTAGGTCTAAAAATTCAAAACAGGGCATGTGATTTTCCCCCAGAATTACGCGTACCTCATGACCATTAATTTCGGGAATTTCCCCAAATCAAAATTTCGGTATTTTGAATGTTTGCCACTGTGCCAAAAGCTGCTAATATCTCAATTTGTATTCACGCGTTTTTAAAATCCAGTATTGCGATACGTATTCGCACGAATGTTATATATAAAAAAATCGGTTTTAGTATGTGATTTAAAAACTAAGCATTTCGCTTCATATTCACTCGATTTAAAAATTATGCATTGTGATTCGTATTTAGGCGATTTAAAATTTTACATCGCAATTTGTACTTTCGCGTTTTTAAAATCCAATAATTCACTCAATCTAAAAAATTATGTATTGTGATTCGTATTTTGGCTATTTAAAATTTAACATTGCCATTTGCATTTTAGCGTTTCGTTTTTATAATCCAATATCGCGATACATATTCACGTGATTTTAAAATCCTACATTGTTGATCCTGATTTGTATTTGTGCGATTTAAAAATCCAATATAGCAATTCTAGTAAGAAGTAAGTTTTCTCTCAAATAAGTTACTCGAAAGATGTGATATTCTTCATTAGTAGGTAATTTAATTATAAATGTTAGTTCGAAAAAGTGTGTTAAATATGAAACATGTTTGGAGTATAAATTGATATCTCAATTTTTTTTGCGCATAAAGTTTTCAGGGTTTTATGCACTTTGTCACAATTATAATTGCAGTATATTTTAGTTAGAAATTGGAGCACACTGGCATGGGGTAAAAGTAAAATGCCTTAACCCACTGGCAGTTTAGCAAATGGGCAAAATTGAGGGAACATTTCTCACAATACACTGTTACCCTATCTAATTACACAGACAAAACGGGTTTTGCTATGCAAAGAAGATTGCAGGTTAAAATGCGACTTTTTACGTGCAGAACTGTGAGTAGGTTAAAATAGGCTTGTCAGTATTGGCAAGTGACGTAAGATGACAAAAATTACATATGCCTATGCATTTTTGCTGCTTAAAGGGATGAAGCTAAATAAAAGGCAAAAATAAGATAATGTACTCAAGTATTTTATTGCAAATTACCTACTTTGGTTAAAAAAGCCCCAGTAAACATACATATATTTTGGCAGCACACCCCCACTTTCCTTATTGGTTTAGTTTCTTTTTTCCTTTCCAAGAAGGTAACAGGCCCATTATTTCATTATTGAAATTTATTGACTTTGTCACCTTTGTCTGTCCATCCAGAATATTGCTCTTTTGTCATATGAAATACATAATATTTCTTGAACAAATTATAAATAAGGAAACCAAATTTATAATATTTTTAAATTCCAACAGTTATTTAAATTTATGCTGTTAAAAAGTTTATAATATTTAAAAAAATTTTTATATAAATATTTAATTTAATGAACTTTATTTTCACTTTAAAATAAAGTTTATTGTTTAAGGTAAGTTACAATTTGAGAATCAAGTAAGTCTTTTTTTTTCCTTCTAAATTTATAGATCTTCATATTGCCCCCACCATGCCTACATGCAATCAAAGGTGTGTCTGATGTTGTTTACTTTAGCACTGAATGGTTACCTTAAGAACAGTCGAATTCCAGTGCTGGTTAACTGCATTCACCCTGGGATAGTTTACACCGACTTGTACAAGCATGTTTGGTGGCCTAAATTTGTAGGACCATTTTTATTCCAGGTAGTTCTGCTTTAACTTATTTTCATTTTGTTTGTATTTCAAAAATTCTTTTTAAACAAATAAACTTGCACTTCAAATTGTTACTTTAGTATCTGAATATTTCTTCTGTAATTTGTAAAATTTTGACAGCATTTTTGTTCTTTCCTTGGTTAAATATTAGCTTGCGACCCCCAATGTGTATGCATTACTGTTTTTATTTTTAATTAGAACTCTAAAAATATATATTAAGGGAAATCTTTATGGAACACCTTGTATGTTAGTAAGTTGGAATCATAGGAAATTATGAGCATAATTTTTTCAATTCAGTTAGTTGCACTCTGCCTAAAAAAATTGGCCACCCCTGGAATGAGTATACTTATATTGCCATGGATGAATTTTTCCTGCTTTTTTAAACTTTAAGAAGAAAAAAAAATCAATGTGATTGAAATTTACATTCGTACGATTTAAAATTAATCATCCAATCTGTAATTCATGCAATTTACAATTTTTACACTTGTGATTCTTATTCACTCTTTAAGATTTGTATTCAAATAATTTAACAGAATCCAGCATCAATATTTTATTATTAAAACATTGAAAATATTCACCTACATTCACTTTTTTCCTTGCTGAAATTTTTAATATTTTTTTCCTTTATTTAAAAATGTTTCTCACTTATAAAATTTAAAGATAAATTTCCAGTTTTTTTTCTCCATTTTTTAACAGACTTATCCCTCATTTCTTGAATCTTCATTTCACTTTTTTCTCGTAGCACTCTGATATTTTTTAAAATTTGCATTACTTTTTGTTCTCAAAAAATTACTATTCTCATTTTGCTGTTCTAATTATAGAAGCCTATCAAAGGTGCTGAAGTGACAGTCTATGCCGCCTTGTCTGCAGCTCTAGAAGCAGAAGGTGGTAAATACATCGAAGATTGCAGAGAAATGAAGCCTAGTCAATATTCTAGAGATCCACTACTGCAAACAAGATTGTGGAATGACACTTGGAAAACACTGCATCCTTGGCTGGATGAGGTCGATGATGTTGATTTGTCCAAAGAATAATAGTGCAATAAATTATTTTTTGGGACATTTTCTACTTGCAACATTCCAGCTGAAGTTTGTTATTCTTCAAAACATCGATGAGAAGTCTTAAACTTATGGTCCATTTTATATTTTTAATTTACTCAATTTTGCTTTTATGTTACCTTTTCTATATTTTTATTTTATAATGGCACTTATTTCAGTAAGATTTTGTATTATTTTCTGCCTTTTTTGAAATTAAATGTTATTTATATCAGATTCTTAAAATTTTATCTTATTCAATTGAAAATTAAAATACTTAGTTCATAGCTCCCAACTCTACTGGATTTTGCCAGTTTCTCCTGGACTACTGGTTTAATTTTAATTCTCCTGGTTTTTGTACATTTTAGAAAATTCCCTAAAATGGAGTAAGTTTCCTAAAAAAAAATCCCTATTGAAATAGAATTTTTGTGCAGATTATTGCTTGCTTGCTAGATTATTTAAATAAGTATTACTGATACATAAAGAATCGAACCTCATTTATAGAAATCAGTTCAAAACTTTTTTGTTCTAAAATGTTCAGTTTATTTTTGTTCGGAACTCCCTTTTTAAATTAATTAAAAAAGTCTTTTTACTATCTTTGATGAGTTAAATGCCTATTAATATTCAAAATTAACTGGAAAATATTACAGTTTCTCTATTTTGATGACTATAAAAATTCCTACAATTCCCCATGTCTAAAATATTTAGTACATTATGCAACAATTATCACAAAATTTATGTTATTTCGTAAAATCTACTAGATTTTTTCCTAATCCATGTTGGCAGCTATGTTAGTTAAAACGCACAGTCAAATGTGCCAATTGTTTTACTTGTGATGAAATGTGAAGTTATTTTATTTTTAAAAATCATAAACATTTTAAGTATTTTTATTTTTTCAAAAGGAGTTGCCATCTTAGTCCATTTATAAAAATTAATAAGTGTGAGATTGCTAATTATTTTGAAATGATTAATTTAAAGGCAAAGTTAAGTTTACCAAACTATTTTAACTTGTTGTAAATAACTTGAAGTCACTGACAAAGTTTGTTTCTTAATTATTATTACACTCATCATTAACTTGTCTATGGCGAGTCATACTCTTTGCTTGTTAATATGTTGGTTGCAGTTAATGTGTTAGCAATAAATCTATTTGCAACGTTCCTATTCATTTATATTCTTCAACTTTATTTTAGTGATGGAAAATATGTCCTGTAAGTAATGAGCTGCATATGGCCATGGTTGAGTTTTTTTTTATTTAAAGAATTCCTTGGATAATCTTCTTTGTATAAAGTCTAAATTTAATTCTGCAAATATTATCAAAAACTATGTATGTATTTTTTAAAATTTGTAACAAAGCTGTTAAATGATTAACCTGTTAAAATAGCTTTTTAGTTTAAATCTTAAATGTCAACCCTCTGTTGCTTTAATTTTTATAGTCATAAGACTGTTTTCTTTTTTAAATATATTCTATATCTGTCTGGTGCTATCCATTTATAAACGTCATAGTTTTGGAACTAGATATTTGTCTTGTGTTACCATTTTAAAAATGATGTATAAACTTTGTACCCTTTTTAATGTATGGACTTAATTTTTTAAAAAAGAATAGATTTTTAATTTTTATCATCTTTCTGTTTGTTAATGATTGAGTACAAGAAATTATGTGTCGCAACACACAGTCCTTTGTCCATAAGTAAAACTGTTAAGAATCATTACTTAACTCTGTTCATCTCTTCACTATTGAACGAAATAGTAAAGTTGTTTATGAATTTCAACTCTGGAAAAAAATCAAAACGTTTATGAATCGTCAATTATTACAAATGCTGCACTGTTTGAATTTTAAGTTTATAACATTTTCATGAGTCGATTGCAGTGGCTGTGCTATTGACAGGTACTAAATTAGCACATTGCATCTCTGGTACTAGATCATGTTCAGAAAATTTAAAATCACTTAATACTTCTGGTCTTCTTGCTTAAATTAACTTGTTTTAAACAAAAATTACCACTTTGGACTCTTTAAATTTCAATCATGCATTTGTTTCAAAATGGCTGCTTTACATTCAAAGCTATGTATTATAATGGAAAAAAAATTTAAGTAGTTAGAGCTTCTAAAATATTCTTATAATATAGTTATAATATTAATTTAATTTTGATTAAACATTTATAATAAAGTTTTTTTAGTAATAAATCAAAGTTCTTACAGTGTATTTAGATAAAATTTTTTTTATTTAAATCAAAAAAATCACGAACCCTGTTTTTTTTTTAATTTTGATGCGACTTTTTACAGACTAAAAACTAATTGCTTATTAGAGTAAGTTTTTATATGCAATATAATGTTTTTTTTTTAAAGTTAGTACTTTTATCAATTATTTTGGTTACCAATTATATGTTTAAATTCCTATTCTGAAATCATTTAAAAATATTCAAATGTGCAGACAAATTAATGGAATTGCATGAAGTGGTTTATTATTGCTTAAAATAACCGAATTAACCTTTTTTTCTTAACTTATGATTAAAAACCAGTATTGAAAATGAAAATTTAATAGTTATTTTATGGAAATACTATTTTAGATTCTGATGTAGAAAAAAAAAACTGCAGCATTTATATTTACTCGTTTTTTTTAAACCTAGTTGTTAATTAAGCTGTATTAATGCAATAACAGTGGTCTACTGCATGCTTAAATAAACCAATTCAGTATATTAAAATCTTTTCTTTCTTTTTTTAGATAGAGTTTCTTTCAATAAATTGAAAGTAATGTTATTTGTGATATTTTGAAATCTCTTGGTTGTGAATGATGTTAAAAAAAAGAACTATTTTCATACAATCAATAAATGTTTTATTGAATTTATTATGATTCTTTTCTCTCTCTATATGACTATCTTCTAAACTTTGTTTATGTTTTATTATTTATGACCTTATGCTAAGAACCAAGTTTTTTTTCTGGTCCGAAAATTTCGTTTTGAACAATATTTTTATTTAGACTTTCAGTGTTATATCTTTAAATTATTTTTTTCTAACTTGCTGATGTATAGGATTCCAAAGTGCCTTTTAAGACATAAACAATTTTTCAGACAATATTTAAGAAGTTTTTTCAAAACTCTTTCGCCAAGGAAAATAAAAAAGCTGGAGTTCAAGTGCCTTACACTTGAAGGAAAGCTATAATTTAAAAATTCATATGCCATCTTGTGGTAAAGAATTATCTGGGCTTTAGAATGGACAAATTACTAAAATATTTTATAAGTTATTAAACTTTTTTTAAAATTCGTCAATTTGGCGACATTTTTCCCCCTTGAAGAAAATTATCAAAATCAATGCCTTATTTCCCCTTTTTTGTAAATTTTTATAAGCCCAGATAATGCAGTATTAGAGTAAATCTCTGAATGTTAAAAAATTAGACCTCAAACACTTTCATTTTCTCGAAACTGTGACTTTTCTCCATATTGACGTTTTGCGCCATTTTCAGAATTAACATGGAGAACGCTGGCTAAAGATAGACTAAACTTAACTGAACTGTCTTGAGTAACTGTTGCAAACTCGTATCAGTTATGAAAATAGCGTATTATTCGCCAAAAACAGTCCTAAATATAGACACTACTCTGACAATATTTACTTCTTTTTATTTAATTAAAAATGGTTTGTCGATTTACTAAAACATGAACTTCATGATTACCTATTCACTTTCTATATGGGCTCTACTCTAAAGGTGAGTAGAAAGTTTTTAAATGCGGTCTATTCTGAATTCTATTGCTATTTATGTCATAGGCACACACTATTCACTACTTATGCTCTATACTTTTCTATTTAGATAAAATAAACTCTAGAATAACTTAAATTTTAGAGCACCAGATTATCTTAAACCTTGAAGTAGCAGCTAGTGAAATGGGACTAACCATTAATGCTGACAAAACTAAATATATGGAGATAAACAGATGGCTCACTAAGGCAATGCCCTTGCATGTGAATGATTATGAATTTGAAGCTGTTGATGAATTTAAATATCTTTGGGACTTCTGTAACCTGCAAAAAGAACATAAATACTGAAATCGATAGCTGTTTAGCAATGGCCAACAAGTGCTACTTTGGCTTAAAATGCCAACTAAAAAGTAAATTTCTTAAACAAAAGACAAAAATTAATCTATACAAAGCACTCCTACGGCCTGTGATCCTATATGGTTGTGAGTGCTGGACTCTTAATAAAAAAGAGGAGAACAAATTGCTGATTTTTGAGAGGGGGATACTTATAAGTATTTTTGGTGCAGTCTATGAGAATAACAAATGGCGCACCCTTTACAATCATGGGCTATATTAAAAGTATAAACAACCAGACATAGTTCATGTTATTAAGGCCAATCGTATTCGATGACTGGGACACCTTTATAGATCTGAAGGCCAAAACCCAGCAAAAAAAGTAACTTTTTCTAAACCAGAAGGTACAAAAAAAGGGGTCGTCCACCGACTAGTTGGCTGAACGCAGTTGAAAACGATCTAAAGATAATAGGAATAACTAACTGGAAGGCCAAGGCATAGAATAGATCAAGACGGCAGAAACTTATTGGGACGGCCTTGGCCTGCCATAGGCTGTAGTGCCCAAGAAGAAGAAGATTATCTTAAACAATAAACTCGTTGGAATAACTCCTGTCGCTGCCTTTCTTGCATGATTTGGATAATCCTATTTTTCTTGTTTGTTATTTTCGTAACATATTTCGTAAACACATAAGAAAGTGCTTAAATACTTTGAAAGTTATTTTAAAGATGGATAAATTAGTTTAAAGTACTTACTTTTATTTTATTTATTTTTTTTTTAAATCACAGAACTATACTGTTCTGTTTTGAAATTTTATCAAAACACTAAATTGCTTTCTTCTAAAACTTTTTCGTAGAGTAATATAACATATCTATTGTGGCTATTTGTAAATGATAATCAAGTAACCATCCTGTTTAAACTTTATACTCCTATTTTAATTAGTAAGCATCTTAGATAAAAGTGTTGTTGATGTCAATTGGCATAGTTAATATTACGAATGTTACAAATCGGCTTTATTTTGGTTGGAAATTTTTTTTTTTAAAGATTGTTACATTCGCAATATTTTTTGTCGATTCCTGTCACTAGATGTATAAATATATATTAACAATTTTATTGTTAAATAATTCTAAACTTGTTATAAGTTATTTTTTTTATCTTTTTGTATTAATTGAAGTAAAGAATTAGAAATTGCTCTAAAATTACGTAAAAAAATTTTTTTTTAGATTAATAAAATATTACAATATTTTAACCACAGTTGAGATAACGCAAACAATGTATTAACAGTGTTCACAAACAATGCATATGCGATTCAAATAGATAATAGACACAAATGACAGAAGTTGTTATCAAGATATGGCAGTAGGTCGGCTCTTATCATTGAAGTTCGAGAATAAGCATTAGAAATGACAAATGTATTTCACCCCAGCGTATCTGGGAAATTAATTTTTTCAATTTTTACATTAAAAAATCGTAAGGCTTTTTTAGGTGTTTAACCTAATAATTACATTTTGTCTTATTGCACAAAATCTTAGAAACTACGAAGGCGTGTAGCAAAAATGTACTGAGAGTAAGAGGGAATAAAACATATTGATATTCAATCATTTGTTCGCGAATTATTAACTGTTAAACTTTAGATAAAAAATACCGTTCGGACCGCTCTGCAGGTCGTAGAAATGCAATTACGGAGTTGACATTTGACGTGCTGCAAGGACCCTGTTTGTTTATGAGCTTGACACGGAGTTTTGTTTTTTTTTCACAATTTCAATTTAACCGAAAGTTAATGCAAATTTAATTGATTTGTTTCCTTGGCTATTTTTCCATTGTTGTATGAAAGAATTTTTTTCCTTTGCAAAATCTTTTTCTTTATCAGTAAAAAAAGTGAGAGAGATTCTTAAAATTTTTTTTGAGATTTTTTAAAAATAAAAGAAAAATTTAATAATAAAGTTGAGTAAACCGAAAAATACTTTGGTTTGAACAAAATTAACAAAAAAGTTTTGATCGTCTTATTATGATCACTGGTTATCCATTGATCAAATACTTTTTCTTTCTGGATTGACTCCGTTAAACGTCGCAACATTTCAAATCATGGGTTGCAAAAACTGTCACACTTGATGTTTGTCGTCGGATTGATTCTCATAAATCTGCCTATGCACGTGTTTCAAGACGTCACAAAATACTTTTCTTTCTTCAGAATTCATATTTATATTAAAATCACCTCGAAGCCAATAATTATACGTCAATAATAAAAAGAATATAAAAAATACTTTAAATTATTATTATGTAAATAGATTAAAAATGCCTGCTAGTGAAAATATAAAGAAAAACAACAGCGGTCGCCATAGCAAAGCATGCAATGACGACGCATGCGCACTGTTTACTTTTACTCTTTAACACAGTTGAAAAGTGTGTGGACGCCATTAAACCCAAACCAAGACCCATTTTGCCAATGGGTAGGTAATAAAGAGCGAAAAAAAAAACCCGTTCTCTAATTGCATTGTCATAAATCTCGTCAACGACTAAAATACTTCTCATATATTTCCTCCAATTTGTATTCCTCAAGTTAATTCTTTTTTTTTTAATGGATTCTTTTTCAAATCCAGTAATTGCGTTGCAATGAACATAGTAACAAAATATTCTTACATAAAGCTTCAATAATTATAAATATTTAAAGCAAAATGATCAATGTATATAAACAAATGTTATGCTAAATTACCCATATGAAATTATTCACTGTATAATTTTATTGCTTATAATGACAATAATAATAGAGTGCAACCGGGACATCCAAATAAATTAATCAGTCTACGTTATACCAAGTGATAAATTGTCAAGTCCCCTCTTCTTATTAAGGGGAAAAAGTTTCATGATCACGTTGCGTGGGGGTGGGACCGTTAAAAGTGAATATAAGTTCCCTAAAATCAAAAATACTACTTTTCAGTAACTGAAAATCTTGATGATTTCTTAAATATTAGATCAATTAATTCGTTATAGAATTTAGGTCTCATTGTTAGGAAGAAAATAAAATACATTTCAAAAAAATATCTAATTTTCTAAATAGCCGATATACGAAGTCCGATATACGAGGTTGTGCGACTAAGACGAAGATTCACTATTGAATAAAACTTATTCATATATTTTAATTTTGGATATTCGCGTTTTTATATATAACCGGCGTACCAATGTTCAACTCCGTATCCTTGTAGTTTTGAACCCATTCAGAAGACAAGGGAACTCCTGGATCAAGTATTGGGAGAAATTTGCCTTCGTGTAGGACTTTTTTTTTTTTGTTGATGAAACTAACCCGCATTTGCATTACTTGGAGAGGAAACCACGAAAACTTCCCACGGTTTGCCTGATGACAAGGAGACTCTAACCCAACATCTGCTTACCACACTTAAAATTCATTTTCAGGAAAACGTTGATTTTGATAAAATCTTTTTAGCGAATACATATTTTTAAAAAAAATTTTCATAATAAAACTTTTTGAAACTTTGTTTATAGATTTTATGCTATGTTAACTTTATTTTGAACTTAAAGCTAGGGACTAAGCGTGAATTTATAATTTTCATCATGCTTTAAGTAAGAATGTGTAGAAAATTTTCTTTTAAAAAAATCAATAGATAAAATATATTTCTTTGTAAATTTGAAATTTTTTTAAGATTTTAGTTCAAAACACAGATAACCATATTATTGTACTAGAAAAAAAACTATTTCTCTATTTATGTATAACAATTTGTCGAAGAGTTGTTAGCGTTACAGAAAAAACTGTAGTTTTTATGCTCAAATTTGCCCTCATTTTGAAAAAAAAAATTTTTTTTTAAATTTATGACATATGTATTATATATTGAATAATAATTTTAAGACTGGGTTACAAAAAATAAAATTTAAATCTTAATTAAGGATGTTTTTTTTTTTTAATTTTTTTATCGAATCCAGAGAGATATCTTTAATGTACAATATATTTTGTTCTTTTATTTTTAATACNACATAAAAAATTGTAGTTTTTATGCTCAAATTTGCCGTTATTTTGAAAAAAAAATTTTTTTTTTAATTTATGACATATGTATTATATATTGAATAATAATTTTAAGACTCTAGGTTACAAAAAATAAAATTTAAATCTTAATTAAGGATGTTCTTTTTTTTAATTTTTTTTTTATCGAATCCAGAGAGATATCTTTAATGTACAATATATTGTGTTCTTTCATTTTTAATACAAAGGCAGAAGCTCCTAAATAATTTTTTTTATAAATTATATAAAATTAAGTATTATAGTTTTTTATAATTTTTTTTTTAGATATGGAAGATAATGAACTTTGATTAGAGTAAGATAAGCATATTGTGTGATGGAATTCTAGTTCAACCTTTCTCCCTTTGCGTGTATGAAAGTGAAGAACTAATTGTATCGATTAAAAATATTTCTTTTATGCATCTTATCTCTTTCATTATTTAATAGATAAATGAAAACAAAAGGTACAAAGATAATATACGGGGAGTAGGTGTTTGCTTTTTTTGAACTCAGGGGCGTCATCTCATTCCTCTTGTCAACTTTGGGGAAAGGTGGTACCGCTAGGACTAAAAAAAAATACAGAAAGTAAGTATAATGTCATTAATTTATAAATTCCTAAAAATTTAATTAAAAGCATCAAATTCTGTAAATTTCTTTTAAGCTTTTTAATTAAAAAAGTTGACAGTTTCTTTACCATATGTATGCCCCAAAAATGGGTTTACTTCATGTATAAGATTATTTGTGAATAACTTTAATTCTAAAAAAATTAAGGATTAATTTTCTAATTAAATATTAAGATATAAAATAAAAATGGTATGTATAGCAAAATATCAATTAAAACTTAGTTAATATAAATTTAAATTTTTTTTGTTTTTAGTTGTTTCTGTGCTGAGGAAAAAAGGAACACATACATGGACAGTCAATGATATGTATAAAAAATAAAATAATTGTAAAGATCTGAAATATCCGAATTTTTGGTATTCCGATATTTTTCTTCCTTTAAAATTTAAAGACTACTCTCCTAAATAAAATGATATATTAGAGTAATTTGAAAGAATGGAAGGAGGCTCGCTCCGACCACCAACCCCCGAGGTTGCTTCTCATTCATCACTGTCTTTTCCCACCCTAAAAAGTCAATATTTTCAGCAACAACAAAAAAAGATTATTTATAAGTTTTGTTCTTAAAATATATGATTATTTTAATTTTGTGTAAGAACATCTTGTTAGCATACTAATCGCAATGGAATGAACTGTTAATAGGTTAACTGTACATGAAAAAAGCTTAAACTTTAACTTAGGAATACAGAATGTGCAACACAATAAGATGTAATAAATGAAAAGTAATTTCAGTTATTAACAATATGCATCGATATCTTACAACATTCCAAAGCGGTTTTATCTCTTTTCAGTGTTTTATGTCTTTAAACATTTTTATATAAAAGTTAAGATTTAAAATCGAGCACACTCACATATTTTTTTAAAAAAATTTATTGATTCATTCTTTTGTTACTTTTAATACCAAAGCTTACGAAACGAAGAACTCGACTGAAAATAAACAATGACGACGGATAAATATTTACTAATTCAAACAAAAAGTAAGGGAAATTATTTGCAAAAAAGCACTTAAAATTACAATAATTTTCGAATGAATTTCTGAGAAAACTGAAGTTAAGCTCATAGATAAGAATTGTTCTTTCAGCATGTCTAACTTTAACTTAGTAGTTGCATTTCTGAGGCGTGTAGAGTGGCTCGTATTGTAATTTTTTTTTACTAGAAGTTTAATGGTTAATAGTTCTGCAACTACCTATCGAGCATTAAATTTTTTTATTCCATTGTACTCTTTGTATATTTTTCTACTGACCTTAGTCAGTTCTACCTTGGCTATGTTTCTCTGTGGGCCTTGGCTTTCTGAACAATACATCCATACTTTCATACAAACATACTACATCCATACAATGTTTCATACTTTCCACTTGATTTTTATTATAATTAAATCTATTGTTTCATCTAATCATCTCTTTTTGGGTCTGTACTAAACCCATGTATTAAACCCAAACTCATGTACTAAACCCAGACTCATGTACTAAACCCAGACTCAAAAGGGTTTGGGTTTAGTTCATTGGTTTCCAAATGAAATTTTTTTTTCTCAGCTCCAAATCTTCTTCCATTCTTTGTAATAATAAAAAAAAATATAAATAATTTATAAAAATTCTTTTAAAAAATTATTAAAATTATTTTTTACTTGGAATCTCTGGATAAATGAATTTTATAATTGTGTGCAAATATTTTTGATTCTCTTAAAAACTTCAAGAGATATGGTAAAATACACAAAGGAAGGAAATTAACATTATGAGGCCCAAGCTTTTGTTCGATCTTATATCTAAACGATAGGAACCCTATTTTGATGGCTAAATATACAAATATTTCTAGAGAAAGGTATGTTTTATAGAGACGGTACTTTTTTGTGTCTGATTTCGTAACTCAAAATATTGATTAATTAGAATATTTAAAATCATTCTTTTGAGCCTTTAAGATTGACTCTTAGTTCGTGAAAATCCGATCATCAGAATAAAAGTTATTTAGGATCAAATCCGTTTTTTTTGTCACTTATAAAATATAATAGTAGCTCTTAGAATACTAGATTCAATAGTAGAAAGCATAATCTGCATAATTATTGGGTGAAGAACATTAAAAAAAGTTTGCATGTGCAAAATGAAAAAAAATACTTGCATGCGCAAAATGATAAGAATATTTGCATTTAGAAACTAATATAAATAATAATAAAAATAAATAAACTATATAATATTATTTAAAAATAAAAATAATTAAAATAATAACAAAAATAAATGAACTATATAATGTTATTAAAAATAAAAATAATATAAATAATAATAAAAATAAATGAACTATATAATATTAATAAAAATAAAAATTATCTAAATAATAATAAAAATAAATAAACTATATAATATTATTAAAAACAAAAATAATATAAATAATAATAAAAATAAATAATGTATAATAAAAATAAATAAACAATATAATATTAATAAAAATAATATAAATAGTAATAAAAATAAATAATATATAATAAAAATAAATAAACAAAAAAAAATCAAAATTATATTGTTGTGTTCTATTTTATCAGCTTTTTAGAATGATAAAAATTAATTTGATTTAAACAGAATGATTTAATTTTTTTGTTGTGAATTAATTTGTTAATTTTCTTTTCAAAGGTTTCTTGAAAGAGAGAAGATCTCTTGAAAGTTTTTAAGGATGAGGTGCCTGGCAATCCTCACTCTGCTATTTAGTGCATACGCTTTAGTGCACAGTGACTGTGATTTATCTGGTGCAAAGAGAGGTAAAGTGTCTCAATTTGAATGCATAGTTTTGAAGTTAGTATAATTTTGTGTCCGATGAACCTGAAATTTAAATCCAAGAAACATGCAGCATTTCCGATATTTTCTTACAACGAAAGACTTCCCAGCTATTATAGAAGAAAGCATCTTCGCCTTTTGCGGCTTTGACAAAGGTTTAATTGCCCGTCCAGAGGCAATTAAATTGATCGTCTTACACTTTCTTTAATCGTGACTTAAATATTCAAGTACTCCATAATTTTAAGTATGAAATGAAATAAAACACACACGCACAATTGGGTGGTTTGCGAGAATGGTGAGAAAACCGGATGAATACTACCAATTGCTGTTTCATTGGTGTAAATCATGGTAGTGCAGTGAATATACAGGCGCTTATAGACCATTGGCCAAACGTCGATGGCTATAGTTTCTAAGGCAGAGATGCCATGATCAGAAATCTCTTTATCCGTTGTGAACGGACCTAGTCCAGTTATAGTAACACCTCCAGGAAGAAAGAAGGAATTCGTATCGACCAGCCATCGCTGCGAATCGAACCCGGTTCAAATCATTGGAAATCGAAAACTCTATCCCCTGAGTCATTCTTGGAGGAATTGGTCATAGCCTGCGCTTAAAAACGTTTGAGTCTTTTTTGGAATGATTTGATTTGATTTGTTCATTTACGTCGCACTAGAGCTGCACAAAGGGCTATTGGCGACGATCTGGGAAACATCCCTGAGGATGATCCGAAGACATGCCATCACAATTTTGATCCTCAGCAGAGGGGATGGCACCCCCGCTTCGGTAGCCCGACGACCTGCGCGCGAAGTCGAGCACTTTACGGTAGAACAGTTTAACGAGGACCAATACCGCACACCCTCGTTCCCTACGCAGACTGATCCAAGTGGCCACCCACCCGCACACTGACAGCAGCCAGTGATGCTTGACTTCGGTGATCTGCTGGGAACCGTGTCTTAACGATCAGTCCACTGCAAGACGAGTCTTTTTTGGAAAACGGGAACATTTTCAGTTCCTTTTCTGAAAGAGGGTTCAACGCTGAAAATTTATGAATTTTTTTCTTTCTGAAAAAATCAATTGATATCCTATTTTACTTTTAAATTAATTTAGAAGTCGATCTTCTTGACATGAGAGAAAATTGCAGAGAAAAACTTAACATTAAACAATGAATCAGTTACATTAAATTTCTACATTAATATAAATATCGTTTCTTTTTGTTTCGAAATGAGAATGTGGAATCGTATCAGGATATTCAATTTCAGTTAAAGTACGTGTAACTTATATTTTTTTTAATTCGCATATGTTCTTTTTAATTAATTTAGATGTGGACTTTCCTGATATTGAAAAAGACGGCGTAGAATCATTTCAGCTTTCTGTGGAATACACTATTCAAAATTTAGTAAGTACAATATATTAAATTAACCATTTCTTTATTCATTCAACAAAGAAGCATTATTCCTGCTGCGAGTAAACAAACCAACTTTTCTGTGGTTGTTCACGAAAGCTGCAACTTTATATACACATGCAAAAGATGATACTTCAGTTATTTTTAATACGAAATTGTTTCTTAAACTCTAGCAACAAACGAACTACTACACTGAATACTACGATCTTGTTGAGAGACGAGGCAGAATAGATGCCCATCAGGCTGGAAATAGTTCGTCTTACGTGTACAGGACTCAAACCAACGAAGCCTGGGAAATATCAGGTACTACTCCCTTTTCAATTTGTTATTATTTGTTATACTTTTCATTTGTAAAGAAAGCCCTTAATATTTTACAAAAATATGTTTGATTTTGGACCAAAGGAAGGGCAGAACCAATTCTCATTTCTCCTATCGCAAATTGTAAATGTTATATATACAAATCACCTGAAGCGACCAGCTGATCAACCTATACGAACTCACAACTTTGTGGCTCCACGTTTGCTCGAAATTTGAGAGTGTTATTTTTGTAAAAGCTGTCAACTATGTTAATTAAACTAATTACCATAATAAGCCTAAAAAATTACGAATATCGAAATGAAACTTGCTTAGATTTTTATTAATCTTATAATGAACACATGATTTAAATTTAAGACTTCCCTCTAAATAAAAAACGTGTTATTTAAAATTACTGTTAATTAGTCTAATTACACAGATAAATCTTAGTAAATCAATTATTGAAATGGAACTTGCTTAGTTTTTTATTTTATTTAACATGAATATGTCTCAAATATGAAAAAATAGTTCAAATTTGAGACTTCCATCTCGGTTAAATATGTTACTTAACATTACTGCCAATCAGGCTAATTACCCAATAACTACCTCAATAATTATAAAATATCGATATGTAACTATCTCTCGTCTGCCCTGTGTCAAAGCTCCTCCAATAGCAAGATTTTTCGAACCTGTTATAAACCTAATAACGACTCTAGTTATTTTTAAAATTTGCATATAAGTTTTGAACTCATTCGTTTTGGAGAATTTTATGTCTTCCTTCATAAAGCTAAATAATTGCAATATGAATTAGTTTATACCTTATACCCTCATTTTGTACCTTAACTTCATACCTTAAATTTAGATCGCGTACCTTCGATTTAGATAATATTGCATTTAACTCTAGATGATCTTGTACCTTTTTGCCTGAGAAACACAACGTGATAACAAATATGATTTAATGTGACTTATTATTACCAGAGAGAACATGCAAGCTTAAGAACGCCACAGATACACCCGATATGGAGAGTCAAGACATGATAGATTGGCGGTACAGTGTTGAAGGTGATGAAGAAAAAAGAACATTCGGACCTTCCGCCATGTTCAAGATTGCAAGAGATGTTTGGAACAGCACATCGAGGAAATCTAAAATGGTACGTTATTTTCACTTTCATTCATTGCAAAAGAACCACGACAAATCATGTGCTTAAAACTGCTAACGGGTTAAACTGGTTCAGACTTTTACCAAAAAAAAAACTTAGTAACATTTAGATGCAATGGCATAATCGTACTATTGATATGACTCATCTATAGCAATATTATGATTCTAATTTTTTCTAAAAAAATACATTAAAAATAGTTGCATTTTGAAATAAAATAGATATATCGAAGAGATAATTATAAAATTGCAAACCAATAAAAATAATTATTAATCAAATTTCGTTTAGTACAATTAATTTAAAGGGCTAAAACTAGGTCTATTCGAAAGAAAATTTTCACAATAATTATTAGAAAAGATAAAATCTAGATTTCATGTTAATGTCACGTTTTATGCAAATTATTGTCGAAACTTTCATTTAAACAGGTTTAGAAAAAGCTGTTCTTATCGTAATTTAATGATTTGGCGAGCTTGTCCAGCTCATTAATTATTTTTCTAGAAGACTACGAGGAAATCCTGAAGTAATTTTCGTGAAAATATGACAAAATTATGCAGTGGTGAACCCCAACCACTACTAAACTGAACCCATTAGCCCCGAACACTTTCTAATCAAAATACCCTAACTAATAGAAAAACCTTTTTTTTTTTTAAGTTTACTTGTCTTTTTTTCTAAATTTTGTATTTTTTTTATTGCTATTTGATATGTTTTCTCTTTTTCCTATCTGTCTTGCCTTTTAATCTTAACCATTAACCGATAAATGCTCCCTTAGGGGGGCATAGGCTCCGGGGTTAAATGTTGGTGAGTGTCCAGTTCATTATGTTACGTTAATACAATTAACACTGAACCTTGAACCTATTTGAATGCAATTTTAGACAATAATTATTAGAAAACATAAAATTAAGATTATTTAAATAAATAAAACTACTCGTTCAAAGGCACACGAAGAAACGGTTCATAATAGGGAAGCGCCCCTAGCGGCAAATAATGAGATTTCCGTTCACGGGTTTTCAACGCAATTCTTANAAGTTAGCCTAATTAGAAAATATTCTAATGATTATAATATTAATATGATAATGCTGAAGTTTAAAGGCTGAAAGAAAGAACTCGGTACATGTGAAATACTGCAAAAGATATGATGCAATAATATGATGGCGCGTTTTTTCAATCTGCGGCGTAAAAATATATCAGAAGCAGTAACCCGGAAGTCTTGAAAGAGCAATTTTACCACTAGCGCCACCACCATTAGCTTTACACGATCACCCATCCATAACACTGTACCTTACTAAAATTAGCATAGTTAAGATGGCGATCTAGAGTTACACATTTAAATGTTATAATGCAAATATTAAAATACAGTAGTATAATTGTACTAGGTTGACATGATTGATAAGGCACATCTATATCAATGTCAATGTTGCCCAAAGGTTAAACGTAAGCGAATGATAACATTGATTTGCATTGCAGATTGCGCAGGGCCTGACTTAGCCTAATTGGGGCCCGGGGCAAAAACTTCTTCGGGGGCCCCCACTGCATCATTAATAAAGATATTTTATATGGAGGAATTTAAAAGTATTTAATTTTGAGGTAGTTAAAATTTTCACCTCATTGTAGATAACACGAAAATTCACTAGAATCTAAAATAGCTATTAAGTCGCACTTCCTCCAATGGTCAGATGAAATAACGTTGTGTCCATTTTATTGATTTTCTGATAATTCTATGTCCATCATGCTGAATGCAGTTTTCTGATTGTTAACTTTGTCATCTAGCATGGAAAAATTCATATCCTTGCTGACATCAGGGCATATCCTTGCTGACATCCGTCCTGACTAAATTTACGCAATTGTGATGGCTCAATTAAGCCAATCAGAAGCCTGTATGTTTTGTAAACATATTCCATTTTGCAATATGTAAAAACACAGGAATTTGATTGGCCAAATATGTCCATCGTACTTGCAACAATTTAGCTTAAGTCCGCAATAGAAAGCCATGGATTTACGAAATATAGATTGTGTTCATACGGTAGATGAATTTGCATTAATGAAGAAACTAACTTAAAACTGACGGATTTTACACTGTACTGATATTTTGTTTAAAAAAAAGTTCATTAAAGAATGCAACGTAAAATAAACTTTTTATTCGATTTGGGGGCCCCCTCTAATGCGGGGGCCCGGGGGTCAACTGCCTTGTATGCCCCTGCCTTAGTCAGGCTCTGAGATTGCGTATTGGTAATCAACAATTCACATGAGAGTATTTAGAGTGAAGGTAAAGTCTATTAAAATTAATAATTCCAGAACAGAACAATACGTAATTGTGCGATTTTTGGTGGCAGAAAGTTTGCGCCATGCAGACATTTATTCATTTTAGAGAGTAAGTGTTATATCGAACTGGAATGTCGTAGGTGCTGTATAATTTTAGAATAAAAATTACTAAAAATCATAAGTTTAAGAATGATTTTTCCTTAATTCCAGGCATACATGGGTAAAACTGAATTCACTATTAGAGGTCTCAAAGCCCAGTATTGGCGAAGGTGCAGTGGAAGTGACAATTCTTACGTCGATTATTATTTCACGAGTGAGTATTCTATGACAACGATTATTTAGTTTATGGGGGAATATTATTATTATTATAATAATACTATTTTTTAAAAAAACACCATTTTTTGGGCAGACAAATTATGCATTCTAAGTATGAAAAAAAAAACATTTTAAGTGATATTCTCAAATATAGCCTTCTAGAAACTTTCCCAGAAAACACCACTTTTCTGAAACTGTCCTGTTATTCGGAAATCTTATCATATTTTGAAAATTTAACTTCTTTTTAAAATATTGGCGCAACTTCATTCGTTGGTTTCGACAATTGATTGTAACGGGAATACTTTTACCTTTTTGTAAAGTGAATTCTTTGCCAATAAAAGAAATTTTGCTTTGACGACAAATCTGAAGGAGTTAGTCCACTTTTTATACCTTGTAAGAGTCAAGAAAGAAATCAGAGTTTTTGTTAAATGTGGATTACTCGTAGCTGGGTAAGAAAGGAAATGGGGAGGAATATATATCATAGCCGGAAGAATTTTAAGCTGTTATAACTAGTTATGAGGATAACGTCTGAAAAATCGTTTGAACTTATTGAATTCTTATCTATTTGTTTTCATTTAGAAATGACAAAAAGTTCCTGATATTTATATAAATAAATGACATTTTTTATATTATATGATTACTAGCTGACCCGGCAAACGTTGTTTTGCCACATGAATTATTTCTATAGTATGAAAATATAGCTTATTTATTGTAAGTGTGTGCGTATGTGGTATATGAGTGGAAGTGGCATGGAGCGCTATGAACGATGACGGAATGTGAAAATAACAACACACCAAATAATATTTTTTTTAATTTATTGTAACTTTTTTTTATAAATTATATATACAACGAATTCTGAAAATATTAATCACTTAGTGCAATGGAGTGCGCAATATTTTTTGTTGTCATTCCATCTTTAGCTAANGGAAGAATTTTAAGCTGTTATAACTAGTTATGAGGATAACGTCTGAAAAATCGTTTGAACTTATTGAATTCTTATCTATTTGTTTTCATTTAGAAATGATAAAAAGTTCCTGATATTTATATAAATAAATGACATTTTTTATATTATATGATTATATATATACAAAAAAAAACATTCTGTTTTTAAGCTGTTGTCATTTCAATGCTTACTGAAAATTTATAATTGATTAACCAATTACTAGTAGAAACCAAATGGACCCTATTTTATTTCACAGTAAAATAGTGTAACTGGTTGCCATTGACAACCATAATACTACACTTGATTGAATGATAAGTGTCAAGTTATATAGTTCAGCCTCTGGCTTGGACATCTCTATTAAACACACGGTGTAGCCTATATTTTGCTGAAAGTTTTTGGAATTCCTTTCGAGAGTTTTCTACAAATTTTGTTAACAAAACAAAATCTGCAGACAATTCCAAATCTGTTGATGATTAAAATGTTTGAAAAGTCAGATTTATTTCAGAACTTTTGTTTAGAAAATTGTTTAATTATTGTTAGTGGGGTTGATTCTTAACATTTGATGAATTTCTTTGCAGCTGACGATGAGCAGGATCCTCTCGGAACCGATTTGAAAAGAATACCCCTTAGGGTGTATTTCGGTGGCAAGAAAGACGGAATGGGAGAAGAAACTTCAATTCAACAATACGAAATCATCACATTGCAACCTTTCATCTCGAGGAACGTCTATCCATTCCAAGTAAGACAATCCCTCCCCCCTTGTAGAAATCAGAACGTTGTTTTTCGACGCTCTGTCGCCAAGGAAAATAAAAAAGCTATAGTTTAAGTGCCTTACACTTGAAGCAATGCGATAATTTTAAACTATATATGTAATCTTTCCATGAAGAATTATCAGGGCTTTAGAACAGAGAACTAACTTAAATATTTTAAAAGATATTAAACTATTTTAAAATCGCCAATTTGGCGACATTTTTTCATCTAGACGAAAATTATCAAAATCACTACCGTATTCTATCGGTTTTTGAAAATTTTTATGAGCACAGGTAATGCAGCATTGGAGTAAGTTTTTAAAAATTATAAAGTTGACCACAAACACTTTTCATTTTCTCAAAATTGTGTCTTTTTCTCGATATGGACGTTTTGCCCCCAAAAATTTCAAAATAAGCGTAGACAGTGCTGGCTTGAGATAGGACAAATTTGTCCCAACAGTCATGAGCAACAGTTGCAAATTCACAGTAGTCATAAAAATCGCGAAAAAGCATCAACACATTATTCGTTGACACATTATTCGCGAAAAAGCATCATTTCATGTGACGACGAAACCTTAGAAAAACAGCCTTAACTATTTTATTGACAAAAGAGAAGAAATGAGTAGAATAGATTTAGCTCAACAGCACAAAATAATTTCATTGAAACCTTACACCTTGATGTAGTGACAGTAATTCAGTTCAAAGGTACAGTTCTTTAAGCAAAGTTCAAAAGCTATGAAAATCTATAATTAATTTGTAACATATTATATTATAACATTATTTTATCCATATATAATTTAATAATCATAAATATATCATCAACTTATGACATAACTTATAGCTTAATAATCTTGAATCAATAATAAACCTATAACATAATTTAAAGCTTAATAATCTTGAATCTATAATTGAGTTATGACATATAAAACATTCTTAAATGTAAAATCTAACATGATTTATAGTTTAATGTAATCTTGAATTTATAATTAAATTGGCTTAATAATCTTAAATCTGAAATTATCTTTTATCAAAACTTATTACCTTTTTTAAAAATCTTGAATCTACAATTACCTCATAACATAATTTATAGCTTAAAAAACTTGAATCTATAGTAAATTATAATTTGTAGCTAAATAATGAGTAGTAATACTTTATATACTTGGCACTAGAGCAGTACAATGTGCTATTGTTGACAGCCTGGGAAACATCAGAGAGTACGATCCGAAGACATACCATCACAATTCTGTTCATCTGCAAAGGGGATGACTTTGGCAGCAAGACGACCTGCTCGTAAATTCGAGAACTTTAAGGTAGAACAGTTTAACGAGGACCGTTATCACACACTTTCGGATCCTTCCCAGTCTGATCAAAGTAGTCAACCACCTGCTAACTGACAATTGTCAGTGATGCTTCAGTGATCAGCTGAAAACCGTGTCTTACAATCATTCCAATCCAAATTGAGACTGTAATAATCTTGAATCCATAATTTTTAAACACGATTTTTAATAATCTTAAATATATAATTAACTTAAGGCGTAATCTATTGCTTAATACTTTTAAATCTATAATTATTTTGTAACTCGAGTCAATTAATTCTCTGAGTCATATACGTTTTGCATATTATAAATCTATGACAAATGTAATGACAAATAATGGGAAAAAATCAACATAAAATTACATCGAAGAATAAATATAATTATTTTTACAAGGTTAAGTTTTTCTTAACTGGCGATTTCTTTCTGATTTCTTACAGTTACCGAAAGGTATAGGCTGCAAGAGGGGAAACTTACCAGATCCTCCAACACTGCCAGACTTTGCAGACACTAACCTGCAGTTCGGTGCCGAGGTTATATACAGGAAAATTGACTGGAACAATGAAGACACTGAATACTGGAGCTATTACAGTACTCTTTCAGTAAGAATCTTTTTTTCAATTAGCTCGAATTCTCAAATTATTACACATTGAAACGGTCCGTGAATTGTGGTTGTTATTTTACACTAACACACAGCTGTAACGGTCGGGATATCCTGGTTGGCAGGACGCTTGACTTACGTTCGTGATAACGGAAGTTCTAATTCAGCCGGTTGAAGACTCCCCGTGTAGTAAATAGAGACTAGTGCACGCCAAATCTGTCGGGTCCCATGTTCCCATATCCCACAGCAAATTATACCTCCATGTTCCCATATCAAATTAAACCTCTGGGGGTCTGATTTAGAGATTAATTGTTCTCTGGTTCAGGTAAAAACTACGATTTGTGGATGAATGAATGGAACAATAAATGGGTGTGGCAGAAATCGAATTCTTGACCATAGATGGCGCCACTGAAAACAAAAACAATCTTGATAATCCTTGTCTTAATGGCTGACGATAACAACAACACAGCTGAAACTGTCTAAATTGTGTAAAGCTATCAAGCGATCATGAGGAATTTTAAATAATCAGGATTATAAAGCTTATTCAAAATATTCTTCAGTTTTTATTGTTTTCAAAAAAAATTCTTATATGTGTTTTTAGATGGCTTTTGATATTGAATCTCAACACGCAGCATACTATTACTCTCCATGGAACACCACCAAACTTCAGCCCGGCGAAGAACCATCAGTCTTAACTTCGGAATACGTCGTCTATGATATGAAACATAGTAAGTAGCAATATTTCATCTAAATGATACAATGATTTATATCATATTTTCTGTGTGATACTTCTACAATGGACGTTGACGATCTCTTACTTCAACCAATAGTTATGTCACACGATTCATTTCTAAATTTCATCCATATATTTCTTCAAATTCGCATTCAATGTCCATGTTTTAAGTTGGCTTAAACAGAAAACAACATTTAACAGCCATAAACAGCGTGCTTGTAGCTTTGTCTTTGTAGCGTTAATCAGGCCAACATAACGTCAAGATACGTAGCATCTGAAATAAATTCGAGCATGTCCAGAAAATCCATGGATTGCATGTAATGGATAATTTAATCAAAGTTCAATGAATTACTATAGTCAATTTTGGAGTTTAAGGCCTGCATTAAGCCATTAAAAAGCTAGGATTCTTTAAAGCAATAGCTTCGGCGAAATGGGATAAAGTAAAGGTAGAAAACTTGCAGCTCATTGCTAAACATTTCATTAAGCATTTGCGCCTCTGCATCGTGGCAAAAGGCGGTCACTTTGAATAATCATAGTAACTTCATTAATAAAATTCTATTATTATTTGTTATAATTCATTACTTATTTATTTTTAGTAAACTTATATTAAAAACTGTGCGTTGGTTTTTCTTCTGCATCCTGTAATGTTTCTGTGATAATAAACATAGTTTCTATGACTATGACTGACGCTAATGTGTCTGTGATATAAAATAGAGTTCCTGTTATAGAAGGTAATGATTCCGTGACACAAAATAAAGCTTCTTTGCCAGAAGCTAATGTTTTTCTGACAGAAGATATGGTTTCATAGTTTCTGTAAAATGAACTGATGTTTCTGTGATAGAAAATAGAGTTTCTGTCATAGAAGCTTATGATTCCGTGATACAAGATAACTTCTTCTATGTCAGAAACTAATGCTTTTGTGATAGAAATATAGTTTCTGTCACAGAAACTATTGTTTCTATGATGATGGAAAATATAGTTTCTGTAAAATGAGCTAATGTTTCTGTGATAGAAAATTTAGTTTCTATGACAGAAGCTAATGTGTCTGTGATATAAAATATAGTTTCTGTAATAGAAGATAATGGTTCTGTGACGTATAATAAAGTTTCTTTGCCAGAAGCTAATAATTTTCTGATAGCAGACAAAGTTTCTGTAAAATGAACTAATATTTCTGTGATAGAAAATATAGTTTCTGTCATAGAAACTTATGATTCTGTGATACAAAATATATTTTTGTCAGAAACTAATGTTTGTCTCATAGAAAATATAGTTTCTGTAAAATTAGCTTATGTTTCTGTGATAGAAAATTTAGTTTCTGTTACGGAAGCTAATGTTTCTGTGATAGGTATACATTTTGTAACTGGAAGTAGAGGCTACTGTAATGTAATTAAATGAGATGTTTCTTCATTTGAACGATTAGGTAATGCTACTGGAACGAATAGTAACATTTTTTGATAACTTTTCTATATTTCGTTAAGGACAAAATAAAATTGAAAATTGTTTAGGTCTAATCCATTTCACTTCTTTAATTTTCCACCTCTAGAATATGCCTACAAAACTGATCTGTCGACAAGTCAATGTAGCATCGAAAGATCAAGTTCCTTCTATCCTACTTACAAACTCCCGAACAAAGGGGGTGAGTTGATATTGACAGACGGTTCCATTCTCTTTCCCTTGTCAGGAATGTCTTATCTGTCTGAGGTATTTGAAGTTTTATTTTTCATGTAACTGCAACTGTCATGTAACCGTTAAACAAATTATAAAAATAAATTATTCGATGTTCATTTTACAGGGAATTCAGAGAGGCTTAAAAGTTAACGTTTTCGAAGAAATAATTGAAAATTTCGTTATGAACAATGTAACAGAAATCACCGTTCCTAAAGCGATCATCACGCACTCTTATTTAAAAGTAAGTACTAAATACAACATCAAAGTTTATATACCAGCATTTTCTTCTTGCGTTTTTAAAATAGAAATATTTTTAAATTTCAGGATGACGAAGTGGAAAGAAATTCTGTGTCCGTTAAAAATGCTTTAGTTCAAATTCAAGTAAGACTGCTGGGCCGTCAAGATAAGGTATGCATGCATTTAAAAAATACATACATTATGTATGTGTATTGTACGTGTACGTGTACATTGTGTAAATACATACACGCTATTGTAGAGTAACTTCCCTGATTTGAATTTTTTAAAGCCTTTTCAAAAATGAAGTAGAAAAAGCAAGATATTGTTACGTTCTTCTTTAATGGCGGGTTCTTTTAACCCCTTAACGATCGGTTAATTTTCAAGAAAAGGGTCATAAAAGTGCCCATTTTTTATACACGTATATTATACACGTATTTGATTATTGCTGACATCTAGTTTAAAATAAACTAACTATCTACAGTTACCTTAAAAATATCCTGGTACTTGCCATTTGGTGTGTAAAATGAGAAATAAAATGTTTTCCCGGAAAAAGAAATGAATTAGTTTTATTCTTATTTGCGTGTTACTACTGAGCACTTCCAGTCCGGGAATATCACGGGAGCGAGAAATAGAGGGCGAAACCTCACCCCGTCATTTTCACGGGAGCGAGAAGTAAGGGGTTAATGAACAAGGAATATAGGAATAAACGAATATAGGAATAGGAAAGATGATTTGTTTGCAGATGATGAAAAAAGAAAACTGTGCTAACATTTACAAGCTATCCTACTAATTTACAATTGAGTACTTGCACTTCAAGAAGAAGACCACGTATACCCACATAAGTGACCTATGGCGTCAGCACCGGCTGATCGTTTATAAACAAAATGGAGTGTTAAAGTCGAGCACAGTTTCTTCACATAAGTTAGAATGTTAATTAACGTGAAGTTAATTATATACAATGCCGTATCACACAGCAAATTTATTGAAATATAATTCTTTCTCTTCTACGTCTTTTGCTTAACTTAGATTTATTGTTTATTTATTTATTTCATTATAACCGTGATATACTTTTGCTTTGTGTACCTGGCAAACTTCGATGCATAATTAGATTGTTTATGTTTTACATGGATTCATACCGTCTTTGCGTTAAGTTAGAAACATAAAGTGAACGAATTGAAATCTTTGTGAAAGAATCTAGTGCGTGTCACTTAAGAGAATTGATACTTGACGGGCTTGGTTTACTAGAAATAGAATGGAAAGAACAGTTGTTAATGGAAACAAATGCCACGTTTCAACAACCAATCAGGATCGAGCAAACTCACACTACGTCATTTGCAGATATCCCATCTGATATGATTTCCGTTAAATATCACGGCTTCTAACAGTTTTCAAAGGATGGAAACATTCTGGTGCATAGTTATCATAACTTAACTCTGTTGGGTAGCTCATAACTCACTCGGTATAATTTATTTATTACTTAAAAATATACTCGGAAATTTTTTTAACAATGTAATAGGTCGCAAACAAATAGTTAAATCAAATAAAAAAAGAACATCATCAAAATATAAAGAATATTTTAGACTGTTATTTTCCAAGTTTTTTAATCAAGTAATACTTAGTAAGTATATTTCTTTTGACCTTATTTTTAACAAGGATTCAGAAAATATATATTAAGAATGGTTATTATACAGTAATTTTGGAAGCACGTTGAACCATAATATCGTTAATATAGCACTAGATTCTAACATATTATTGTAGAGATCCTGAATAACATTTAATCTAATGATCGGAGCTTCACGTACTAGGACCGAATCTGATTGGACGATAACCCAACTTTAGATACATTAATTAATTTGTGTAAAAGAGTTTGAGTCATCAAACTTTCAAAAAACGCGAAGTTAAAATTTGATTTTTCAAGAACTATTCACGATTTCGGTCAAATTCTGTATTTTGTCTTTTAAAATTATGCTTCTTAAATGGCGTAAAATGTTTTACAATTCAAAATTCTTTCGACTGTTATTAAAATAAGTACTAAGATATAAAAAAGATATTTTTTTTCATGAAGTTAACTTTTGATAAGCCCGTTTTATAATCTATAATCGTTCCATAATTTCTTGTTTTTCCGTATATTAGATAGAATACACAAAAAGTGAAATTAACGTCAAGGATCTAAACTTTCGACTGCTGTTCCACCTAAATTATCGGAAACTTATATTTTAGAATGCTGCTACCCACTTCCCATATTTTGTGGGTCAGGAATCCAAATAAGCCGAAAAAAAGGCATGTTTATTCAGAAAAAGTACGTTTTTGTGTCTAGTATCGAAACTTAAAATATCGTCTGCATTTATTAATTAACGCTTTTAAGGTTATAGACCCTCGAACCAATGAGTCAAAATGACGAATCAATAAGCCTCGAATCAAAAGTTACTCAGAGAATTTGCTTTTTTTATTATATTACCCACTGGCAAAATGGGTTTTGTTTTGGGTTTTATAGCTTGCGCTTATTTTTACGTCATCACACTTTTCAGTTGTGTTCAAGAGTAATAGTAAACAGTGCGCATGCGTCGTCATTGCATGCGTTGCTATGACGACCGCTGCTGTTTGATTAATTTTTTTCGAATTCTTTTTCTTTCACTTTTAATTTTGTTATGCATTAAGTTGGTGAGTTTATTTTTGAGATATGGGACCCGAGAGATTCCATAAATACTTCTTGAGTTGTGAATAAAAGAGAATTTCATCATTTGAACGATATTTTTGTATTTTTTTTAATTTTAATTAAGACTCAGAAATTCTAGCCTGCAGTTCAAATTGGATCGTTTTCAATACTAATTTGGGGAGTTTCAGAAATAAAGAGGGTCCCAGAGGCTAGAGTTGAAGCAAGAAAAAAAACGATGCCAGGGCCTGAACTTACCAAGGCTGAACAAAAAATTAGACAATGACCATTTTGCCAATGAGTAACCTGTGATCGCCTTTCGACGACGCAATTTATTTTATTTTTTTTAAGCTTTTTTTATTTATCTTTTTTTTAAACTTGATTACTCGATATTGTGATTCTTGAACGGAATCATAACTCACTCCAACACATTATTCTGCTCGTAAAAAATGTATGGTTCATCATTGAAATGGTTTTTCCGAAATTTTATCGGAACACCCTGTTTTTGAAAGGCTTTATTCATAAAACCTGTAATTTGCAATTAATATATTTTCCGTTTCTGCAGGTAATAGAGCTGTTGACATTCAACTTTTTCAACTTCGACACGGAAGTCAAAAACAGAAGATTTATTTTCGATATACGACGATGTTTCAAAAACGATGATGATTACGTATGGGTTACGATTGGTTTCAATGCAGGTATAAAATAATGAATTTCTCATTTTAATTATTTTATAACCGTCGTTGAACAGCCGACCCGATTTTAAGTTTACGACTATCATTGTTCAACTATGTATCCTTGTAAATTTAAACCCAACTCAGAAGACAAGAGAACTCCTGGATCATGCATTGGGAGAAATTTGTCTTCACGGAGGACTTTTGATGGGACTAACCCGCATTTGCATTACTCGGAGGGGAAAGCCACGAAAACCTTCCACGGTTAGGCTAACCGCAAAGGGACTCTAATTAATGGACCGTCTACCACTGAGGATATTTTACATCAGCACTGTGGTCGGTGCGAGGCGGGTGCGGAACTCGTATCGACCAGCTATCGCTGAGATTCGAACCCAGGTTATTGGGAGACGAGTCGTCTATCCCCTGAGCCACCATGGCATTGTAACTTTATGAAAACTGATGCGGGATTATCAAAGTAAAGAATATCTTGTTAATAAAGTAAAATTAAACGAACGAGAAAAAAAAAACACTTTAACGCTTCTCCAGTACTATGTTATTAGTATTTATCGGTAGACTTTCGTCCAGTTCCACGATATTAATTAGCTCACATTAATATGAGAGATATTTAAATTAAGCTCGTTACAAAGTAAACATTTTCTTATTTCTTTTGTATTAATCGGTTTACTTTCTTCATTTTCTGTAGTAATATTTTGTCTTCATGTAATAAAATTAAGAATTTGCGTGTGTGCGGGTGTACATCGGATTAAGAGTGAACAGTAGACACTAAAATATGACATTCAACGTGAAGCTAAATTAAAACAATTGCAAACGAAGCCCTATTTTCAATTTTTTAATTTAAAAACAGTTAAAAAATGGAACATTGGTAAAGTGGAGGCCATTTTTTTAAAATTAAACTATAGAAAATTCAATCTGTCAAATATTTTCAGTTATGTTTGCTAGTTTATAGCTCTAATCAAAAAAGCTGTTGCGCATTCTGTAATACTTAAATATTTTTTATTCGTTATTTGAATAATCATTGTGATCGTGGTAGCATATGCGAGCTACGTAATTGAATTAGTATTCCTAAAGTTATCCGAAACCATCTATTATCTTTTATGTTTATATGCTATTTCATTTATAGGTATGCTTTTAAAACATTTTACTTAAAAGCTAAATTATTTAAAATCAACATTAACTGATATAAAAGAAAGTTTTGTTCCATAAAGCAGAATGGAGAATCGATACTAATTCGTTGAGGAGAAACGTAAAAAAACGCAAATTATGCCAATGATAATTAATTTTGGTAATAGTTACTAATTCAAGTAAAAAAATAAGCTCTGTACTGTAAAGGAAAATGAATGGAGAAATGGCACTAAATGATTTAAGCGAGCACAAAAAATCCCCGAACTATCATCGGCTTCAATGATATTTAATTTTGGTTAGTTGGTTATCGTGTTATGGAGATGGAAAAAAAAGATCCCTGAGAAGTCCTAACTTTCTGAGGCTCTGGCAACCTCTCTTTATGGATATGGATTAATTTTGGCAATAGATACTAATTGAAAAACAAAATTAAAAGCAAAATTAACGGGGGAAAAGTTTTTAGTTGTTATAGGAAACCGTAAAATGTCACCATACTATTATTGACACCAATGATGCTCAGTTTCGGTAGTAGGCACTACTGGCGGTACAGTTTTAATAGGTATCAAATGTATTGTTATACAAGTACAAAGTTCTTTTATGAGTAAATTTGGTGCTTGTTATTGCAGCACGAATACTGTGCATTTTTATGATAGATACTGATGAAATAAGTTTTATAAGGCCTCTCGAAGATATAATTACAAGAGAAAGTTGCTTGATTGTGGTAAATTTTAAACATCATGGGCTGCATCGAAAAATAGCATTATACCTGATGATACTGAATGTAGCTAATTTTTATTTTAATGGGATGAAATCTTTATTTTAATGCGTTTTGCTTAATTTAGTAACGTAAAGCCACCAGGAAGAGTAACAAATAATAATAAATTTAAAAAAAAAACATAAAAATTAGTTTAACTTTATGATTATTACTTTAGCTTTGTGTCGGTATTTGTGTTTCAGTTTTTTGCATGATTTTGTAGTGTTATCGTGTTCTGATTTATTGATTGCTTTCTTTTTTCATTTATCTCGTGCAAACAACGGGCATTCAGCTAGCAATAATATAAAGAGATTTTAAATTGAGCTCGTGAGAAAGTTAACATTTCCTTATTTTATCATTATTATCGACTTATTTTGCTCTATTTTAGAACTTTTGTTAGTTAATTAATATGGCCTTTAAACTCAAATAACTGCATAGATTTAATTTGCTGTACTATTACCTACAATTACATATGTTATGCTGTAAAATGTGAAACCTAATTAAAAAGTTAGCGCATCGTAATCATTTTCTAATTATAAATGAATTTATTTTTCTTCAGACTCATAACATTATGCATTTGATAATATGCAATATGAAACCATTTTTTCAAATGAAAATATTGAATTAAATATTTTTTTTTTCAATTTTAGATGAAGCAATATTGGCGAAAATCAGAGATAATGTACCCAGCATTCAATCAAATATTTTGAATAGCCTTGACTCGACATCTGAATTGAATCCTGTTAGAGTACCGACCATTCTAGTAAGTGAACTTTCAAATTTACTTTTTGGTAAACATAAATTTTGTTTAATTTAGAAATAATTTTTTTCTCAATAGATGTAGTTCAAAAGAGTTGTAAGGGAATTGAATTGTACAAGTATTTTTGAAATCAAACATTTTTCCAGCATTATTGCATCTCTTTTTAAGTTTTGAAAATCATTTTACCTACATTTGCTAAGTGTTTTAAATAGACGAATCCCTATATTTTTTTATAACCGTCGTTGAAACGCCTACCCAATTTAGGGTTCACAATAACTAATGTTCAATGCCGTAGCCTTCCAATTTTGTACCCAATCCAGAAGACGAGGCAACTCCGAGATCAAGTATTGGACGAAATTTCCTTTCGTGGAGGACTATTTGATGGAGCTAACCCGCATGTGCGTTACATGGAGAGGAAAACCATGAATACCTCCCTCGGTTAGCCTGACGGTAAAGAGACTCTAACCCAGGATCCGTCTATCACTGAGGATATTTTACGTCAGCACTGTGATTGGTGCGAGTCGGGTGCAGAATTCGTAACTACCAACCATCACTGGGATTCGAACCTGGTTCACCTCATTGGAAGGAGAATGCTCTATCTCCGGAACCACATATCGAAACATTTGCTCAAAAAGCGTATTACAAGAGTTCGAATAAAAAAAAAAGGAATGGGTAATTTTTTAAGATAATGCGCCTTGTTTTTCTATTACCCTAATTAAGTTTTCTCAGTTTTAACTACACTGTAAGAAAATTTTAGTATATCTTCATTCTAAAAAATGGAGGAAACTACTTTTCCTCAAGGGGGTGAAGGGAAACACTGCACCAAGAACCAAAGATAGTTCCAGTGAAACACCGATAATGTTCTTTTACACTACTTGGCGTAAAGTAGCTTCCACCATTTTAAGCGTTCAGTAACACTGAAATTTATAATTACTGTAAGATATGATACTCACAAGAGTCAAAAAAGTTATTTTTGCAATAGAATATGAACTGTTTAGAATTTATTTGACCATTGATTTAGAATACATACATACACTGATTCTCAAAATAAATTTGGCTTGGTGATGAAACATGCGCAATGCACAGAGAGAATGAATTGGAACTAGGCTTAACAGAGCAGAAGTGGACAAAAACAGAATGAATTTTGAATGAAAGGAATATTTTCGCATTGTACAGAATTTCAAGGAAATAGTTTTTAAGTCATTAATATTTTCTTTTAGGTGGACATCAAGGAAGGATTATTTGTAACATTATTGATTCTTGGAAAGCCACCAGTTCTGTGTAAGATTTTTACTTTCTTTTTTTTTCTTTCTTCTTAATAACGTTAAATATGACTATAATGTTTTATTCTCTTAGCTCCAAACAAGAATAGGTATTATTTGATAGCCTTCTTGTGAAATGTACTTGATATTGCCAGTTAGTTTTACTTCCGCCGATTCATGCTTTAAACCGAAGCAAAAAAGGCTTTAAAATATTATTTTTAAATTCAATTCATTAAACTTATGGATTTTCTTTTTTTTTAACTATTTGAAAAAAAAATATTAAATTTTTTTAGCCATTTTGGCATAGAACATCTTTATAGTGCATGGGGGTCCGCAATCAAGATGATTTGGTTCGCCGTGACCGGTTCGGTGTCGACTGGGAGTCACCACTGATGACGAACTCGTCACCGAAGTAAGTGGATCGGTGACGGATTTGGATATTCAGCAAGTTTAAAGTATCTGGCAAGGCACCGGTGCTTTTCCTTTTTCGCCATCACACTTTTAGTAACTGGCAATCAAACTTCTTGCTTACTTCTATAGTTTTATTAAGCTTAATGCTTTTTTTCTAATTTAATTTTGGTTCTTTTCTTCAAATTTTTAAAAGATGACTTTAATGAAAAAAACGTTTTCAACTTTCGAATCAGAAATGATAATTAAATATTACAGAAGTGCTTTATTTTATTATTATTAATTTTAAAAGTTGCAATAATATTATGATAAGTTGTAATAACTTCAGTTTTGGAAATTTTTTTCAGTAAAATTCAGTAATTTTTTTTCAGTAACCAGCTGCTGAAGCGCAAGCGTTTTCGTTATCCGTTTAAATTTTATGAAAACAACTAAAGACATCTTCACACTGGCAGTGACGCAGCTACAGATAAAGTATTATTGGACAAGGCGTTTATAATGTCATATCCGACGGTACACCGGAACTTATTTCTTTTTACTAGTGAATCATTCAGTGCGTCAAAGCAAAGCAGACAGTGAGTGGAACCATCGTGATTCCATTCTCTCGATTACGATTTCTTTACATTTTGATCATGAAACAAATACGTGGATGAAGTTTATTTATTGTAATACCCTTCAGAGCTTGCATAATTTTATCAATGTCTTCTTTATTTTCATTCAATATTACTATAAAAGTCTAGAAATTTCAATACATTGGGTTGGCTAAACAAGATGCCAAATCTTCCTTAAATTGGAATTATTTTTATTAGTTTCTTTATTTTTTATTTTTAATTTCTTTATTTTTCTTCTCAAAAATAAAAACATTTTTTTAAAAAATTGTTTTATTGTGTTTTAAGTCACAAAAACATGATTCTAGTAGAATATAGTATAGAAAACATTTTAAACTTTTATAACCTCAACAGGGGATTTCTTGAAACCGGAAAGTGGAAAAACTCTGAAGGGAGCATCTGATATTGATGGAGTTCAAGATAAAGATTCTTGTGCTACAAAGTGTCTGGAAGAGGAAGACAATTGCTGGTAAAATTCATATGCTTTACTATTTACTGTGAATTTAATGTGTTACCTTTCATTTATGTATTCTTTCATTCATTTGTAACTTACCTTTTTATCATTCATACATAACTTTTCTTTCATTCCTTGATGAATTTGCAACTCTCATTTTATTCCTTTCATAATTCCTTTATAATTTTCTTACCATTCATTTTATAAGTATTTCATGCAAGCAATAGCGTTATTCAAAACATTACATACTTCCTTTTGACTCCTATCTCTCCAATTTCTTTTTATTGGTTCAGTTTAGTTAGTTCGGATATTCTCAACCAACTGGACTTACTATGGACACTTTGTGCTTTCTCTAAAACCAAGGTTGAGTGACAAGAATCAGTTACTCATTGGACTTTGAGAGCTTTATTAAAAAATCAGAGCTGTTATTTTTATTGCATCAAACGCATTCATAGTATGAATGAATTATTATTGCCTCATACTTTAGAAAATAGTCAGATGGCAACGATAAAATGTTAATTATGGAGAACGGAAATGTATAAGTAAGTTTCCATCTTGCATTCCTCAGAAACATAAGTTAACTTTTTCAAAAGGCACGTATGTTTTAGTTGTGTTATAAAAATTATTATTTTCTCAGATTTACACAAATGTGTCAATTACGTTAAATACTCAATAATGTTTCATTTATATCAGCTTCTGTTCTATTAATCCTAATTCGAATCGCTTTATCTTTGTCTCTGTGATGTGCGTAGGGCTGATGAACAATTTAATTTTATTAGAAGAATAGATTAGTTTATGAGTTCTGAATTAAACGTTCTTGCTGTAATCTGTATCGTAAGAAAAACTTTACTGATTTTACCTGAGTTCATTACAGTTCATGGTATTGTAATTATCCTTAACTAGGCGCTGATTTTTTTGAATCTCCTTAACATATACACAACTATAGGCTCGCGTAAAACAAAATTTGAACGGAATTTGGTGCACTTATTTTGTTGCGCAAACTTGAACAGATCGTTTTTAAGTGTGTATTATTGTAGCCAGCTGTCAAAGTTATGTAACTTGCAAACACATATTTTCTTTAACCTCTTCATACTGCGGTAGAAAGGAATATAGCAAAAATTTTTTTACTTTTCCAAATCTCTGTTTTACTGCCGTAAATCAAGATAAGATTAACAAAATGTATAATACGCTGGAGACTAATAATTTTAGGTACACATACGTGGATCTCGGGTCTTAAGTAAAAGATTATGAATATTTTTTCCAATGTCCACCTGGATTGACATTCGTCAATTCAGGCGTATTAGGTCAGATTTGTTGACCACTCATTCAGGGGCATCCTATCAAGTGGGCGAACGTTGCTCCCACAGTAGGGACAGATAGTACAGAGGATGAAGGAACATCCATGCCTTGTTCGAAATTCGAAACCAGAACCTTTCTGATGCAAGATCAATTCCCTAACCCCTACACAGTCCGATCGGCCAGAATATAAATATTTCAAATGTTAAATTGCACCTAAGGTAGGAACAAACATGTATATTCTTTTATTATGGTCCACTTAAATGCAACAGATTTAATAATTCGTCTTAAAAAAGAAATAAATTTTAAAATATACGATTTTTTATTTAAGTACAATGCAATACTGCATTAAATAAACAATTGAAATAAAAATTCGATTAAATGATGATATACGCAAAAACGGGCTATATATAGTGTAACGTGGAAGATATATGCAAAAGAGTGAGAGAATGAAAATGACATGAGAATATATACAAGGTTGAATCTAAGATGAAAACGCAAGTGTCGGGCTAGATGTGAGAGAGTAGAGAACGACTAGCTGCGACGCTACATGGGGACCCTTCTCCCTTCAGCGAAGTGTTACTTCCCGGCAGAGGTATATATATGTACATGGGTCATTCTCACGAAAACTGTCATTTTTCAGTTTATAAAATCCCAAAAAAGTAAAGTGAATAAAAAGCTCTGAAACTTTTTATATTAATATAAATATGTAATGGCATTATAAAGAAAGTATATATCCTGTAAATTATACTTAGTATTTAAATTAATTAATTAATTTCACCATTTAAAAAGTGAGGGAATGACATTTTATTTTAAGACATGTTTTTCTCTAAGTTACAGCTACCTCAAGTATGAAAATGATAACATACTAAGTATATCTAATATTTATTATAATTTAGTTTTATATATTTAATAGTTTATACAGGTTTGGGAAATAAAATTGGCTGGCACGATTGAACGAAAAAATTTTTATAATATACTCATCTTGAATCATTCTCTCACTTTATACACTAATGAGGGACTGACAAATTTAATAAAATTTAAAAATAACAGTTAGGCCTAATTGATTTCTGAAATCAGTCCATACAATTGCATTCATACAAGAAGGAAACATATAATTATCCACTTTCTCGATGAAGTTGTATTTTATTTTACTCTAAAAAACGACATGAGGGAATGACAAATGTAAAAAATGTTACCTGATTTGATTCATTCAAATTTATTCCACAGCAAAGCTTCTTTAAGTTGAAGATGGAAACATACTGCAATTTTGTTCTATGATGCCAGTTGTTAACT